CTAACATTGATCTAGAACTTATCCAACTCGACCGGCACCCAACGGGGTAGGTTTTCCAATTCTCGCTCGACCAGCACCTCCAAGAGGCAGGCTTTCTTTTCTCCCATTTCCTCGATTTCCAGCTCGACCGGCTCCTATCAAAAGGCAGGCTTTCCTAGAACCCTTTCCTAGACTTCCAGCTCGACCGGCGCCTATCAAAAGGCAGGCTTCCCTTCCTTTCCTAGAACCCTTTCCTAGATTTCCAGCTCGACCGGCTCCTATCAAAAGGCAGGCTTTTCTAGAACCCCAGCTCAACCGGCACCTATAAAAAGGCAGGCTTTCCTTATTTCCTTAACTTCCAGCTCGACCAGCGCCTACAAAGGCAGGCTTTCTTTATTTCCTTCATTTTCTACTCGACCGGTACCTATAAAAAGGTAGGCTTTCTTTATTTCCTTGAATTCCAGCTCGACCGGCACCTATAAAAAGGCAGGCCTTCCTTATTTCCTTAAATTCCAGCTCGACCAGCGCCTACAAAGGCAGGCTTTCTTTATTTCCTTAGCTTCCAGCTCGACCGGCGCCTATCAAAAGGCAGGCTTCCCTTCCTTTCCTAGAACCCTTTCCTAGATTTCCAGCTCGACCGGCTCCTATCAAAAGGCAGGCTTTTCTAGAACCCCAGCTCAACCGGCACCTATAAAAAGGCAGGCTTTCCTTATTTCCTTAACTTCCAGCTCGACCAGCGCCTACAAAGGCAGGCTTTCTTTATTTCCTTCATTTTCTACTCGACCGGTACCTATAAAAAGGTAGGCTTTCTTTATTTCCTTGAATTCCAGCTCGACCGGCACCTATAAAAAGGCAGGCCTTCCTTATTTCCTTAAATTCCAGCTCGACCAGCGCCTACAAAGGCAGGCTTTCTTTATTTCCTTAGCTTCCAGCTCGACCGGCGCCTATCAAAAGGCAGGCTTCCCTTCCTTTCCTAGAACCCTTTCCTAGATTTCCAGCTCGACCGGCTCCCATCAAAAGGCAGGCTTTTCTAGAACCCCAGCTCGACCGGCACCTATAAAAAGGTAGGCTTTCTATTATTTCCTAGAACTCCTCCAGCTCGACCGGCACCTATCAAAAGGCAGGCTTTCTTTTATTTCCTAGAACACTTTCCTAGATTTCCAGCTCGACCGGCGCCTATCAAAAGGCAGGCTTTTTTTATTTCCTAGAACTCCAGCTCGACCGGCGCCTATAAAAGGGTAGGCTTTCTTTTATTTCCTAGATCTCCAACTCGACCGGTTCCTATAAAAAGGCAGGCTTTCCTAACATCAGCTCGACCAGCTCCTATAAAAAGGCAGGCTTTCTTTATTTCCTTGAGTTTCAGCCCGACCGGCGCCTATCAAAAGGCAGGCTTTTTTTATTTCCTAGAACTCCAGCTCGACCGGCGCCTATCAAAGGTAGGCTTTCTTTATTTTCTTGAGTTCCAGCTCGACCGGCACCTATAAAAGGGTAGGCTTTCTTTTATTTCCTAGATATCCAACTCGACCGGTTCCTATAAAAAGGCAGGCTTTCCTAACATCAGCTCGACCAGCTCCTATAAAAAGGTAGGATTTCTTTATTTCCTTGAGTTCCAGCTCGACCAGTGCCTACCAAAGTCAGGCTTTCTTTATTTCCTTCATTTTCTACTCGACCGGTACCTATAAAAAGGTAGGCTTTCTTTATTTCCTTGAATTCCAGCTCGACCGGCACCTATAAAAAGGCAGGCCTTCCTTATTTCCTTAACTTCCAGCTCGACCAGCGCCTACAAAGGCAGGCTTTCTTTATTTCCTTAGCTTCCAGCTCGACCGGCGCCTATCAAAGGCAGGCTTTCTTTATCCCATCTTTCCCTAGAACGCTTTCCTAGAACACCAGCTCGACCGGCACCCTCAACAGGCAGGCTTTCTTATCACCTCTTTCCTAAGACTATCCTTTTTCTTATAATCTTTTCCTTCAACATCAGCTCGACCGGCACCTTTAAGAGCTAGGCTTTCTTTTCTTCTTTTCTCCCAGACTTCCTGCTCGACCGACACCTATCCATGGCAGGCTTCACTTCTATTCCCATCTTTCTTAGAACTCTTCCTCGACCGGGGTCTATAAAAGACAGGCTTTCATAGAACTACCCTCTTTCCTTAAACTGTCGTTTTACATGTATATGTGGAATTGCTCGGTGTTTCTGGAAGGTCCAGGTCTTTGCTGGATCTCTGGGTGTTCGACAAAACCCTAGGTGCCCGCAGGGGGCCCTGATGTTCGTGCAGGGCCTAGGTGTTCGTGGAAGCGAGTGTTCGAGGAAGTTCCGGGCTTCTGTGAAAGGTTAGGGTGTTCGTAAGGGGTTCGGGGGTTGGTAGTGGGTTCGGGTTTGGGGGGTTCGGGTGTTCGTGGAAGGTTCGGGTGTTCATGAAAGCCATAGGTGTCCGTCAAGACCCTAGGCTTAGATGAGAGGGCTATATTTTGTGGTTGGCCTAGGTTTTCGCTTCCTAATGAGCGAGAACTGGCCAACGATGAACACATAGCCCCTCACGAACACTCGTGGTCATACCTCACACGAACACCTGGTCTTCCCACTGGCGCCTAGCCACCGACACCTAGCCACCGACACCTAGCTTCTCACGAACACCTAACATATAGATCTCACAAATTTATATATGACCCCCCTACGAACACTGACACCTACCATGAAGATCTGGCCTTCCATAAACACCCGGACCTGAGAGGAACAACCCCCTACATACTTGTATCTACTATATAATTGGGTTCGTTGATAACCATGTAGTCATTCGAAGAGCTTCTGTGAGTTACCAGTGTTCGTGAAAGAGCGTTTATATAACGTTATTCGGGATTTTTGGTCTTTTATTTTTTATCATAGCCTTCTATAATTCTAACCGGGATCTTGAAGATTGTATTATAAACATTTAATAAATTATACCTTTTTCTGGATACTGGTTTTTTTGCTCAACGCAGGGTGGGTGTAGTCAGGACGAGAGAAACGTGATTTCTGTGATGTTGTGGATCTTCTTGTCTCTTTAGTGTACAAGAATAGTAAATTCGATATAAATGTGCAGCTGTGTGGCGAGTTCTTGTATCTATGGAGTCATTTTTAGGTGAATAAGTCGCCCTAGCTGTATACTAGCACTATTGGCATGATATAATACGATATTATCAATCATACGACGACTATTTCGTCTTGTACACCAAACATCTAGTCTAATCTTACATCATCTTTCGTGTTTAGTTTAATCCTGGATGTGAAGCACCATGTATCGACACATATGTGTCCACGCGTTTATTCTTTTGCACTGTACGTTCAGACCAGCTGACCATAACCTTAATTAAGTAATTTAACTACAATAAACGCCTTAAGCTGCGGGATCCCATTAACCTCACACGTACAATCATATTGCCATCTACAGATCTTTTTCAACTCATTGAATTAAATCAGCACCAAATGTGATCATAATTGCAAAACTTATAATTAAAAAATAATTCTTGGTTCTATTTCTGAACACCCTACTAGTGATAAGCGCTACCACCTGTTCTGGGGGTGGGGTGGTGGGGCTCCGGGTAAAGGTGGTTCCCCTTCAATATAGTATCATCGCTAACCTCACTTAAAAAACTGGGCAAATCACTTTCAACATGTACAATCCCGTCTTCTCCTTCCTCAATTTGATTTTTCCCCCCTTCCCCTGCCTCCTCTGCCTCCTCGTCTCCTTCCTCTTCCTATTTCTCAGTTTCTATTTCCTGTTCATCAATATCCGTTTGCTCTTTAACAACTTCCTCCTCTCCCGCATAAGTATTCTCGCTCCCAGAAATATAGATTTCCTCGTTTCTTCCCAACCCGTTTCTCTCCCCCTGAGCAGAACCTAACCCACCTTGCTTTTTTCTTACCTCAACTCTAGTCTCGCTAATGTCAGTAGATGAATAATCATTCAAACCGGATAACCTTTTTCTAGAAGATTGATAGCCTCGTTGAAGTCTCCTTAACTAAATGCCGCTACATTGCCTGATGGCAAATCTAAATCCCTCAAGTACACTTGTCTTTTGATCATAGCAACCGGTAAGTAAACTGATACCACACATATCATGAAACCCTACTGCTTCGCCCACTTACCCCTCACGTTTTTTTAGATATCCAGAAAGCGGTCGAAAGATAGGGGCATGATGAGTCCTCAGCCTGGCCCTCTAAGGACTCTATGAAATAGCATAAGATAGGTTTGGACGTTAAACGGTATGTACTACCCTCTCTGGGATCCAACTGCTTGCCGAGTAACGCTGTGGGTGAGACCGTCCTTGCAGAAAGGATCCGAATTCCACAGCACTCCGATGTTCCTGGTGATAATATTATATAGTGGAAACTTTCCTGAGGTCAATTTTTGAAAGCTCGCAAAGACCTAGGGAACATTTACGGGTTCGAATTCTGGTTTTGGCATCCAAGAAGGGCTGTTCCTCGATTTTCTTGCACTTGAACAGCGTTCCGGAGATGGACCCGGAGATTTTGGATGGATACAGCAAGGGGGACTCCAGGGAAGCATCAAGCTCTCCCTAATGCAAAATTACATCTATTACATACACCAAAATATACGCCTTTTTAATTATAGCTTTCACTGCGTGGGCCTCAAGTATTTTTTCTGGACCGATCTCCTACTGTAGTAAGGGATTAACAAGTTTTTTAGGCTTTCCTACTGTCTTTTACGAGTCAAGCTCCGATGAGTGTGTAGCCTGATAGTCCTCTGCGTTATTATTAGTGGATAGTTCAAGTACCATTTTTCTAAGAATCACCCCCGCAGTCGTCAATCATGGATTATCACTCGACACAAGTCCAGCGGAGATATGGGCGAATAATTCTCTTAAGCACAAGTCAACTTACGAAAACCTCTTGAGACCTAATCCCTTACACTAATACTCATACAAAAAAATCAATAATTTACCAATATATTCTACTTCACACCACCACCTCTACACCGACAGCCATTTCCAGGCTCCACCACACTATCCACCACCCCGACCCTTCATTTCGCACTCCCAGCCTCCCTTCTACTCCTCTCCCGTCTCCTCTCCCTCATCAACCTCACCGCAAAACTCGTCACCGTCGCATCCGCCTGCGCAGCAGTACACGCATCCTTCTGCGCCGTACAATCGGCCACGCTATTCCCATCACCGCTGTTAGCACCATTGGCACACGCGTTGAACTGGCGGTCACAGGAGCGTGCTGCAGCGGCGGCGAAGTTCACAAATGTGGACCCAGCAACATCGAATGGGCGGTCGGCATTGCCGGAGAAGGTTATGGGATCAGCGGCGGCACCGATGGCAGAGGTAAAGGTCTGGAGATTGGTGGAGGTATCAGCGCCTGTAGCGGCGTTGGCATCGTTGGCCGCGTTATTCCCGTTGTTGGCGTTATTTCCATTGTTGTTGTTGGCGTTGTTTCCGTTATTCCCATTGGCGTTGTTGGCGTTGTTTCCATTATTGTTGTTGGCGTTATTTCCGTTATTGTTGTTGGCATTGTTTCCATTACCGTTGTTTGCACCAGCGTCGGCAGCGTTATCATTTCCATTCCCCGTATTATCACCCGTGTTATCGGCGGCGTTGTCATTACCGTTCCCACCATTATTATTCGCATTGTCACCAGCAGCAGCATCACCCGCGCCCGTCGCAGCACCCGCGTCAGCAGCACCCCCACCTCCCACCGCAGTCGCCGCGCCGTCTGCCGCCTGGGCAGTGAAATCAGTGATGCTCCCCTGTGCCTGCACGATATCCGCGATACTCAGGCCCGTGGCATCAACTGGCGCATTAAGGCTTGCTGCACTCGCAGCATTCTGGGCTGCCGCACCATCGAGATCGGGATCTACCAATGGCTATGTCCCACCGTTAGTCAATCTCAAACGGCAAGTGGTTTTGGGGAGAGAGAAGCCAAACCAGAATACCCCTCAGCGCCTCAGTTGCCGGGAGGCTCGCATCGCTACAGAAACTCGGGATGGTGACTGCGAATGGGTTGAAGTTCTTCTCCGCCTGTACTAGCGCCTTTGCAGCGTCGAGGGCACCAGCACCGTCGAGTGCTGCGACTTGGTCCGCCAATGACAGCTGAGGGATTATGGTTAGACTTTGCGGACGAGACAGTAGGGGATGGTGCCGTACCTTGGCACAAGCGTTGGCACCAGCGAGTAAGGTGCCGATGGACTGGCCGGCAAGGGTAGCTGCAGCACCGTTGTTGCCGCCAATGGCGGATATGATGTTCTGAACGGCGTTTTCCTGGCCGAAGCTGATGTTGCGTGTTAGTGGGATTTGTTGTTAAGAGAGGAGTAACTGAAGACTTACCGGGCGTGGGCAAGAGCCAAAAAGCTCACGAAGAGAAAGACTGACTTGGTGAACATCTCGCAAGTGGGAATAGTGTGGATAATATAATGGTAAAAGTAAAAATGAAATAAAAGAAGGTATTTTATCAAAGGAAACCGGCCGGCGGTAGAAGAGAAGAAAGAATGAATCAAAGAAAGGAGAACTAAAATAGATGAGCTAACTCGATTCCTGATGCGAATAATGAGAGGAAGATAGAGAAGTTTAAAGGGACGAGAGCGCGAGGTCAATATATATCGCTCCTCGCCCAGACTCCCGCATAGACGCCCAGCCGCCCAGGTGTATCGGAGAGTTTTTAACTCTAACCTGGGCAACCTTCTTTCTTGGGTCGGTCAACATAGTTCTACAACATTATGCACATCAAAAGAACCTTCTGTAGCTAGAGAGATCATACCGCAAATCCGCTGCCCCGTTATACAAGGATCCTCCAGAACGACAGGGTCAATGACAGGGATACCGAAATTCTCCTAACAGCTCACCCCTGGCCTGGCACATTGAGGCTAATATCCATGTCAAGCGAGAGGCAACTCTAAAACTAGCGACAAAACTAGACATGTCTCGCGCAGGGGGTTTAAAACCTTTGGTGTCTTTTGTGGTGTATCGAGGGCGGTTGTTCGCAGATATAGTACAGTGAAAAGAGAAGTTAATTCCTTACCGTGCACTAGGAAGCTCCTGATATTACCTAATTCAGAGCGCGTAACTGGAGGAGTATCATCGCTCCAACACTACGAGTTGTTCCTCTTGTATGGAGTTTACAGACTTGGCGGAGGGCGCGGTTTCTCTTGCGCGGTGTGCTTCAGGTCGTTACTCTTCAAACGAACGTTTGGCTGGGAAAGGATCCGCTTCCCCGAAATCACTTCTACTGCTCTATTTCAAGATCGTAACCAACAGGAATTAAAGTGCGATCCGGATGGCATTATCAACAAGGAAAGCGTTGCAGGATATCTACGCCGGATAGTTCATTCCCGATTCCTAACACCCAACTATCCATATTCACCTTGTTTAGCAAAGCGTACACCTAGACTTCTAGATACCAAGAATTCAAAGTAATAACAAGACTTGTTCCTCTATATCGTTTGTTACTCATGGTCGGGGACACATTCTCATGTTTACTTGAGAACACTCGAATGCCAAAATCGAGTGATAATTTATGATTACCGGAAGAATAATACGCACTTTACCGGTTACAGGGCTCTAGAAGGCACATCTCGCGCCAAAAGATGAGGTATCTTTTAACTCACCGCCTATATATATATAGGGAGCACCCTTGACGTTACAGGAAGTACATCAAAACCGGGTCAGCACTTGGCGGGGGTCAGGAGTCTATGATGTTTGACATGCCGGGAATCGATTGCGATATTTTTTATTCTTCTATTCTACAGTAGTGTGGTCCACGAGCAAGACTGGCTCGAGCTTCCAGTTTGAGCCGTTGTCTCAAGCCTGTACGAGCCCGACCCTCACGAGCCGGGCCGGCTCGAGCCCAAATCCGGGCTCAGCTTGAGCCGGCTCGTGAAATAATAGAGAGTTCTAGTAGCAATTGGATGGTACTAGGACAGAGCGAGAGGTTACACAGTGCTCATATTCACTTATATATTCGGGAGCTTTCCAGTACTTTAGAGGATCTATCTGTATAAGAACGCAACTCACCTCAGTTCAACCTTTATCGACAATGGATCCACTCAACGATCACGGATTGTCACTCGAAAAGCGCTCAGATTTTCGATTAAAGTAGGCCTTGTGGTATGAAAGAACTAAATATATGTGCTTCTAGAGTATCAGCCAATTCATCGTCAATTTTTATCCATTGGCTCGAGCCGGGCTCAAGCCCTCGAGCTTTTTATGAACAAGCCGAGCCCAAGCACTAATATCACGAGCAGGCTCGAGCCATATGAGAATTTGGGCTCGAGCCGGCTCGTGGACCACACTATTCTACAGTTTTTTCCAACTCACCTCTTTGTCTAGGTTTCATATTGTATTTCCGTATTCTGCCAGTTGTATTCATGATCATTTAGGCGCGCTGGCAGGAGATCAGGTCTTTGGCGACAATGAAAACATCTCCGATTCCAGGGCAGGCATGTAAGAGCACTAATACAGGTTCAAAGAGCTTTACAGGATAGAGCAGGTGTAACTATATAAACGTTCAGGAGTTTGGAGTGAGTGATTACATGCACCACTATCGCAGCATGGGATCGGGGATAGGAATGATGTATTTTCAAGTCTAAGCAAATGTCATCCCATAATGCCAATTTGTCGTATCGAATTCTAGTCTACAGATTAGTGCATGTCCAAAAATTATCCGAGACAATCCTTGATTAAATGTACTCCCTCTTTTTTAGTTGGGCTCGGATTCATCACCGTTGCTGATGGTTGAAATAGCTTGCGATGCGATAAGATAAGATTGAGATAAGATAAGCCGCATTTTGGCTGATACTGCAAATTTTAGCACTCGCCATCAATCTTTGGTAGTATAGTGGTTAGTATACTCGCTTGTCATCTAACGAAACGCGAGTGACCGGGGTTCAATTCCCCGCCAGAGAGTCTTTTTTTGTTTAATTTTTTCCATACTAATATTGGAATGAAGTTGTATGCTGATGCACTTTATTTATATTTTTGATTCTCATACTCTCTTTTTTCTTGCGCACATTGGTAGAATTCAGCGAATGAAATCCTGGCGCATCCGAAGAAGAATGCTAAAGATATATGATTTCGGTGCCCCAGGTTCCTATTGTCCTCAGTACTTCACATAACCTTTTACCGACAGACCACCTCTCACTAAGACTACCGTGATATCCCCCGCTCTACCACAACCTAGCCTCTTCCACATCACTAAGGGACCATTCATCACTTAATTACATTCCCTCCTTCCCTGCTTGCACCCCCGACAACTAATCTCAAAATTAAAACTAAACGACCTTCGTAAGCTTGCCCGTCATCGCATCATATATCCACCCCGTGGTATTTCCACGGACCACCTCTGGGATTAGTTCGTGTGTCTTGAGAAATTCGACCTCGTCCCTGACGGCTTGTTCTATGCTAATATTGGCGGTGGTATCAGCCTTTGTAAGTATGCTGGCTAAGGGGAGGGGTATGTGGGATGGTACTCTTCAATGGACCCGAAATCCTGATCGTCGGCGTTGACGCCCAGGTTCTTCTTGATGAGGCTCTGGATGGTGGGATTGTCGAATTTGGTCATTGCGCAGTCTGTTATTACCGTGAGGTTAGTCTTGCTATATCTATATCTACACGGCCCCTACTAAGTTTCCCTCCCCAAAAGAGTCGACCACCAGCTACAACGCAAGAAAAAGATTTCTAAGTCACCCGCGAAGAATTAAACATACCGGTATGCTTAATGATCAAAATCGCCTTCGTCCCGAACAACTGCTGCGACACAACCAGACTCCTCAGCGCTTCACGGGCACTGCCGCCGCCGTTGCGGATAAGGTGGGCGTCGCCGAGCTTGAAGCCCAGTGCTGAGGCGGGCATGATGTTGGTGTCCATGCATGTTACTATATGGCGAGGATTATTAGCTTTCGGATTTCTTTCCGAGATTATCATATTAGCCGGGATGGACAAACCAACGGCAACCTCTTTCACCGGCGGAAGCTGGAGATTCACGTCCTCCGGGGTGAACTTTGCGGCATACGCCTCATTTGCGGCCACAATGCTGGACTCGAGGATGAGCGTCATTTTCGGAGTTGTATTGTAGAAGTGGGCTTTTGGGATTGAGAATAACTTTGGAGTTGTTCGAGGTAGGATTTTGGCGGCGATGGACATTTTTAGACATCGGAAAGAGTTGTGGGTGCTTATACCCCCAAACCCAGCCGTGGACGTCATCCCGCGGAAGTTTGGGAAAGTAGCGGAAGCGGCGGACGTGGGCTTACTCTATGTGGGGCATCTGCGGAGTAGATAGCGGCATTTGATATGGTGTAGGTTGGCGGGATTAGGCTTGGGCTTGGGCTGATTGTTAAGGTGCTTTGTCTCTTTGTCGGGGGGTGGGGATTCTCAAGTTTAGTTCTGCAATTGAGCTTTCATAACCCACATCCAGGAGATCCAAATGCCACCAAACATCAATTCCAACCCCAAGAAACTAAGGAACTTGGAATACAAAACGCATCGTCAGACCTGGCAAATCGTCCATCATTCAACCGGCGAAGCTTCCTGAGGCCATATCCGAGCCCAAACCCGAACCGCAATGCAGCCGGCGAAGCTTCTTGAGGACGTATCCGAGCCTAAACCCGATCCTCAAATCAGCGATGTCAGAAAACTCAATTTCTTTGTTTTCATGCATAGAATAGGTGCTGCTCTGCTTCTGGACAAAGGATATCTAAATCCCGCGATATATACACCGAAGGTTGACGTTATCAATGATCATGTCTTTGTTGTCACACCTGGAGGTGCAGCTGGAGAGAATTAGCCAAGCATTGTAGGAACTTGGCGGGCTATTAACCGAGTTGTCGCCCGGTAGGCTATTTTAGCCATGTTTTTGATCCGGTGAGAAATTCTTGAGCTGTTATTAGAGAGTTTTTACCAAGTGTCAAAACCGACAATTCACACTTCGCCACATTAAAAAGTGGTTGCCGAAACCGTCAATTTTCCAAGGTGGGGATGTAGGATACGCCTGGAATTTTTACTATACTGAGTGCAGTATATATCCCGCCTGCATATTTCACAGTAAGCGTGAAGAATTATTTATCTACCCAGTTTCCCCCATCATACCTTCCTGGTGTGGTTAATTAGGTTACTGAGGGGAACAGTCAATTGTCTTCCGAAACCGTCATTTTTAAAGTGTCAATTTTCGGATTTGACACTTAATAAATACTCTCTATTAAATTCCTTTTTCGAACTCTTGGGGTTCCATCCTGTTGCCACTTCAGTTTATCAAAATAACGGCCTCCACAGAGCCTCAATGGAACTTCCCGTTGTTACACCATCAATGGACACTCATTACCGCCCCTTCTATCATTACCGGCGTAGCTATCTACCAATCTAATAGCTTCCCTTTCTAAACCTCATCCCCCACTTCATCATCATAATTCACCACCCACAAGCACCTATTCGTGCGATATCCAAGCTTATGGTACATCTCCAGTGCGCTCCAATTCTCACAAAACACCGTCAACCAGCATTCCGTCCCTCCTTCTTTCGCATGCAACTCATGCACATGCCTCATCAACGCCCTGGCCAGTCCCTTCCTACGATAATCCGGAAACGTCTCCAGGCTACTCACATACAGCCTTTTCCCTCCTTGCGCGACTAGGAGACTCACAAACGCCGCCTTCCTCAGCGTCTCCACCTCCACAACCGTCCACACCCGCTCCCCGCCACAGCTCACAATACTCTTCTCCTCCGGCTTGAACGTCACAAACCACTCCGGATCCTCCTCAATCCGAAACCCGTCCTTCTCCAGCGCTAGGCCCGCCACCGTCCACGGCGCCGGAAGGTAAGCGAGCCCAGGTACGGCCTTCGGTAGCTGCAGCTTCATCTCGTGGAGCAGGTCGACGCTCACGTTGACGGACTTCCGGTCGATGGCGGAGCTGTGCGCCCACAGGAGGATGGACTTGTCGAACGACGATATCGTCAGATGACACTCTCCTGGGATGTTACCGAGGAACTCGCGCATCGCATTGAAGTAGACGCTACGGATGGAGTCCGAGTTATTGATGAGGAGCCATGATCGGCGCGGGGTTCGGATCTCGTCGGGCGAGTCGTTGAATAGCGTGAAGAAGGTGCTGTCGGTGGTGCTGTGTGTGATTGTCTCTTCCGGGAGCAGCGTGCGGTGGTGGTGGATGGGCGCCGAGTGGCAGTAGTGGTGCGATATTAGGTCGGCGGCCATTGTGGTTAGGACGATGATGAATTGGGACGACTGGGTTTGGATCGTGGGGTTTTTAAAAACTGTCTAGCTGGCCTGTGTTGTTCCGGGCGGATAAATTGCTGGGATGCTGCAGCTCACGTGATGGTGAGATGTGGGTTTTATTGGAGGGGTTCTCTGCATGCATATGGGGTGGAAAAGGCATGATCTTCCTGTGGGCTGCGAAATCATTGACACTTTTAGGTTACATTTAAAGTAAGAAGCGTTGTTGTCTTGTACTTCGGTGCCCTCGAAAAGTGCGGGCCAAAAAAACCTTTACCGAGCTGATAGGTATTAGTTACAGGGTAGAAATGTCATCTTATAGTCTTCTTCCTAGGCCTGTTATATATAATTTCCCTACAATCATGTAAGTATATACCTACGCTCCTCCCCCGAACCAGAATTTACTTCCTGCTCCCTATCACACCGCATCACCCGCGCTACACCGGTACCCTCCCCGACTGGTTTACTCTTGTGGGAGGTCTCATCGAGTAACCTAAAGCAATAACTCACAGCATGCACCAAAGTAACTATTCTTTCCTCGTCCAACAAGACAGGTGATTAGTTTTTTCCCAGATAGCTTCACCGTTCATGCGGTGGTATGTCAATATAGCTAGCAATTGAATCATACCCCCCAATAAAACACAACCGGGGAGCTCCCGGGGAACACCCTAGGATTAAGAGTGCTGATCCTGTGACTCCCGAACAACATCACAAAACCGCACCGATACCTTTTCCTCGTTTATAGTACTTAGCAGTTGTTCTACAAAGAGAGAGCGTAGGTAGTGGACCCTTTAGTAACCTCGATCTAAAGCATCTATCATATCTCGAAATGCAGCGCAACATCAGTAGAGCAGATGTCAACGAATTCCTCGATTCCCCAAGCTTTACCGCCATCCAAACTCCCGCTATCAGATAGAAGCGCCAAGACCTACTAGGGGCCTGAGACCCACGCAAAAAAGGATTTCATGAGTGATCCTAGAAAAAGAATATTCACACCACCCCTAGGCGGAGTAGGGATATTCGAGACTCTCTGGCGGGGAATTGAACCCCGGTCACTCGCGTTTCATTAGATGACAAGCGAGTATACTAACCACTATACTACCAAAGATTGCTTCCCTGCTCTCTTTGTAGGCTTAAGTTTCTCGCTGGGTCTGATATGGTTAAGTCTTGGTTGGGGGTGCAGGGGTTCGTGCTGGGATTCTTGGCTTGTGGAGGAACATCCTTTATCACTCGGACTGACAACGGCAGGGGGGCTGGCTTGGCTCAGACTCGAGGGATTCGCACTACACAAAGTACTGTGAAATTTTCGCCAGAATCCGTAGAAGGCCCTACAGTCTCCAGTAAAATTATTGTGGAAGTGAGTTTTTCGGTGTCCCGATATTAAAAAGCAACCCTATTTGTCCTTGAAATATTTTTACTTCTAGCACAGAGATCGAAAAAATCAACGCTTTTAGCCTTCGCGATTTCACAATAGCTCTACCGGAAACTATAATAATGCCTGTGAATCATCTATGATTTCTCATATACCACACCGGAAACATTCAGTATAGTAGGGGGTAGCTTAATACAAGTCATAGTAAAGAGAGTAACTACATGTAGTTCAACGGGGTTACCCCGACCAAGACGACCCGTTTCATTTAGGTAAGTAAAATAGGCGGTCGGATAGGATGTTATCAACCTCGTCGCTCTGCGTCAGCGATTGTGACCATTTTTTATTTGATTCGCCGAGTAGGTTAAAGACTTTCTGTACCGATTGGCCGGAAGCTTCCCCTTGTTTGTATTTTATAACGCAAAAAGTCCTGCGAAGCTGAAAACCCAGGTCGTCTAGCTAGTACAGTAGCTGGTGATACATGACTAGCAGTACTTCATTCACTCCCGGCCAGCAGATCTATTCAATGAAGATAATTAATTAGTAGTTCTTGTTTCCCTTGTGGTCAAGCAAAGTTAAGATCTTATCGCAGTAAGGATACCCTTACAGACTCGGCTCAGGGAAATGACCCAAATCCAGCGGAAGAGAACTCATGTCGGGCCATTGAATATTTTGGAAGCGTGGTCGATCAATTGTCCAAAATATGTAACGATAGGACTGAACCTTTTCTGTAGGAGTAAAACTGGAGAGCGATTTGAAAATATATATAGTGCAACATTACTATGCCCGGGTTGCGAGATGTATTTATACTAGTGGGATATGTCCCAATCTAAATATAAAGTTTTCCCCATACGTAACACTTCCATCATCATCACAATCGCAGTTACACCCACAACACTCGCGAGGACTTTTACCCCGCTAAAGCCTCGAAGTCTTTTGAAATCTCTTCACTCTTCATCTCCTCCTCAACATTTTCGACATATTAACAGACAGAAATTCAAGCTTTAAAGATGACACATCTCCGGAAGGGGACCGCCTATACAGATATCGAGGATATCGAGAATACCGCCGTTGTCCGTATACCTATATATCGCTTGCCTGACTAGCAGTATTAGCTGACCTCTTTGCAGCTACTGGAAGACAGGGTTTTGGTATCATGGTTTGATTTGCGTAAGTTGACATTGCGAACTTTGTCCGAGTCGATACGTGGCTGATATCGAAACAAACGATATTATTAATAGCAAAATGGCAACAGTAAGTGCTTCCAACTTCAGACTGTTCGAATGAGCTCAATCCCAAAACACCGCATATGACACGGAAATACTCCACGTCCTCTGGGGAGATTCAACGGACGATTCCCAATTTTTCTGGTAATTGGGGCCACTACTTCCTGGCTTTCTTTCATCATACAGGATGAAATGGGGAATATTCCGCGAGGATTAACCGCAGGACAAAACGTCTGTTGCCGAATCGAAAGTTGCCTAGGTTCTAACGAAAATCTTTAGAAATAATGAGTTTATAGAATCCGGTTATCGGTATAGTCCCATCCCCGAGTTTCCTCCATAGCATATAGCTGCTGAACCTATATCTGTTTCTAGACAACCCTCTTATTGTTTCCGGAAATGCTTGAGCTCCCTTTTCTACCTTCATAATGAAACTGGTACTATCCCCTACCCCTCCTCCCCCCCCCTCACAATGTATCATCAGCTCACAAAGCCACGCCCAGTCAATATCTACACACACCTTCTCGGCTCCCTCCTTTTCTTCGCCCTCCCCTGGTACCTCTACACCCCCCGCGCCACCCTCGGCGATATCATAGTCTTCAGTATCTACTTCCTCGGTGTCGGATTCTGCTTCTTCTTCTCCGCCATGTATGTATCCTCCTCCTCCCCTGCCTCCCGTTATGCTAATAATCACCAGGTACCATACAATCTCCAATCACAGTCCCCGATACCTCACCATCGGTCTGCAGCTCGATATAATCGGTATCACACTGCTCATGTGGGGTGCGTCCATCCCGACCATCTACTACGCCTTTCCCACCCTCGAAAACACCCGTATCTTCTACTGGGCCCTCTCTACCGTCATGAGCGCTATCTGTATCGGCTTCACTACAAAAACCGCAAACCGGGCTCCTGCTATGAGGTCCTTTAGAGCTACGATGTTTACGCTCCTGGGACTGAGCGCGGTAATGCCAGTGATGCATAGCTGTTGGTTGCCCTCTGTAGGAGGCAGGTGCGAAGTTGTGCCTTTGGGTGGTGTTGCGGGGTTGAATCTGATTGGGGCATTGGCGTATGCGACTAGAGTAAGCAATTTCTTCTAATACACTCCGGGGTGAGTGGTGATGGGAAACTAATATTATAGGTGAAATACAGTTCCCCGAGAGATGGTTTAAGACGAGGTTTGATATTTGGGGCGCGAGCCATCAGGTTCTGCATGTGGCGGTGGTGCTGGCGGGATTGGCGCATCTGAAGGGCCTCATTGAGGCGTTTGAGCATGCTCGGGGTATTAGTGTTCCAGATATGGCTGCAGCTACGCTTGCTTCCGCTCTCGACTTAGATATGGCTGCATCTGTACTCGCTTCCCCTCTCGAGTAAGTTTTGCGCAATCGAGCTTCTCGAAAGATGAAGACTGCATATTCAGTATAAAGACCGAATCTCTCAAGGCTCAATACATACATGTAGTACCGCAATCTTGTATATAACTATGATACATATCTGGGGAAAAATGTCTATTCCGAGTTGTCCGTTTTCTTCTCCTTGTCAACGGGTGAAACGATTCAATTCGTTCATATAATATCACTCGCCCTCCGAAGCGCAACGCAGAGATTTTTTTTTTAATTCATTAATTGCATACAACGCAGAGATTCCTTTACCACATCTTCTCCTTACTAGGCACGTGAGTTTAGTGGGGAACTCCAAACATCCGAAGAGGACTTCGATGATATTATCGAGTTTCTATAGCGTTCAAATACGTGGTAAAGTACTGTCCGTGGTTGATCACCGATACTTTCCCGAACGGATGTGAGGTTATCTGAGGATCATGGCGCCGTCGGGGCCTAACCGAGCAGACGAAGGGATAGAGATAGGGCCTTCAACGGAAATGTGAGCAACCAATTAACACAAAATATCAAGTACCACTCTGGCAGTACACTTACCGGCATACCCACACCAATAATAATAACTTGGATGATGAGAAGCTTCATTGTATCCTTGATGCTTCTCAGTTGACCTTTTATATCGGCAATATCCTAGAAGGCACCGTCAATCATTAGAAGACTGGGTTTCCTTATAAGGGTTGCCCATGACCATGATGTTCATTTCGTACCTTTGACACTTGGATAAAATTATCCTCCAGGCGGGACACACGGGATTCGAGCGAGATATTCTTCTTCTTTCGTTCTGATTCTTCTATTTCTTTAATATCGGGCACCTCATATGGTACGTACCGTCTAGTAATGTAAACCATGCGATGATGAATAAAGCCGCGGGGGTAAATCCTCGTCTGGATTCGGGTTGAATGGATGCTTCCTTGTTTAACGAATAGACGAAGCATCTTTTGTTGAGAAAATGTAATGGTTGTAGCAAGAATCTTGTCGATCACAGCAAAGGAACATGGACTGAGGAAGGTCGTGGTGTTGAGAAGTAAACTGTGTTCTAACACCTAACGCCCACGGCAAGCGAGCGAGGGCTTACGTCACAACTAGTTTAGCTTTCCTTCTCAGTCTCTGTCTCACTTATCATCCTTTGGTTATGGTTAGTTGGTTAGCAATGGAGTTTTATATAATTATCCTTTCGTGTTAACGTTATAGAGCCGTTCACATTTTTATAGAGGCCGGTGAACAAATAGAGTCCTTAGTCGATGCATCCTTGCAAGTCATAGCTTCACCCCCCCCCCCCCCGCCCAACCTGCCCGACTTTCTGTTCAACACCCAAAACTCTCTAATCAAAGACCCGAGCGAGAGGGTAAAAATCCAGCTATCTCGAAGCGCCCCCAACTTAAGGGTCCGTCCTAGATAAGGGGAAGGAAAAAAATATAAAAGCGAGGCCACTACCAGTACAAGGTACGAACAGCGTAAAAAGCCTGAGTAGCAAACGCCCTCAGTGATGCAAATCTTCTATTAGAGGGAAAAAAAGGCCATACGCTTGGTCTCTATGTAGAACTACCTAATAATAAAGCTGAGCAAATATCTTTTCCTCGGAGTCAGATATATGCATGCAATACTTGAGGATCGGAATCCATGATTTACACTTCTGGGTTCTCAATAGTCTTGGATGGGTTTGCACTTCAAACCCTGTGCCTTCAACTTTAAACAACCGTCATGGCATCTGACAAATTGCCTCAGAGGTTCTTTATCTCCATCAAGACCTTTCATCGTACAGCTCGAGGTTTGTTGGGTGTTGAGGAGGATCTCTGATTGATTACGATCGACCTTTCATCAAGTTTCTCAATCTTTTTGCCAACGTTGTTGACCGAATGGTTCCTGCCGATATGGTTGTCCACCATGTTGGATGCAACCCCGATGAGGACTGCACTTGAAGTGATGACCGTAGCTTGCCAGCAGGAGTGGCGGCGAATTTAACAAAACCTGAATACACCTTTAGCTAGCATTTTCCCCGAGGGAGAGCACATCTCACGCTGGAAACGCATCCTGCTCTCACTAAGCCAGTCCCATTATCCTTTCTCTCGATACGGAATGCAAGTAACCGCAAGCACCCACCCTTAAATAGACGGACTGAGGTTTGTGCTCTTCTCGTACACGGTTTGGTATTCGGGGATAGATTCCTACTGGACCGAGGATTGCTCGTTGTGGCGCATAGTTCAGACAAAGTCTTTATTAAAAGCAAATTAGTACTATAGTAAAAGACACGTCAACAAAGTCAGTGTTTTTTTTTTTTTAAATCAGTGTTTCGTTGGTACAAGAATGTCACATGCAGCTAACGCTATGGCGTGAACAAAACCTAACCCTTATACCAACCCGCCGGTAGGAAAACAATACAGAGTCTGGTAGAATTATTGCGAAAGTCAGAACTAAAAGAGTGGGCTTCTTGGTCCGTGCTCACTGCAGAAATTCCTTTAAAGGCCAATAGGACTATCGGGTCACGGAAAACCCACTTTCGCAATAATTCTACCAGACTCTGTATCCCTTCGTGCGTTTTCACGACTGGGGGCTGGTAGGCAACTTTTACTCGGTAGTACACCTAACCCTCACTCCGTGAACCTCTTTTGCTGTGAAGTCACCTTCTGTGACCCCTCCGATACCTATTCTGGTGTCTCCACATGAATCTGTAGGTAGCTAGATTTTCTGAATATCACCACGCCGTCGTGGGCCTAATATGTCTTCCTTTTTGCTCTGACGAACGAAGGGATAGCGGGCGACAGCTGGAAGGTTTCAACTTACAACGCTTAACGTCTAGACTTATGGTCTGTTCGGTTGACACAAAAATCCATAGATTGGTTGCAATCTATGTTCAATCCATGGATTACAACCAATTCAACGTCAACCGAACGGAGCCTTAGAGAGGTGATCGCAGTACTCAAAGTTGCGATAGCAAAACCTCTAATCCTACTATAGGAATATTATGACCCATCTTGGTTCCCACTATTCCTAAAACCATCTAGCAGCCCAATTTTTGGGTGTTGAAACGAAGGTATTATGGGTTTCCACAAGTAAGCGTACATTCACGTTGCAACCAAAATTTGTATGGGAATGCAACTTCAAAAGCGTATTTCTCCACAACCACAAGGAGATGGAGCAAAGGAATCTTAGATATGGATTCTCCGGTAGTGATAGTATCTACAGCTAAAATGTCAGTTCGAGAGGGCGAATTTGAAATTTTGATGTTGTTAGGTGGTTTGTATGGTTACCACCTCAATGTTCGCTTACTTGTGGAAACCCGCAATACCTTTCCAGCTGTCGCCCGCCATACCATCAAGTCAACATACCAAGTCACTCCCACGGTCGCGTTCACCTTTTAGTAACACAACTCTCTCCTGCGGTGCGATCCTTCTGAACCTCCTTGTTCATGTAAAAGTCGAACCCTCCTTTTAACACAAGGCCACCGAGAAAAAAAGTAAACCAAACGGTCTATCTTGCTGCCAGATCTATCGAACTTCCTGTCAACTCTTTTTCCGAGATCCTTCAAGTCTGATTTAATCTCGTGAACCTCGCGTCTCACCTCACCTAGCTGGATTTTCATGACCGCGACGTCCTAAGAAAGCCATTATTAGTATGATTTTTTGTCTCGAAATACTAATTTCAACAAGTAGCTTTGTATGAGCACCTGCAAACAAGTACCAGAGGACTTGAAGACTTACTTCTGTAGTTGTAAAACCCCGACGCATCAGTGGGCTAGCGAAATGCCGTAGCGAATCGCCGGTAAACAGAATGTGGGACCAAGGAAGAGCCTTGACTCAGTGATTCCAACGGTTGAAACCGGTTGTATTCGGAGGTCATACCATACTGAACTGAACTGAACTGAACTGGGTGTTGGTTCTCTAAACCGGTTTAAGAACTAGAACCGTTTTTTTGTTTGGTTTGCAGACTCATAAACTAGATCATTTTTCAGAGTCCATTTCTTGGTTTATTAGGTGCAATTGAGCCCGCCCAAAACCAGTCCTCTATGTGACGGGTACCTGCATTATAGAACCGTTTAGTAAACCGGTCTGAACCGGTTTTTGATTAGAGACTTTGCGTTCGGAAAGCCAGCTCCATTTTCGCCCGCCTTGGCGTTGCAACGCCGAGCCTTCATAGAGCCAGCTGTAGATTTGGAGCCCGCCCTTGAACCTATTGCCCATATTAGATCCTCAATCAATGATTCCTTATCACTCTACCAATATCTGTCCGATTGACACTATTTTTGATTCCCTGGGTAGCCAAGAGTAAGCCCTATCAATGGCCGATCTCGAAAGCTATCACTTGGACTTCCTTGAAGGCATCGCTGAGCTTGAAGTCCTGACACAGGCAGCAAGAGTTGATAACATCCGGTGGCGTGGACAAGGACGTGAAGGAGGACAAATAAAACTAGATATTTTAGAAGGTGACGCCTGGAGAATGTATTTTAGGTAAGAGGTAATAGAGTGAAATTTCTTTCTATAGCTCTAATGTATAGTCAGATTCACCCGCGACGAGATTTACAGGCTTGCACGATGTATGCAAATTCTCGAACGTGTTGAAGGCGACAACCATATCTTTGAGGACGGAATAACTGCTCTTTGTATGCTGCTGGCTAGGCTTTCTTGGCCAAACCGCTTAGCTGATTTGTACCTCAAATTTGGCTGAAAACCAGAGCGTGTTTCACGAATCGTCAACACCCTACTCTTCTGGATACACGAGAGATGGAAGCATCTTTTAGTGTTTGACGTTGAAAGGCTTACACCGGAACGCCTTGTTACATTCACTATTGCGATACAGAATAGGGGAGCACCGTTGGAAACCTGCTTTGGATTCATTGATTGTACATTACGCGAGATTGCACGCCCAATATATGGTCAAGAAGCTGTCTACAATGGGTGGAAAAGAAAGCATTGTCTCAAGTACCAGGCTGTAGTCACTCCTGATGGAATCATAATTCATCTATATGGGCCAGTAGAGGGAACAAAGCACGATGCTTTAGTGTGGAATGAGAGTGGTTTATCTGATATATTAGAACGGCATGCTTATGCACCTGACGGGACAATCCTACAAATCTATGGAGACCCCGCCTATCCAATTACCGAGTATCTACTCTCTCCATTTGCTGGTGCAGCTATAGGTGGCGATGAGCAACACTGGAATAGAACAATGTCAAAAGTCAGAATAATAGTCGAGTGGTATTTCAAGGAAGTCTTGCAAATGTTTTCATACCTGGACTTTACCCGCAGTCAGAAGATACTTCTCTCTCCAATCGGTATCCAGTATCCGGTAGCAGTCCTATTGCATAACGCACATATTTGCTTGCATCGGCCTCAAATATCACAGTACTTTGCTAGACCGGAAGATGAGGATATACCGGGGCTGTTTGCACCTCCATCGCTCGAAGAATATTTTCATTATATAGAGTAAACCTTTATATACTTGACTGGTCAGATTCCTTCGCATTAAGAAGCGAGTGTTGAACAAAAATATTCATCGTATTGATCAGAACGTCAAGTTTAGTATTGAGTTCTTTTTGTCCATCTGCATTCCTTTTTTCAATCTCCGCTCGTTGTTTTTCCCTTTCCTCCCTTTCTTTTTCTCTCTCTTCTCTCTCGCGGTCCCGTCTTTCCCTCTCTAAAATTGCATTCCGGAATGCTTCTGACTTTTCTTTTAGGCCGGCTAAAACTCCTTCCACTTCATTGGCAAACTGATTTTTGGGAGCGCGAACCCTTTTTCTACAAGGTTCACCATTTGCAGTCTCAACAGTCTCAATCCCGCTCAAGACCTCAACAGGATCTCCTGCCTCCATCAAATCCCTCTTGCGAACCTGGGAACTCATGGAGGCAATCCTAAGCTGTGTAGCTTTTTCCTTTCTAGCCGTAAGTTTATCTTTTGCTTTTTGCCGAATCTCAGTATTCGTAGAGACAGAGTCAAATAACATGCATATATCAGTCATGTTGCGGACATGAAGATCCACTTCCTCAACTGAGCAGGTCTTCTGTTTTGATCGTGTGTCTGCTTTGTATCGATGAATTAGAACTGTAACTTGAAGCTGGAACGCACGCGACCAATAATGAGAACATGAATTGAACTTACCCGATGCAACCCCACCAACAAGTCCATTCTGTTTTTACATGAACCAGAACGGTTCATGTTCATTTTTCTACTCAAATTAAGTGCCACCTCGCGCCAACAGTCTTCTTTTTTCCCACCCGGCCTATTCAAAATAGGGTCATCCGCCAGCACCTGCTTAGCCAGAGCTCTATCCTCCCATGCAAGCCATGCCTTTCCTCTCTTCCTCTCCGGCTCTAGAGCAGCAGGTTCAGAGTCTGCAACATCAGAACCCGAGCCTGAACAGGTGTTGAGAACTAAACCCAAGTAACTCATGGTCTCAGCGGCGTTTCGTTTCGTTTCACGCCGATCGCATTTCATTTTCCTACAGTAAATATATCAACACTTAGTAGTAGAGATAGAAATAATGGCTTACAGTCAAAAGAAATCTCGTTCCGCTGTTTTGTTTCGTTTCGTTCCCGCTGACACCTATTGAACAGTAAGTACCTTGCAACATCACTAAACAAAAGATAAAGATTGATTACCTGTACTTCTCTATAGTAATTTGATAGATTGTAGAGGGATGGATTGCTGAGTGACAGGGCGATAGTTCGTGAAGATGAACAGGTGATAGTTCATGAAGGTGAACAGGTGAGAGTTCGTGAAATAGCTCGAGTGACATCACACACACATCAACGGCCGCGACAGCCGGCTCCAAACCCTAATTTCTTGGCGGCAGGGGGCGCTGGCTGCAGCCAGCGCAAAGTCTCTATTGTTATGAACGACAAGAACTGAACCGAAATATTAACTAAACCGGTTTACCAAAACCGGTTTGTTTGGTAGAACGGGTGAACCGTTGGAAACCCTGCCTTGACTACCTGGCGGCTGACTGGTCTCAACATGGTTATGATGAAGATCCTTCGTTGATGGATTCTGCTAGTTCTAGCGAAGTGCGAGAGTGTTGCGCTATCGCTGAGTGACCTTCGTCCTTCGTGTGAACTGTAAAGGAGATGGCACTTCCTGGTCGGAAGGGCGGGGGACATTATATTATGTAACGTAGGAACTATGTCACAGGTGTCCGTAACACCACGGATATAATAGGAGCAAAGGGGACGTCCAGCCTCTCTTTCACTCTCGAGTAACCGACTACATTCTCCCCTTCCAGGTCACAATAGTATTCAATATCAATAATTACTCATCATGTCTAAATGTATGCCCTTTGCTGGTACCGCGGTCATCACTCAAGGCGACAAACTAAACGCAAAGAACAATCTTACTGTGCGGGACGGGCGCGTAGTATTATCTCTCACCATTCACGGAATCTGGAAAATAAAACCGTTCTACCTCGCCCCAGAGGAGTTTTCCTTGATTTTCTGCGGGGATGACAAAGGGAAGGAGAGATTGGCAATGACCCTCGAAGACACCCCCGATGACTCCGGCGTTTTTAACATTGTCGTAAAGCCTCTGGGGATCCCTACACCTCCCAAGCAGCTGTGGTTTTTCGCAGATGCAATTGTGGAGCCTAGGTAGGAGAGCATGCAATTTTACGTTCTGGGTGATATCGATGATTGATATATGCTAACCATGTGTACGGCAGGGAGCCACCTGCTATCCACGGAAGAATTCAATGCGTTGATACAAGGAGCCCCCTTTCGGTAGGTGTTGGGGCAAGGCGGAGGGACTACCGCCCCGAGATATGCCTGTTTCGGGCTTGCCGAACGACATCGATCAGGATGTGAAATGGATCATTGATTATCAGTCTTTGCAATGAGGGGATATGTCGGATTTGTGAATTTTGCACTAGCCCATCTCCATTTTTGCTCGATTGTATGGGACGAGAAGAGCATGCACGGGGGATGGGGAAACAGTTGTGTTTTATGATTTGGTAACCTACAATAAAGAAACGTAACCATCAAACTGTCTGCTTTGATTATTCCTACTACTGATATCTGCCGCAATAGCAGAGGGAGTGCAAATATATCACATGATGTAGCTGTGTCGAATTATCTCTACAATTGATCTGTCTGGACGAAGAAGTTCATATTCAGCGACATACTCGTTTACCACGAAAAGAACCAGAAAATACAAGTGGCGGAGGCAAGGATGCTTTGTATGAGACATCGCCGTCACTCCATACAAATTATCCTCACCCTGAGCAACTGCATTTTCTGGTGCTTTTCGTAGTAAAAAAGTATGACAATATTGCAGAAGCAGGGGTTATCAAGGCTAGCTGGCTGGGCTAATGAGATTCTTCGCATATTTCCACAATGATGTTATTACTTGCTGTAGATAGGCATTTCCACCACTTGCCTACTGGGACAGATGGTCGAAACCAAGTCTTCCGGAATATCGTTGAAAAGGTAGATCCTACAGTTGATGTGCAGAAGTGCTCGAGTGAGGGAGCGTCTAGATTAAGTAGTCTACGACAATTGATAAACACTGCAACATTGCGCCCAGGAGTGATTAAAACCAAAAAGCGCATGCCGGCCAGCCATTATCTTCGCCTTCTAACGTCATTGAAATTATGATGTTATCAATTAATAAATCCTTTATGGCAACGTGATCAAGATAACGTAAGAGTTGTAGTTTTGAGCATGCGTGACAGATTGCCACAAGTCCTCATTGGGCCTCCCGACCGGGGGTGTCCTAAATTACGAACGTCTCAACATGTACATCAATCGACTTGTTAAGGTTCAAGTACAAATCCTGTGATAATAAGCTTAATGTATTTGATGACACTCGTGCGCTATCACTCGTGTAATCATCAATGAGCGTTTGCTAATTAACTCAAGTACAATAGAGGGTCCTTATATATATATACTACCCAACAAAAAATAAAGATATCAAGACCTCCATAGTGCTTATCCTTAGTTGACCACATCTTTCCGTACACTGCACCCATTGCTCAACGCGACGTCCATACAGTCCACCAGAGCGGAATAGTCCCTCATCCATCTCTCTTTATCTTCGCCCATTGTATCGAATAATACGTCCATATTCTCTGTCAGCTCAAAAGATCTACCATCGTATCTGACCATTCGCCACCTTTCTCCTGTTGTAACAAATCCGTAGACCTCGCCGCCGCCATCACCACCGCCGCCACCATCACCATTGCCGCTACCATAACTATTGTTGTCCTTCATATCTTTCATTGCCAGCAAACACTGCTTTATCGCTTTTCCAAGAGAAGCTTTCTTTGCCTCTATGACGAGGACAAACCTATCTTTCGTCACCGAAATGAGATCCATCACAACAAATTCCTCTGTGCCACCTGTCTCAGAGTCCACAGAAACGATCTCTTTCTCCCTCTGTAGGCGTATGCAGCGTCCCGTCTTGCGCCTGAAATCCAAAAGAATAGGATGGAGCATGATGTAGACCAAGTCGTTGATGTTGGCTTCTTTAAAGTCCGGATTCACCTCCGTAGGATAGCCTTCAATCTCGAGATGTCCAACTATGCCGGCATAAACCTTCTCCTTGGTTTTCAAGATGGAATCCCCCTCTCCATTAATAGACTTGCTTTAGGCCAATATTCTCTTAACTGGAATGGCATTATGGTTGAGTGATTCTAGTCTAATGCCTAGTTTCTTCTCTGCTTCTCGAATGGTGATCTTGGAATAAGAAGTAGTCCAGCTAGTCTTTCCCTTCCTCTGCCCAGTGTTATCTTCACCCGTCGTATTCGAATGTTGTGTGCGAGCCTGTGCGTGGTGCTTGTACCTCGATTTATTAGCTTGTAAAATAAAAATGCCTGCGTACGTGTGTCCGAACCTCGTTCGAATGATACAAACGGTGGCAAAATACGGGTACAGATCTCGGTACAGATCTCGGTACAGATCTCGGTACAGATACAAGGGAAAGTGCGCGCAACATGTGGCTCATTGTATCAGGGATCTGAAAGATGGAGAACTTGGCACAGTATCGAGATGAAACAGTGAGTGTTTAGATGGAGGAAGCTGGCTGGAACAGCCCTGCTGCCATGCCAAGATTCACCGTAAGAACCAGAAAATGCAAATGCATATTTTGTATGGCAGCTCAACATCACTCATACAAATAATCCCTGTAATCGTCAGTTGCATGTTCTGGTTCTTTTTCCCTGACGCGAGTATATTTTGGTTATCTGATTGGCAGATTGTGGATCGGCACCAATAAGGTTTCCGGGAAATGGGCCCGCCTCTGGATAAGTCTAGTACGGCGCGGCAAGCCGCATCAAACTTATCCCACACGCGTAGTACAAGGCTTGGGTATGGCAATTTTCATCATTCTATGACCGAACTCATTGAAATTGATGTTCTTAAAGATTTTATTCACACCCTTTTTTTTTTGTGGTTTGTATGACGTCCCCTGGGGGTGGTAAGCGGCCAGTTCGGTTTAGAATTCGTGGTACTTCTGGGCTGTGATGGAGGTAGCGCCAGGGCGTAGCTCCAAGCACGGACGCCAATTAGTGCAGGATTTTAATTACGCGTGTTGTGTGCAGGATCTGGCACTAGTACCGTAAAATGTTCTGCTTGCGTTCCGGGAGTCTCGTCTCGACACTTTCCGCCCTACGGGGACCGACCCCCCCCCCCCCACCAACCCGACCAACTAAACAGTGATATCCCATCCCAATCCCAGTGAGCCCACTTCAGTACTCATGATGTTTTGCAATTTCCTAGTTCTGGGAGCCAGAGCTTAATTGAGCTCACGACAAACGACTGCGCGAGTGATAATACATGATTACATCCAGCAAGTACACATGAGAACTACTTTCTAGCACACTCCCACTTCTATAGTGGTGGGGGTTAATGGAAATAACCAAAGCGCACTGTAGATGTCATGTTCATTGCAGAATACCGAATCAAAAAGCGCAAGTATTCCCCCATCCTCCCGTGTCCTCATTTCTCCATAACACCCCCGACTTCTCAACTTCAAAACTAACAAAGGAGATGGGCCAGTGCGAAGCTCTTATGCTCAGGCAATAGATGCACCTCTAACCACCAGATCTCTACGGCTGATAATCCAAGATCCACTTCAAATCCTGCTTAATATCATTTGGCAACCCGGAAACCGGCATATCCCTCGGTGGCAAGTGTACATCGATCGCCCCTTCAAGCGTCCACAGCTGCTCCGGCGGCAGCGGCGACATCAATAGCTTCGCATACGCATTACAGACGCCTGAGGGATCAGGCGTGTCCGAGAGCGTCATCGCCAGCTCCTCGTCGCCCTCGCTGTCCGCAAGCACCATGGCGAACTAGTCGCCGTCGGGGCCGGTAGGGCGGATGTTCCAGGTGCCGTGGGCGGTGAGGGAGAGGACACGACGTGGCCATTGCGGACGGTGAGGTTGTTCTCTACGGCGAGTTTGTCGCCCTGTGTGATGATGGTGGTGCCGGTGATGGGGGGGACGTGCGACTTGGCACTGGTACTCATGATGGAGAGCTCGGTAGGAGGTATGTTAGGTTAGTTTGGGAGTAGGATGGGTGGGATGTAGTTCTGGTTGTTGCGAGGAGAAGTGTCGCTATGCGCTAAACAGCTGTGACATATCTCCGTGGGCGTGGTGTTGATCCGGGAGTGACATAGCTTCTATGTAGCATACGTCAAGTTGAGCATTTGCATCGAAGTAAACGTCAGAAACAAAGATCGGCGGAGAGGGGGATCAACGTCTACTAGCCGGAGGTGGTAGCTATGATGTTTTCAACGCTGTTCACAGAGGCCACTGAGATACTCTAATTGAATCTATCAAAAGGACAACCGTGAGGGGCACGACTATCAATCACACCAAGTTCATCATATCTAGCTGGTTGGTGGAGGATGCTATTTTCTTTGTTGCAACGGCGGTGGCTTAAAAGGTCTAATAATTCTCTCGTGTGACTGGCGTCATAGCTGATCAACTTAAGAACTCCAAATCTCTAATAACCTCCACCATCAATAGCTATATGTTAACCATCCTAATGCAGATCTATCCATGCACATGCCCGGAAGAAAAACCCATCATCTGGAAGCTTGCTTATAACATTTACAATTAAGGCACTAGTATGCCTTTGATGGTGACCGACCCCCGATAAGAATCAAGGAACCGGATCTGTGGATATGAGCATCGGAACGGGATTCGCAAGGGAGGTAGGTGGTTTTGGCCTTTTCTTCGACCTAAGTATCGGTAATTGATACCAAACATTAGATTATCATAGCTTCTGAGAAATAGTTACATACGGATATACTCTATACATGAAAACACGAACCTGAAGGTAGACTGCCGCGATTTTGCGATCTTTGGTGGTCCGTGGTAAAGAATCTATTGGCGTTGATATAGGTTTTGAAAACCGGCTACAAATGAAGCGACTATCCGCAGTACACCGCCGTGTACGTCGATCTGGTAGATCCGTACGCCGCCCGCACAGCCAAATCCAGATTCCACACAACTGATACATAGATACTTCCAAGTAAACCTTTCGGCCATTAGCCCTATCAATTAATTGAAGGTTACAGAGTACTGTAGCGAATTGGCATATATGGTATGAGCTTGTTATTGCGTTGCTAGATCGCCCAAGCTGTGTCACGAAACATCAATGCCAATCGTGAGCAAATACTGATGCCAGGAGTGTCGTAATTCCATGAGCGCTGTCGTCAGCTAAACGAACTCCCTATTCTTATTGACATGTTGTTACGTTTGTGTTATCTGGAGAGATTACTTAGTTGAAAGATCACCTGCGTATGCTACAGAGTGTGATTATTTTATTGGACGAGCCCTATTGGAAGTTGATAACCCATTATTCGGAATACGACGTTAGAAAACCTTTTCCTGCAGATAAGAGTCCAATAAAGTTGGTATAAGCCTAAGTACTTTGTTCTAAGGCTTGTATAAGGCTTCCACATCAAATAAGCGTCTTTACCACGGCTAAGTCCTTGTAACAGTCTCTATTCGGATAAGTCGCCAAGAGGTCTACCTTCCGAATTAATACAGAGGGTTTGGTCGATAACATGCTATGATCACTGATACTGTCGTGTTCGGTCATAGAACGATGAAAATGGGGCATCCCGTCCGCTCTGCCATACCCAAGCATCGTATCGCCTAGTTAGTACTGCAGTGGGTGACCATGTGGGAATCCTGGGTACCGAACTCTTTTTTTTGCAATGTCTTTTTTTATTCGTCTTTTTACAGCAGGCTTCGTAATGTCAGTCCGTACTGGATTACACACACACGTAGACCGACTTCAAGGGGGTGTGGTTAATACGGGGGTATGGTTAATTCTAAAATTTTATATAAAAACCAAAAGAGATAGTCGATCAACTCCCTGCGTATCATACATCACTCCGGCGTATATTTGGAATAGTCAGTGCCGGCACTGCAGGTCCCGGTATCAGTTCGGGGTAAGGGATGACCTTAGCAACGTTTGGGGTGGTTGACGTTGGAGAAGCGGAAGAGGATGTTTGAACCAGATGTAGTGGCGTCGTAACACAATTTTGTGAATTATCAACCGAAGGCTTTAATTTGTGTCGTTAACAGTGGATAAAGTCTGGGACGAACCAGAGGGTATGCACAGCAATTTTTTTTATATATGATACGATCAAGACCTTGCTCATAACCTGACGGGTGAAGATTTGCCATCGTGGGGACGATAGCTTCGTACCAGGAAGCATTTGCCTTGCCAGCGGGCGGGGGCCTCAGAAATACCCCGCCGTGTATATTAAGTCACCGGCCCACGGAATGTTCAAAATCGGTATTCCTGAGACCATACACACATGCTGGCTGAATGATGCTTTTCGCCAATACAACTAGCAGGACCTAGGAAAGCTAAACTACATCAGCAAGCCTATCCGACTTTGCCGCAGATGCGGGAGGCATGAGAGACGCTCGGAGACACTTTCAATCTCCTTATGTTAATCCACTATACGAGAACTTCAGGAGCCTTTCTTCTACCATGTCTCCTCAGGCCCTCTCAACGCTGTGATGCCATCTCCTCTGGCCCCTGCAGTAGCCTATACCAGGTCACCTGGGGGCCTCTCGATACGAAACCACTTTTATACTGGGCTACCAACTGTTCTAAAGAATGCTTGACAACCGTATACCCATATAGTAATAAACTCAGCCAGATTTCCCGCAGCAAAAAAGCAAGAAAGGAAAAGCAGCAGAGCGAAAAAGCGCATAAACCAAAAACCTCATATCTTTTCCGTGTGGAATTGGACCCCCCCCCCAGCAGCAGCAGCGGCAGCTGCAATAGGCCGCCAGGTGGTAACGTCAATAACCTACCTCCCCCGGAACGAACACCCTGCGTCGACGTGATCCAGAGCAGGCCTCTCAGTGCAACAGCAGAGAGCAGGAGCTGAGTAGGGCAGGAGGCAGCGGAGCGGGCAAGGAGCAGGAGGGAACTATTTGTATATAGAGTGGATAGCGTACGTCATGGACAAATACACAAAATCCAAAGGACTCAGAACCAGACCGCCAGCGTGACAAGACGATAAGGCGAATTCTGCAGTACCCTGCGGCCTCTTGTTGCAATGGTGAGCGTATCTGACTCTTGACGCCTGTGCAGACGAAGCCACAGCTATCAGATGGGTTCTGAGACTTCTACCCGCGTGTCGGGCACGTGGGATAATATCCCAATCCCCTGAGCGCCGAGTCCCGACTCTCGTATCCGGCGCGTCAGAGACCTCGGGCGGAATATTCCGAGCATTCTGATGCCCCTGCTTTGGTTACCCGCGGAATAAGGTCATGAGTTCCTCTCTGATAAGAGATAAAGAGCAAGTATAGGAAGGGATGTAACAAATACAGCGTACGGCAGATGGGGTAGTGTTGTATGTGCTTTCGAATATCCTAACAGGGTGTCACAGTGGAGAAATTCTTTCTTTGAGCATTCAGGTGGATTGGTTAGGGGTTTTGCTTTCTACTACTCGCAGGCGGCGGGGCTGGCTGGACAGAGTGCATTTCTGTGATCGAGTGATCGATCATGATGTATAGCCAGTAATGTATTAAGACAGCATAATGTTTATTATTTGACTAGAGTGAAAATGAAAACATAATATTGAAAAAAGAAAGAAAGAATGCCAAACATCCTCATTGCACACCCAGGTAACACATCACTCCACCGCACTCCAAAACTCCTCCGACAGTATTTCACCCACAGTCGTTTTGAATGCCTTCCTTTTCTGATCATACCCGCTTGGCTCCGAATCCGAACGCCTCGCTCTCGCAGCTCGAGCGAGCACAATATCCATCTCATGACTCAAGCACTGCTCGACTGCGTCCCTCACTGCCACCGACGTTCCCTCCGGGAACCGCCAACCCGCGTGAACCTTCCCCTGGCGCCCCGAGAGGTGTATAGTGCCAGTATAGGACTTGCCAAGGGCGGCGATAAAGCTCCCACAGGCCCAGCAGACGCTCTTGGAAGTGCCGAGTTCCAGTAATGGTAGCTTGAGGGTGAGGAGATGGGTGAGGAGGGTGCATTCCGCGTGAACGGAGGTCGTGACGGTTCTGGGGGGTGGATTATCGGGAGGGACGATCCAGTCGGTGCTGGGGGGGGGGACGAACAGGGATGTGAGGCTTGGGTAGGCGGAGAGGAGGCTCTCCGGGGTGAGAGGATGGTGGACTCGGTGGCTGGCCCATGCGTTCACGGTACCAAGAATGTCATATTTGAGAGTTATGATTTCCGGTGGTGGCGGTGCAATCTATTGGATTAGCGACGGTGATCAAGAAGCGGGGAGGAACGGGAAGCTTACTTCACGAATAGTGATGGTGAGGCGTGGCTCGAGTTCGCTGTAGCCCTCCACAAGGCAACAAACGGCAGCGAAGTAGTCGCCGAGTTTCTGTAGTCGACGTAGCAAGACGGGGTCATCAATTACCGAGTCTATACCTGGAGTGTGACCGATAGCGTATGCTATGAAGAGAGTACTACTCGCACGGGTGCCAGCTAGTGCCCTAGTGGGTGCGTTGCGGAGAGCTGTGAGCCAATGAGCGATCGACTTTTCAAGCGGTATGTCGGACGGGGACGGGAATCCTGTTGACTGAAGCCTTTCCCAAAGGAGGGTAGAGGTGTCAGGAGACGGCGGGTTGGCTGTGAAACCTGATTTAAGCCGATTAACAAGCTTGTTAAGGCGCGCCTTAACCTTTCCCGAGCAGTTGTCGATGACAAGAGATAGGGCGTGCCGACAAGTGTCTTCAATGGAACTGGTCTCTCGGGTTGTCGAGGTGATGATATCCTGGAGGGTCTGGATGTATGATGATTCGGGAGCAGTACACGGGCGATTTTTGGAGAATAAAATCGTAACAGATTTAGTAGTGCGTATGAGAGTTGTAGCCGCCACATCACTATTAGGCTCGGTGATTAATAGTAACGCTAGGAGGTTTAGGACTTTCAGATGTTTTTGTTGAAGGGAGGAGTGCTTGAGGGGGCGAGGATACTCCAGGCGATGCGAGATGGTGGAGAGGGCAAACAGGCAATCATCGAATGGGGGTTGGAGAGTGGTCATCTTGAGTGGGGAGGGGGAGGTGGAAGATGGAGAGAGAGAGAGTGGGAAGAGGGCCTCGCAGCCTGATTGGTCGAGAGCGAAACCCTAGCCCTGCATGGCCAAAACAAAACCACGGGGGACCGAAAGGATTAACGGGGGGAAGGGGCCGAAGTCCCCATTAATTGCTTTTGTCCCCCCTAGTTGGAGTGGAGGGGGGCGGAAGGCCCCATTTTTTGAGGACTTGATATCCATCTAAAGGTACGTAGCAACTCGCGAGGTGGGCCACTACAGCTGTAGTACTGGTGTGTATGTAGGTACAATTATGTATGTTTTGGCCAGGCGCGCGCCGTTGTACTTCTCGGGGGGTTATGGGCGTCTAGGGAACATCATAAAAACTAATTATCGCCTAGTCTGTACTAGTGACCATATAGGAATCCCGGGTACCGAACTCTTTTTTTCGCAATGTCTTTTTTCATTCGTCTTTTTACAGCAGTTTTTCGTAATGTCTGTCCGCACCGGATTACACGCACGTAGACCGACTTCACGGGGGTATGGTTAATTCTAAAATTTTATATAAAAACCAAAAGAGGTTGTGTCGATCAACTCCCTACGTATCATACATCACTCCGGCGTACACCTGAGATCGACCATACGTCCCCCGTGTAGACCAAACCCGTGAAGTCTTCTAAGGTAATCCCCGAGTTAGGAAACCGTAATTACTCTCTTAGGTATGTGTATGTGATCTACCTGTTACTAGTAATAAGCATGGCCTAAATGGGCCGTCACTTAACGCGTATGCGATCTGGAGTCGCCAGACAATATGAAAACTATAATTTGTGCCCGAAAGGGCCTATATAATACATGCCAAGTAGATTAAAAAGTAACAGGACAGGGAAAAGTAGTACATGATTGAAAACAGAAAAGCTAACAAGTAAATCTAGTAGCGCAATAGCATTTGTTAGTTAGAACTTTCTCCATATTTAACAATGCCGGTGTTGATGTGAATCTTAGATACACTTGGGCACTTTGGAAGATGGTGGTATTCTTTAAGCTTCTGGTTAACTTTTGGCCTTGGGCCAATGGACCTTGTCGATCCTCTCCTCTTGCTGTATTCTAGGATAAATTAACCAGTAACCCTCCCTTTGACAAAATGATCCGCGACGTTCAAATTCAATAGATCCCGTTCTGATATGTTTCACTGTTGATATTACTGCCAAGAATCACAATCGAGTGATAGCGTATGAACAAGTCACGTGTGTGTTCACCAGCTAGCCCCACTACTTGACTACCCCCCGATCCTGTTTGCCCGTTCCTAGGTGGCACCGCAGGTGCCTCGGATATTAGTTATTGCTAAGCTTAAGATTGCGGTGGTCGATATCTCATCGATCTACAAAGGGATGATCCTCAGTGCTCTTGGCGCTGATGCACCCCTTGGGTTCCTGCGGAATCCCTTCGTTGCGAGGCTGTCTTGGATTGGGTAATAGGTACTGTTTCTTGGGAGATCTTGGGATGAAATGTTTAGAACGTTTGGGAAATTAACTAAACATACATGTACTTAGACGTTTTGTTTGATGTATTAATTAAATTTGCTCTGTAGAGGAGCATTATCCTAGAGGGGAGTTTTGGAGGGATGAGAAAAATTGGGATAACGGTATTTTAGACCCGTTTGGGAGCTGGCCTAGCTCGTAGAAAACAACGTTTCGATAATCCTCTGTTAGTGGGTGGGAAACGGAAAAATTTCGAGACGGAGTTTTAAGCGAAAAAATAGGTCCTAGTTACTTATTGAAATTGGAAATCTTCGTTTTCATGGAGTTAATATTGTACTCTGGGTCGCAAAATAGGCCGCCAAACACATTTTCTCAGAACAGAGTTTCCGCCACTAGAACGGAGTTTTAAGCTCCCATAACTCTGTTTTGGATGGCTCCCAAACGGGCCCTTACTTCTTTTTGCATACTCTGAGATTGCGATGCGATTCTGACCTTACCATGCCTAGTTTCCATATGAGCAGATTTCAGTGCTTAGGTCGTACCCCGACGCCAAGCTCATTGGACATGAAGGGAGAAATGATCCCAGTTGGACGAGTGATCGGGTATGAGTAACTTCGTGCATAGGGGCCATAAAACTCTGCAGACCTGTCGATGATTGTCTTAGATCTCTGTCAATGCTGATAGAGTTTTCGATGTTCGTATGTATGTTCCTGCAGGTTAAAGTACTATACAAGCCTCGGACGGAATTTGAACATTTTCGGGAATGAAACACTTCTCTAACGAAGGTTCTTGGGCATGGATATGTGGAGCCTAAAAGTCGCGATTTTCGCGGCTTTATATGCTGGGTTACACTTCCTTCAAGTTGAAGAATTTGATTATTAAATCCAGAGAATGGGCGTGCACATTTCGTCCACTGCACTAGCGGATATGTGATGAGTATCTACATTCATTAGTAGGTAGACAGTTATCTCGGAAATGATATCATGTAGCAATGAAGGGGTACTTGCATCGTGAGATCCCTCCTACACGACGGTAAGGAGGGTATTTTTGCAGTTCAACAAACGAAACATATGAGAGCTCATACGACGTCAACTTCTATAAATCCCGGCTTTCTACTACACCTTCTCGCTCTCACCATCAGCTCTTACTTTCGCATCTTCATACTCACCCACAGTCTTTATCTTATCGCAACTCACAATCTTTTCAACTTCCACCAACACCTTCCAAACCACCCCCATACCAAAAATGCATCCCTCCACCATCCTCGCTTTCTTCTTTGCCGCCGCTGTCACGGCTTCTCCTCTCATCAACCGCCAGACAGTCGCCTCAGGCAACGATGGCTCCGGGGACCAGAGAGTCGGCAATTCCGGTCAGAACAGTGGTAGCGCTGCTGCCAACAAAGGAAAGATCTCTGGCGACTACACCGTCGAGCAGGGCGTCCAGACCTGCGGAAACGCCCAGCTTAACTGCTGCAACAAGGTCGAGAAGATGGGTGATACTAAAAATGCCGGTGTCTTGGGTAGTGTCTTTGGTAGCGGTGATGTCGGCGTGCAGTGCACCCCTATCAACGTGCCTCTTGCGATCGCTCGTATGTATCCAGGATGTTCAGCGGTGCTTAGAGGCTTCAAGCTAACAGTTACACAGTCCAGGTTCCTATCAACAAGGCTTGCGACGCAAAGGCCGCTTGTTGCCAGGGAGACAACACTCAGGTAATCTCTATTCATCTAACTGCCATTTTGATATCGGCTAACTTTGACCTGATAGAACGGTGTTGTCAATGTTGGATGTGTTGCCCTTACTTCTCTCATTTAGATAGTGGTTCCGGTATTTCCGAGAGTTGGATGGTCGGCTTTGCCGAAGTGGGTTATTATATTCGGGTCGTGTTCCCAATTTATATATACTTTTCGTCTCTTTGTTTAAAGAGTTTCATAGCCTTCATTATAAATTTTAATCCTTAACACCTCATAAAAACTTGCAAGCTTGAAGCTACCTGATTCGTGTTTTCTCTTGCACAATTGGCCTGAGATCCTGGAATACGTGTGTCTCTGACATGTAAGTTTGAGCTGTAAAAAAGGGACTAGTCATCATCAATCCTTAATTCTAAGAAGCGCGATTGTTAATACGTGCCCCAACAATCTCCATGATGGAATATTCATGCTATGCGTTTAGCATAGCACGGGCACGGTAACTGAATCTTATCCGAACCTGATAGGCTCGACCTTAACCTCCCAGACACACATAAACCTTTGTTCGTCACCACTTGTGATTCTGAGGTTGCACACATGTTAAGTTTCAATGATATAGTCGTGCTAGAGTATATGAATTCTCCACAAATGAAGGTTCTGCGCACTTCCCATGAAGAAACCATTTCGGAGCATGTTGATTCTTAGAGAAGTGCTTGCTAGATGTCGTATACTTTTCATAACAACCGGCAATTTCCTTAGAGCACATGCCGCCGCCCCTAGTATCGGCTTTTAAGGGGGGAATTGATATCCGTCCGTATTAAACATAGCATGCAAGGGCGGTATAACGTTCCGGAGGAAGATTCGACATTTTAGGAGAAATCTGGAAGGAAAGTTGCAGATCTCGTAAAAGGGTTATATCATTAATGAAAATCGAGGTAAGGCGGATCCAAGATGCGCGTTCCAAATTTTAAGATGAGCAGGTATTGTACCAAGGAGTACACGACCACCCGAACCCTCATACCTATAGCGCTCTCGCCCTAATCAATAAAACCTTTATAAACTCAACAATAGTCTTCTCCTCTCTCTACTTTTTTTCCTCGCCATCCTATCATCGCTACCACCACACTCATTTAGCATTCAAATTATTTTAATATTTCTCCATTTTTACCATCGCATTTATCCACCATGCTTGTCTCAAACCTCTTCGCTTTCCTTGCGCTTACGCTTACCGCCGTCTCTGCCTCTCCTCTTGCAGTCCGCCAGACCACCGCTTCCGGCAACGATGGTTCCGGTGACCAAGACGTTGGCAACAAGGGACAGAACTCTGGGAACGCGGCGGCCAACAAGGGCGCTGTAAAGGGTGACTATACTGTCGAGCAGGGTGTCCAGACCTGCGGTAACGCCCAGCTCAACTGCTGTAACAAGGTCGAGAAGAAGGGAGACACCACCAATGCAGGTCTCCTTGGAAGTGTCTTCGGCAGTGGCGATTTGGGTGTCCAGTGCACTCCCATCAATCTTCCAGCCGTTATCGGTGGTATGTATCACTCTGTTTTCAGCATCAGATACAGAAGAACCAAAGGCTAACGTAATTTACTACCCACCAGTCCAGGTCCCAATCAACAAGGCTTGCGACGCAAAGGCTGCTTGTTGCCAGGGAGACAACAACCAAGTAAGATTACCTTTTCATTCCTCTCGTTATGCATTTACTAACAGATTCAACAGAACGGTGTCGCAAACGTCGGGTGTGTTGCTCTTACATCGCTTATCTAGATGTGAACCATCAAGTCCGTCATGGTGTGCAAGGTGTTCGTGCGCCAAACAGATTGTCTCAATTATCCCAACTTTTCTTGTGTTTTTTCCTTTTGTATTGGGCGAGACAACTGCAAAGGCCTTTTTATTGTAAACGTTAGATTTTGTTATAGCAGATCCTGTAGATTCTCTTGATCGGTAGCAATATAGACAATCTCTAAACTCGAGAAATAATTGTGCGGGTATAATGGCGAGGAATGTGGCCGAGTGATAATCTATGACCGCACGTGGTGTTCATGAAAGGAATGCGGTGATCGTACCAAAAGCGAAAGTAGATCGCTTACTACCCCGCCAAATATTCTGTTTTGAAGAACTATCCACTGGGTACAGGCACACGCTCTTACGTGAGGCCCACATGTCTTCGCTGCTGATATTCCGATTTCATAATTCTCAAACAGCGTAACCGTTCCCGTGGGTCGAGAGAAAGGTTTCCTTTTTCCGCAATGGTCCAACTCCGTACACATACGCATATCCATTTCCTATCTGGGACGAACGAAGTATCGATCTGTTCAGTTCAAGATGTATCGTGATTCGTGACCAGGAGCCTTTCCTCCATATGACTACGGCGCTCAAATAGCTCCGAACTCGTGATAAAAGTATCTCCAGAGATAGCTTATCATATGAGGTAATGATAGAGTAACGAAGCGAAGAAATCTTCTTCGGGAAACAAGTCCTGTGCCCCACTGAGCATTCGCCCGGCTCTCTTCCTAATGCATGCAAAAAGCTGCTAAGAATCCTGTATTGCAATCGTGGTTCAGATTAAACTACTTGTGACGGAACCAAATCAAGTAATACCGGCGAACGTGTTCGTACTTACCTATAGCGAGACCAGAAAGTCAACTCGTCAAATGAATGCAGACGACCGTTGCAGCGGCATACCTACAAATTTGACGACGAGATTAGTACTCCGTCCCCAACCTAAAATTGTGGTATGCAGGTAGGTATGTCAACCCCCGCAACACCGACTCTGGCATGATTCGCGCTGCATAATCTCCTTTAGTCGTCTGCAAACAAACATTCAACCATACAATAACAAAAACAATATATCGACCTATAGACCTAAACTTAGTATATAAGTCTTCTATATTCTCATATTGTACTTCCCTTCTCATCTCATCATCACATCCTCACATCTTCACATCTCCACATCTCCACATCCATCTGCATTCACATTCTTCGAAACCTTCAAACCTTTCAAACCCCAAAACCTCAAAACCTCCAAGTCTTCATTCAAAATGCAGTTCAGACTCTTCGCCCTCCTCGCTACTGTCGCTCTCACCCTCGCCTCCCCCCTCCACATCCGCCAAGACAACAATGATAACAACGATAACAACCAAATCTCTGGCAACGATGGCAGCGGGGACCAGATAGTCGGCAACAACGGTCAAAACGCAGGCAACGCCGCTTCTAACTCCGGTAAGGTCAACGGTGACCTCACTATCCAGCAGGCTACCACGACCTGCGGTAATGCTCAGCTCAATTGCTGCAACAAGGTCGAGAAGAAGGGAGACACCACCAGTGCTGGTCTCCTCGGAAGCGTCTTTGGCAGTGGTGACTTGGGCGTCCAGTGCTCGCCCATTAACGTGGCCGCCTTGGCTGGTAAGATACCCATAGGGAGAATCGAATGCTTGAAGTCGCATACTAATTGGATTTTCGTACAGTGCAAGTACCAGTCAACAAGGCGTGCGATGCCAAAGCTGCCTGTTGCCAGGGAGATAACACTCAGGTAATTATTCCTTTGTATTTTTTTTCACATAATCAATACTAACACCTTTCTAGAATGGTGTTGTCAATGTCGGGTGTATCGCCCTTGCTTCCCTCCTCTAGGGGATTTTTCTATCGTCGTTTGTCCCGCTCGTATAATAGGGTCTTTTCATCTCGTGAGATAGCAGTAAAGGAGGATAATTTGGTTATAACAGTAATTAATGTGTATTGCAATTGGAGCAAAGAGCGGTTATCATAGTAGTTAGTTAGCAAGATCAGAGTAATAATAAACCAAACTTCATGATCCTGTATATATGCTCTTCCCATATCCCACATCTCCTCAGCTCTATTTGCTTGGATGTATTGTCACGTTGAATCATATCTCCGAATGTGTAAGGGTCGCTAGAAGGGGGGAAGGGATGAAGAGTGGTTGAGCGAAGCAAGGGGTGAGGTTGCCATACACGTTAGAAGTACATGTATTCATGGACAGTCACTCGACCTAGGGGTCTTGGCGCTAGTTGAACACTAAGAAGCATGCGCAGACAACTTATAATGTTTATCGCAGTTAAAGTCAGAACGCAAAACCAGAGCGGTTCTAACTTTTCAGCAACTAAATTTCTACGACTGATAACTCGAGGGACACCAATTTACAAAAACATGAGAACTGCGTGGAGCAACACCTCCGTGCTAGTTCCTCCCAAGCTCACCACTAGGATCAAGCATCAACAGATCTGTCTCGATGAAGTCAGAAATGACGAAACACACCGCAGAGCAGAAAGCGTGGCCACCGATAGGCAGTGCGAAACCCGACACCCAAGTTATGTCTACATAACCATACGAGGAATTAAGATCCTCTGGGGATAAAAGAGGCTTAAGTGAAAAGTATGTATACCATGGCTATATGTGTTTCGGCTAGAAGCCAAGAGTGTGTGCAACATCATAACGATTGAGCTTGCTAAGTACTAATTGATTCTTGGCAGCCGAAATTCCCGGTTTTCGGGGCTACAGCACAAAGACATGAATCGCCTCTTTCGATTCATGATCTTGAATTGCAAAAAGGAAATATTGCTGATCTGCTGTCTATCTCGGATCTCGCTCGGACCAAGCGCTGCTGCAGGGACGTTAAGCAAGGGTGCGTGGCGGTGAATCAAACGCCGCCTACCAAAGGTCTCAACCAACAATGAAGAAAAGGAAATATTGTTTCTCGCTAATCCGGGACTACTAGATATATACAGATCTAGATAAACCCAGATATTCAGGCACATCCGACGTCAAACCTTAGGAAATCTTGTTGATCCATCAGCAAGAGCTACATGCACTCCTTGATCCCGCTCCTCATTACCAAAAATATTCCATTATGCGGCATCGGATGAGAGAAAGGTTTTGTACACCAAAGGAAACTCAGTATCAGTACGATAACTTCCCTAAGTGAGCGATTATTTATGAGCTATCCAAACTGCTTGATCAATGTAGTCTATTCGAGTACTCTATTAATTCTAATGGAAACAGTGGTTTATTATATCTACCTTACGATAAAGAGATCAGCAGATCCACGTTATGTCTTGGGTCGAAGAATCAGCGGTAGTAACAACGTCTCGGTGATCCACACGAACTATAACCACATCTACTGATCGTCAAGAAATGGGCATACCTAGAACTCGACTCCTTAGACTGTCTATCCGACCTGTGCCCGGGGGTCCAAGAGTGTTCTTTCGGTACATGTGTTAGTATTGCGGTCCCCTTACTTCGTCTAGGGTCAATATAAATTACATAAGGTTTAGCTGCACGAATTGAGTCAATATGTTCCGGGCCACTGGCGGATACCTCGAATTCGTGAATGGACTGCTTTCTCCGTACACCCAGGACCGGACCGGTCCGTTGGCGAATGCACTGGGCAAAAGGTAGTGAAATTGACTCTTGGAACCAACACCCGAATTGCCTGGGCTCTATCAGAGGCCATATGGCTTTACTAGAGGTCATAGGGCCCAAATAAGAGCTTGCAAAGGTGCCTGAGGCTGATAGAGGCCACAGGATGTCACTGAAGCTCGCTAAGGATCTTGAAGGTGCTAATTATTATTCCAGACTCGATATTTAGGGTCGCTAGTCTTTTTTTTAAGGTCTCTGGTGATTGTAGTAGTCATCGGGGTTAATATAAATCATTATTAGTTATCAGGTGTTGATATTAAAACAACAGTTTCCCCAGGCTGTTCGTGAATAGACTGGTCCTGTCACAGATGTATGAGCCTAGGAGTCCATTCACAAATACCTCAAGTCTGTTCGCGAATTTGTCAAGTCCATTCACGAATCTGTCATATCCGCGAATGGCCCGGAACAAATACTCGAAATGTTTCGCATTTTACAGGCAAACCGGGAATCTCGAAATTTAGGATCGATTATGATCATGGAACTACACCCCTTTCAAGTCGTTAATGATCGGCCGGATAACTTGGCAGGTTGCAACAGTTGTCCCTACTACTTGCTTTTCTTTCGCCGTGAAGGATTCGAGCCCGAGTCTTCTGTATGGTGAAGACGGTGAGAGAATTCAAATAAGCAACGCCTGGAGTATGACGGATCCCACACTGATGAGGAGAAGCACCAACGACCTACGCCTAGACACTATACCTGAAAGAGGGCAGATATCGAAAAAGGGGTTGGGGGTGGGATGTATCAAGAAATACCTGCATCCTCTCTGGTGCTTATACTTCTTACTTCTCACTCCTCCACCCTCTTCACCATCACCCTTCCTTTCGCTTCAAGTCCTCTCACCCATGCGATCTGCCTCTAGTACTAACACCCCAACAAAATGCAAGCACTCGTCCTCCTCCTAGCTCTCTGTGCTGCCGCTCTCCCACACTACCCCCCGGCCACTTCCCCAGATGCAACCCTCTCCGTCACAGAATCCAACACCGCACACCACGACACCAACGCCCCCAGCATCCGCACCGATAACAACCCCCCCCCCCCCCCAACAGCCCCCACCGCCGATACTCTTCCAATAGCCACAAATCCCGTAAATGAAAACACCCGGCAAAGCCCCCGCCGGCTCCATCTCCCCACCCTCACCCTCACCCTCGCCACCCCCCCCCCCCCGGGCGCGCCCCGCGCCCCGCACCTCCACCGCAATATCCGACGGCGACCAGGCTGTATCTATTTGCGGCATTGCGGTTGAGAGGAAGGAGGGTACGACGGGCACTAGTTATTTGAGAGTGGCGAGGTGGGCCTGCGGTGTTCGCCGCTTTGGTTGGCGGGGGTTGGCGGTGGTGAGTATGACGCTTGTGGGCGTGGTTGTGGTTGTTTGGTGTTGGAGGAGTGGAAGTGGTGGGGGGGGGGGTAGGCCAGGTCCCGGTTAGTGAGGTGTGTGATGCAGAGGCGGCGCGCTGTCGGGTGATACTACGTACGTGGGTGGGCGGGATGGGCCTGGGGGCGGGCCTGGAGATGGGGATGGGGACGGTGCTAACGGGTGGTGCGCCGATAGTCGGGGGTGGTTAATGTGGGGTGTAGGTACACGTGTTGCGCTGTCTTCGCTCATATAAGAGAGTATTTGCCAACCGTCAACTTCGACAATTGATGTCACTTCAAACTTGACAGTTGCAGGAGGTAAAAATTGACAGTTCCCCTCGGTGCAAGAAATCTCGATCCAGTTAACGGTATACAAAACTACCCCCGAAAAATAAACAGTCCATCACGCTACCCGCAGTGAAATAAGCTGTTGGGACCGAAAATTCATACCGTAACCCATTGGTACTAGCCGCAGTACTATATATAGTAGTTCCAAAAACTGGGTACTTGTGGTCCTCCTGGTATATCACACAGCATGACGCGACGCCCCACTGGGGTTCAGAATTGACAGTACTGGTTGCCATTTTGGAGCCCCACAGTTTGTAAATTCTTGAAATTGGCGGTTGGGAAATAACCTCTTACAATAACATAGTAGAGTGCTAAAGCGCAAGAGCGAGTGGAGTGTGGGTTTTTAAGGCCTCTTGGTGTGAAAGCGAGTGCCTTTTGATGTCTGTGCCCGGGTTTATGTTTTTGCTTTTGTTATGTGTAATAGTAACAGCAATAGTAACAGTCCCAAACGGGGGTGCAATAGTAGATATGTATGTAGCACCAGGGGGTATGTGCTATTCCCATTACGTTACTAAAAGTCACTAGCGAGCGCCTCCACCCACCCATCCAGCCAGTAGACAGCCAGTAAAAGCATGCAGCAGTGATCATTACCGGTGTTCCTATCATTACCTCTCTTATCTCTCTCTCTCTCTTCCCTTGCACCCCCCCGCCTTGCATTCACAACCGGTCCGACCATTAATCCGTTGCAACAGCCAGCCAGCCCACCCAACAACCCCACTCCTCACACATGCTCACACATGCTCACACATGCACACACACACCCAAGCAACGGCGACGGGCGAAGAAGAAGAGCTCGTCGCATCCCTTACCCCGCAACCGGCATGCAGGGCCGGCCGGTTGTTGCACCCTCGCACACGCACACACCACGTCACGAGAGATATCGATTCTGGCCAGACCCCTCTCTCTTCTTGCTTGTTTTCTGTTCTGTTCTGTCCTGCTCTCCTGCTCTCTCTCTCCCGCTCTCTTCTCTTCTCTTCTCGCCACCATAAAACAAGGAGAACTCCACCATCACCATCACAGACAGCTCTACGGAACAGATAGACACTAGACTAGCACGCATAGACAGATACAGTGGTACAGAGTGGTACAGATGGCCCCGCGACCGTACGAAAACAACTTTAGGGTGCGACTGAGCAAGACGGGGAACTGTCCGGCGATATATGCAATCTCGTCGGGGCCGCAGAAGGGGGTGCATATGTTGAGGTGTGTTTGGCTCTCTGTTGTTTTCTGTTTTCTGTTCTGTTCTGTTCTGTTCTGTTCTGTTCTCTATGGAATCTTCCCCTTTCCCATCCTCATCTCTAGCTCTAGCTCTCCTTATCTTCTCTCTCCCCCCCACCCCCTACACACAAAACCACAAAAACTAACAAACCCCCCCCACAACAGCACCGAGCCCCTCCCCCCTCACTGCAATACATGTACCGCCACCCCATCAACATCCACAGCACCTTCCTCGACGTAACCGGCGACTTTCTCCGCCGGCGCTTCGACAGCATCGAGGCCGCGCAGCGCTGGATCGACGAGATGGACCGGTCGCCGTCGCTGCTGGCCGACCAGCTCGCCGCGTCGCTGTCGCTGTCGATTAAGCCCAGTCTTGCTGCCACGTCGCGGGAGCGCCGGAGGGACCCGGTTTATAAGGGCCCTGGGATGGTTGGCATGGGAGGAGGAGCAGGAGGGATGGCGGGGATGGGGAAGGTGAGTGCGTTTAGGGTGGCGAAGAAGGTGGAGGGAAGGTATAGTAGGAGTCATACTGGGGCTGTGGTGAGGAGACGGAGTGATGGGGATGTGGCGGGGGTGGTGGGGGTGGTGGGGTTGGAGAGGGGGATGGCGGAGGTAGCGATGGAGGATTAGGGGGTAGGGCTGGGTGGGTATCAGGGGGCGGGAGAGAAGCGGGGGTGAGGATGAGGGGGTGTGTTTTCGGCGGGCGTTTTTTGTGTTTGTGTTTGCTTGGGGGTGGCTTATGTGTGCTTTTTTAAATTTGTTAGATACCAGCTGTCGCTTTATAGCTCTGTTCCTTCCTTCCTTACTGCTCTCCTTTGTTTTTCTTCGCTGTTTGTTTACTTGGTTATGGTCTCCTAGATTAGTATATCATGCATCATATCATGCATCCACATACAGCATACAACATACAACATACAACATGTCATGTAGCTTAGCTTGGGTTAGGTTAGGTTGGGTTAGTAGCGTAGCTTAGTAGATCATGTTTCCTTCTTATGTCTCTTTCTCATCTCGCATCCCTCATCCCGTATTATCAGTCCCATCCTATCGGGGGTCTTTTGTCTGTCTCTTTGTTTTCATGTTATAAGTTAGTAGTAGCTACTCGTAATCGGAATAAATTGTGGCATCCATTTCCCTCACTACTTACCTCCGCGTACCCAAACCCGTGAGATTTTGGGTATGGATGAGCCATTTGGAAATTCTAGTTCATCTTTCACACGACCACCACCACCGCCACCACCACCGCCGGCGCCGCTTCTTCAAAACCTATATCCAGTGCTCTGTTTGTTGTAATTGCACTATCCTACCGGGCCCCCCCCTCCCCCGCGGCCCACCACCTCTCCCTCCCTCCGCGTCGGTAATCGAGGGTGGCCGGCTGGCAAGGGGAGATCGGGGAAATAGGAGTAAGTAGAGTAGAGCTTTACACATCCTACCAGCTACATAGTAAGACCAACTCGTGACGGGGCGTTAGTACTTGATTAATTGGTCCGGTGGTTCAGCTGAGGCGTACGTAGAAGCGCTATAGCTACTTGCTATTTATATAGCTGTTTAATTCCGCGCGAGGACTGTACTGGTCCAGTGGGCGGGGCCGGGGCGTGAAGGTGTAATTAATATGGTATGGCGCTCGGGATCTAGCTAGCTGCGCGTGTATTAAATTCACTCCAGATGATACATATATAGCAGTACTCGGTCAGACCCACTGGCGATGAAATCTATATCTACTATGTATATAGCAAAAACCGTTCAATCCTACAGTAGTATCACCACATCTTTAACCCCAAACACAAGACTCCGCATCCCCCCTTCCCCCTTTTTTTATACAATACTCTACAAGTAATGAAATAAGTTCCGTGTGTTCACAGCCCACCCCCGTCCTTCCCAAAGCCCCCATCCCAACACAACCCTAACCCTACTACTCCGGTGAATTGTCAAGATATCAACCAGAATTCATTGACGCTATCGTGTTCGGTCATAGAATGATGAAAATGGGGCATCCCGTCCGCTCTGCCATACCCAAACATCATATCGCCTAGTTAGTACTGCAGTGGGTGACCATGTGGGAATCCTGGGTACCGAACTCTTTTTTGGCATTTTTTGGGGGGGCGGGGGGGTTTGGTGTGGTGGAGTTTTGGGCGAGGTGGGGAGGTGGGATGGGTGGTGGTTGGGTTGAGGTGGAAGGAATAGTCTTGGTGCGGGTGTGATGCGGATTTTTATTTGTAGGTGGTCCCCCGGGGGGGGGGGGGTGTACAAAATGCGTCCGCGACATGGGATCCTATCATTGGCACCTTGCGACTCCCCAGCAACTGCCACACTATCGTAATGATATCTCTATTTATCTTTTTCTGCTTCTGCGGCAGGCCTCTAGCTCTCCCTACGTACTACATGTCGATCCTTCTGAGGCCCGACGATATGTTATTAAGATCCCAGTACTAGTATAAGTACAGATACAGATATGACCAGTGTCAACGTGAAAAAACATAGCTCGCTAGACCCAGGGATAATTGATTGATGTAATTAGCCTTCTCCATGCGGAACGCCTAGATGGAGGTAGAGGTGAGGTAGAACTATGGTGGATTTGGATTTAAAAGATACAGGACGGCTCTGGATGTGTCGGGAAGGGGCGCGCGTTGTACTAACGTATAGCTACGGAGAATGGAATATTCCCTTGGGGTATGCTGGGCTGGGCGTGGACGGGGTGGTTTTTTGGAGTGTCGGGACCTCGGGGCGCAGTTTTCGAGTGACAGTGTATGAGGCTAGTCAACAGGCCGAGTCCCAGCGTTTAATTTGGCTGAATCGAATCGGGTCTCCGGAGGTCTGGCGCGTGCGGGAGGCCCTCCGTCGGCTGTCAGCTGTCATCTGTCAAAGGCGGTGATTTGAGAATCGATGCTACTTGTAAACAGCTACCTTATGAATATTGACATATGACTGAGCTCAAACACCTCAGGCGTCATCGTCACTTACTTACCAGGCAGTCACCGACTACCCACCCGTACTATCACCACCACCACCACCACCACCACCACCACCACCACCACCAAATACCTCACCGTCCCCTATCACCACCGCCGACCTAAAAAAAACTTAGTCCAATCCAATCCAATCTGATCTGATCTGATCCAAGAGTATTAGCAAAGTCTTGGCGGTTCGACCTAGCAGCACTCGCCTTAATTGGTCGAGTGATGGTGGATGACGGTGGTGTGGGGATTCAGGGTTCTGTTTCGCCCCCTGCAGAACTCGTGCTCCCAACGATTTTTTTCTTTTCTGAATATCATAGGAAACCCCCCGATCACATGCGGCCGAGGTAGCAGTTCCTCGATGTTGATCTTGTGAATCCTTTTTTTTTTTTCTTGTGCGCTTTCTCCACCAACCCCCACCACCGCCCCCACCAGCATCACTCATCACCACCTCTCGAATACGAAAAAAAAAACTCAACAATTTCCTCCACCCTCAAAAAAACTACCACTCTTTGTAAGTGAGGGCTCCCCCAACAACTACCACCACTCTTCAAAAAGAAAACATCGACAAAAGAGTTCGGTACCCAGGATTCCCACATGGTCACCCACTGCAGTACTAACTAGGCGATATGATGTTTGGGTATGGCAGAGCGGACGGGATGCCCCATTTTCATCATTCTATGACCGAACACGATAGCATCAATGAATTCTGGCACATATCTTGAAAATTCACTGGAGTGGTAGGGTTAGGGTTAGGCGCCTGCAAAGAAATGACTGAACTCGGATTATCACACCTTGTCATACATGTGCGGAATCTTGACTTGTAGGGTTGGATATTGTGATAGTCGCTAGCTGAACTGGTACCATCCTGGAATTTGACATCATAAGGTGCTCCTAATATTAAGCGAAAGCATCACGTTGGTTGAGTATTTGTAGCAATGGATACCTCAGTGGCTATCCGCTATTTCAATCCTACAGTTACTGTTATGGCAGGAAACGGCGAACGTCATGGAGTTTAGTGGGTTTAATCGAAGGCTTCGGAGTTGTAAGTGTACAAGTATTGCGTAGGGTGCCATACTTGAGTTTAAATAACCAGAATACTTGCAGCCAAAACTATGAGCTGTTTGCGTGGTATTAATTCATTCGTTCACACCGCATTCGCGATACCGGTTTCATGCCGGGTATGGATCAGGAAGTGTTGAAGTAGAGCATATGTGGCGGGGGTGGGCCAAGGCTTGAGGGATAGAGTTGTGGATTAATTCTGGGGCACTCGATGAAAATATCCTCCGTTCGCTGTGAGATGGTTTTCGATATAATAGGCAAAGAATATGTTTCTCCTAGGCTACGGTGAGTGGTGTGGTCGGTCGATGGTGTATTCAGGCCGCGCAGTGCTGATCCTTATCACCGTTAGCTGCCTTCGAAACAGGAATTCTACACGTACCTGAGTCGAGTAAATCACGAAATAGCAGTGTTCCGAGCAGGTCGAGACTGATTGACCAAAGAACCTCCCCTCGTTCAAACTACTGCTATAGAACAGACAACGCAACTGTAATAGAGTCCCGAATGAATTCTCCACTAATCTAGAAAATCACACTGGGATCTAGTAGAGGGGACGTATATGTGGAACCCATGCCTAATATGCTGGTCTAGAAGTCTCTTGAGGGCAAAAATGACGTTCCAAGGGTTAGTAGTACAAGACTTACTTTATACTCAGTCAATTTCGTCACGCTGTGGTGCACACATGGCTCGAGTACACTGTCGAAAAAGACAAACCGTAGAACAAACTCTCCATTATCATAATCCAATTCATTCATTCAGCAGCTCGAGACAACGCCTCCGAGTATTTTCTTCCCGGTACCATGGTAACAGCCGTTCATGAAATATCACTCACTTCCCTACCTTTACCAACAACACGCTTACCCCAACTATCACAAGAATGATGTTTGACTCATGGCGGCTCAATGCGCTCCAGCCCAGGTTTGGATTAAGCACAGTACAGAAAGGAGGTTTGTATTAGAGCCATGCGCATACCATGTTCTGACCTGGTTGTGCCTATAGATAGGGATTGCCGCACCTACCCTACACCAGCAACTCATCAAATCCGAGCCACCAAAACGAAGCAAAACACTTCCATCCATAGTACTTCCCACACTACAGAGAGACCCTTACCACAAAAACGGCGTGTACCTTCCGAGAAATCATCGTGCCCAAAGGACTCTATTAATAAACTCTGACCGGTGGGCGGTGAATCCCTCTATGAAGAAAATTTGCTCTTCCTGCGGGACATGCCTCTTAACCAATAACATGGTCTCCTAGGTATCTCCGACTCCATAAAAACCGGCCATCTCGATGCTTTGGATCCTGGGGCTCTCATTATCATCCCGGAATAACGCGAGTGAGAGGCTGTGCGCCAAGCTCAGAATGCAGTTACTAGTATTCAAAACCAGGACTTTACAGGATCTATTTTTGGACTACTCGATTGTAATTTACGTTCTTATGTTCATCTACTCAGTCAACCTATGGGGGAATCGAGCGGGCAATGATAGGGCGGCGAAGCAATGTCGGGTGAATATCAGACATACCAACCAGGTCCACAGCACTGTGAAATAGTGCCTTTCTTCGTACAAAGCACATCGCATACATTCAAATCACCAATATAGTTCTTAATCACAGCTCCCAACTTACACATCTTGAATAGCCATAGCCCGTATTTCTTGTGGGTTTCTCCAACCTGGGCTATCAATAAACCAACTAACCAACGATTTCTATCCTGATCTTTCCCGGAAGTTAGTGACGTCGATACATCCGTCTACAATCTCAACGTTATGTGGTTCTGAAAGCCCTCTATGCTCAATAATGGCCCCTACAGTTCCCGGATATCCGATTTGTTGAGGACGCCTGGTGCATGCACGCCCAGGAACATGGTTTCGTCGGGTTGCACAAGCCGAGTGACTCACTATGAACTAGATCCAGACGTGAAACGCGGTCAGGGATGAGTTGAGTAATCTGAAAAGATTCCTTGGGGGCTTTATCGGTGTGCTGTTGTTTATGGCTTCGAGTGGCCCTCGATAAGGCCGCCCCCATATGTCTACTTCACACTGGATTCTGATATCTTGAAATTCTCGATGCTCGATGGAACTGTTTCGTATAGATCACTTACGATTACTTACTCGCATAATTAAAGTGCATAAAAGAGTATCCCAGGCAGAGAATAAAAATAAATATGGGCCATCCCTGCCTGGCCTGACCTCATGGACTCCCGGCGGCCGGCCCCCGAACAATTATGGCCTTATGGCCCTTTATAAAGCTGCCAGTCCCAGGAACCAAGACACCGCCTTATCAAACCGATAAGCACCGATAATGGCATACACAACTCTCCTCTGGGTGCTTTTTGCCCTCCTACTTCCCTATTACTTCAGACCTCTTATCCACAACCTACTTAACCATCGCGCCAATGCCAAATATGCCCGCGAACACAACTGCCACCCCCCAAAGGTACACCTCACAAAGACCGTCTTCCCCTTCAGCATTGTCAACGTCTACCAGTTCGCGCGCGCCGCTGCGTCAAAGCGCCACATCAACCATTTCCTCGACCAGGTCCAGCGCTTCGGCAATACACGCGTCTACTCTTCCCCGCTGTTCATAGGCCATGCCATTGTTAGCATTGAACCAGAGATCATCAAGACTATCCTCGCCACCAACTTCGCCGACTGGGAGCTCGGAAAGGTCCGTCACGAGGCCTTCTCGGCACTGCTGGGCGACGGTATCTTTACAAGCGATGGCAAGGTCTGGGAACATGCGCGCGCTCTATTGCGCCCGCAGTTTGTCAAGGACCAAATCTCGGATCTTAACGATCTCGAGATACATTTCCAAGACCTGCTATCGATTCTGACGGCGCCGGGGGAGGGCCAGGTCGTCGAGCTGCATAAGCTCTTTTTGAGCTACACCATGGATACGTCGACGAGCTCGTTGTTTGGGGAGTCGGTATTTTCGCTGCGCAGGCGTGGCGGTGACGGCGTGGGCGAGAGCTTTCAGGACGACTTTGATTATGCGCAATTGGCGATGGGGTATCGGCTTGTAGTGTGGGGGTACCATCTACTATATCGCCCACGCAGGCTACCCAAGGCGCTCAAGCGGATCCATGACTATGTGGATGAGTTTGTCGACCGCGCGATCCAGAGACAAAGGGTCGAGAAGAAGGAGGAGGGGAAGTATGTGTTTCTGGAAGAGCTCGCGAAGGCTACACAGGACCGGAAAGTGTTGCGGGATCAGACTCTTAGCGTCATGATTGCAGGCAGGGACACAACGGTGGGTTTGGTGTTATGGGCTAGGATCTGGGCTCTGTTAGCTGACTTATATGCAGGCAACATTACTGTCGTGGGTGTTTTGGCTGCTGTCGAAGAATCCAAAGATGTGGGGGAAGCTGAGGCAGGAGGTACTGTATGAAGTTGGGAAAGAGCTACCAAACTACCAGCAGCTGAAGGATTGCCGGTATCTCAAGTGGGTGATCAACGAAGGTAATTCAAGTCCTGACTTCACCCATTCTGTTCCATGCTAACATACTACCTGCCTAGCACTGCGATTATACCCAGTCGTCCCCATTAACTTCCGTTACTGCAACAAGAACACCACCCTCCCCATCGGCGGTGGCCCCTCTGGTGACCTCCCCATGTTTGTCCCAAAGGGCTCCCGTGTCGTGTACAGCGTGTACGCCCTGCACCGCCGCACCGACATCTACGGTGCCGACGCCGACGAGTTCCGCCCCGAGCGCTGGGGTGAGATGACGCCGCGAGCGTGGGAATATCTTCCATTCAACGGCGGCCCAAGAATCTGTATTGGACGTGAGTTTACTTTGCCCCCCTTGTTGAGTGAGTGAAGAAGTGGTTGTGGGCTGTGGTTAATGGGTTGGTAGAGCAAATGGCGCTGATTACGGCGAGTTACACGATTGTGAGGATGGTGCAGGAGTTTAGGGCCGTGGAGGATGCGGATATAGTGAGGGAGCAGGTGTTGACGAATATTGGGCTTACGCTCAGTCCTGCGAATGGGACGCCGGTGAGGTTGTATAGGGATGTGGAGTAGGGAGGGGTGCGTGCTGTTTTATTTCGAGGATGTATGTAGGTTTCGGAATTGACACTGGGTGCAAGGATGGTCACCGTTGCCAAGAGGCTTGACCAGCGAGACATGCAGGAGCCGCAGAGTGACTTGGCTAAATACTTCCCTGCATACTTGGCTGACATAAGCTATGATGCGGCTGAACTCATGTTTTGTGGCTTCCGCCGCTGCCTGAGTTGAGCCTTTTCGATTAAACCAAGAGGTAAAAATTCAAAACTCGATATTTCTCGTACGGGGCGTAATAGTTTTTAAATTTGAGGAAACAGGTAAATGGTTATGTAAGCTACTAATATGTACATATGTACTAGTAGAGTAGATCGCGATCGTGCCTGGCGAGACTTTAGATCTAACAATATGGACTCGACCCTAATTTTCCCACACGTATATACAGTACGTATAGCCTCAACCTTAAATTTGGTCATTCCCGAACTGGCAGACATTCCTCATCCCTCTCATCCTCTCCGCATCACCGCTCGGTGTCTAGAATTGATCTGTTTCCTGCATCAAAAGTTTTACATAATTACTGGACGGTTAATCCAACTGCTTCTATCAGCTCTATCTGCAGCTGGACTTGTGTCGGCGCACATCCATTCGAGTTGGCTGCGTCTGTGGCCTTCCCAGGATCTAGGTATTGATGTCGAGGTATGTATGGTTCCCCCAGTCTTAAAGGTAACATGAGAAAAACGCCAAGTTTCGAATAACTTTTCAACCACGATTGATATTAAAAATCTGGAAAGACAAACTCTTCTTCATCATGGTATCCAGCTTTTCTCTTTCCAGATTTTTAATATCGATCGTGGTTGAAAAGTTATTCGAGACTTGGCGTTTTTCTCATATTACCTTTAAGACTGGGGGAACCATAACTCGCACCGTTACTGTGAGAATACTTAACCTGCATAACTAACTCCACATATTACCAGAAATAATGTGAAAAGGCCTGTATGATTGCCTCAGTTTATAAGCAGCATGTTGATGTGTCCCGCTAACATTTCACCAGCCTTTCTGACAGTGTACGTACAACTCACTCGGTATTTGGCAGCTTTGGAAGTCAACACTAACTATTAAACAGCTGTAGCGAGAGCATGCTGGTCTGGGGATTGGCCTTTTGCACAGGATTGACGATATGGCCCTTAGTTACTCGCGCGTTAATTAAAAGGCCAGAATTTTGTGCGGGGATTTGGTTGAAACAACTTCCGACCTTACGAGCCAGTACAGCGATAGGAATGATCAATGGAAAAACAGGGGGGTTAAATTTGTATGGTGTGGCGTCGTACACAGATATTTCGCCATACAATTTCGACGCCCATGTTTTCCCATAGATCATTCCGGTCGCTGTATATAGGTGAAATAACTAAGCTTTCGATCCAGGCCGTATCGTTTGTGGCCAATTGTGGCGGAATAGCTCAATTTTTATTCGCTGATGATCATGTATAGCCACAAGATCTGAGATCTACCCCCTCACAACACCTTAATCTCAGGCGAGGAACCACGCTTATTTTCAGCTTAGCCCAAGTTTAAAGTCCATCGCCCCTCGAAAGCCCTCCTAGCTGACTGAGCGGGATTAACGTACTGATAAAGCCGGTAGTTTCAACAGAGATCCCTGGATTACTGCCCAGGAGCGATATCTAGATGGATTAAGCGATGAACACAAAGCTCTCTATAAGGAGGCTTCGGTGGAGAATCTTTTTTACAGTACCAGCGCAGCACAATTCAAACACGAAAAGAATAGCAAGTCTAGAGCTGCGGCGAAAAAACTTCAGCCGCTCATTGCTGCAATCACCCAATATGGCGGTGCTTTAGATGTTCTCTCCAACACTTCTACCCTGTTCTTTTCACCCATCTGGGGGGGCTTGCGGGTTCTTTTGCACGTATGATATCGATGCCCACTTTAATTTCTGTCTTGAGATAGATTAACTTACACATACTGTGGTATCTGAATTAGATAGCAGGCGAGTTTGACAGATATTATTCAAGGCTTATCGATATGCTAGAAAGGATAGGGGATGTGATTCCCCGATTTAAAGCTTATGAACGTCTCTTCCCAAATCACGAACAACTACTGTATTCACTGTCAGTCGTATATCTTGATATAATCAATTTCTGCGTAGACGCGAAGAATGTCTTTCAAAAAGTCAAAAACCGCAAACGATGTAAGACATTCCACAAATCTCTCGTATAGTTTTTCCTGACCATTGTACCTTTAGCTCGATTTTCCTTCCCCGGGAGTGGCTTACGGGCTCTCAAAGTAGTCTGGAAGCCATTTGATCAGGAATTCGGGAGTAGAATCGACAGATTCCGCATGCATTCCGAGAGAGTAGATGTGGAAGCACAGATCGCTCATATGGCCGAACAAGCCAACGAGAATAGACGACAAGGCAATGAAAGAGAAGCTCAGGCCCTCGAAAGGCATGCCGCCGCAAAGGGAAGAGAACGGCAGCTCCTTTTGCACAAGGGTAAGTATTCTAGTTCTTATGATTGAGCATACTGTTTCGAACGCTACATGGTCATTTAACGGCAAATGTTAGAGCAAGCGGGCCAGAATATATTACAGAAGTTATCACTGTATGAGCCAGAATACAAGCATCGCATTATAAAGAAGGCGCGCATCGAGGGTACTGGCAGATGGATGCTAGACTCTCCGGAGTTTGTGGCATGGCTATTGGATCCAAGATCCTCATGTTTATGGTGTTATGGGATCCGTAAGTGACCTTCTAAAGAGGTGACTGATCAACTGCTAAAATTTGTGAGGGAAAAGCTGGATCTGGAAAAACGATTGTGAGGTGAGCTATTTTCGATGCATCCGTTTACCTCCTCTGGTTTCTGCCAGAAAGTACTATTGATTCTAAACCAGGCTTCTAGTACCACTATTATCGATTCAATCATAGATGATCACCTCCTAGATGGAAGCTCTTTGATCTGGTTTTACTGCGACTATTCGGAACAAAAAACACTTGACCCATCAGAGATCGTTGGGAGTCTGATAAAACAGCTACTGAACATTCGACTTTTGGAAGTTAATATCGACTTACGATTGCAACTGGAGAAAATCTACGATAACGATCGTATTCCAGACTTAGATGAACTCTTTGACATGCTCTTGCGAGTAATTTCGAAATTTCCAAAGGTTTTTATCATCATTGACGGTTTAGATGAGTGTAAAGAGAAGGATCGAGAACTCTTATTCCCGTGGCTCAAGAAGTTGCACAACAACTCCTCAACTCTTGTTAAGCTCATGATAACAAGCCGAGATGAGGTCGACATCCGGAAGGCGATCGGGGGCACACCATCAATCCAAGCAAGTAAATCCAATACCTCTTCGGATTTGGCAATTGTTGTAGAAGAACTAGTCAAGGAGAGACTGGTAGGGCAGAGAGATTGGTTAAAGGATCCTTGTCTGGTTCAAGAGATAATCGATGCGCTTGTTGATGGAGCAGAGGGAATGTATGCATGAATCACATCTAAAACCTTCTATCTTCTCCCTACTCATTAAATCTTCGTTTCTAATTCGTTTACCCTCATTATAGGTTTATCTGGGTTAGGTTTCAACTTGACGATATCTGCGAAGAACTCTCTGAAGAGGGGGTAAGAAACGCTCTAAAATGCCTACCACATGGGTTGAAAGAGACTTTCATAAGAGCAATGAAAAAGATTACGCTACGGGGACAGACACAAGTTTCGGCGGCAAAAAAGCTGTTTATGTGGCTATCTTGTGCAAAACGGGTGCTTTCGTTGGAAGAGATGCAAGAAGCGGTAGCGATCCTTCCGCACGACAAGGATCTTGAGAAAAAAAGAATTCCAGATAGTATGCGGCTTCTCCGGGCATGCGGGAGTCTTATTATCTACGATTCTCAGGAACACACAATAAGGTTTGCGCATTATTCTGTGCAACAGTTCCTCTCCGCCCCAGATTCGTTGAACACTATCCCCGAATTTCACTTCTCCCAAGCAGAGGCGGATATCGAAGCCGGCCGAATTTGCATGACCTACCTGAATTTCTCTGCATTCCAGGTTGCAGTGGCCACTTACAACAATCTTTCAAAAGAGGAGACACGACTTCTTCAGCTACCACCGACTCAGTGGGTGCCCCAAATCGCCAACTTTAGTGGAAACCATCCAACTCTATGGAACCTCTTCAAGGGGATCAGCGGTAGCGGTACCGACGCCCCTACCATTAATTTCAATGAATACTTGCGTTATGTCGAAAAGCCTAGCAAGAATCTCATGGATGGATACAAACTTCTCGATTATGTTATTAAATATTGGTGTCCACATACTGCATTGATTTATATGGAGGTCGATGGGGAGGAGATCGGTCAGTTTAGAGAGCTTGCATTCGAAAGAAAACTTTTTTTCAAATTCAGACCCTGGGGAGAGGGCAATGAAGCCTCTCATATGAAAGATCCTTTTATCTGGGCGCTTGAAAACAGCCATGAGACTTTGGTGAAACTCACGTACGCGAAACTCTCGAGCAATACCATTAGCAGGCTTCTCGGATATAATGAGCATTACTGGTGTACCTTTTTTCTCCCCTGCACGGCAGAATCCGACTTGTCGCACGTAGACAACGTAATATTACGTAACACTATCTTCTATCTACAAGAGCAGCACTCTTCTTACGTACAGACACACCAGAAATCTCTCATTCTGGCTATTTTAGCAAAAAACAAAAAACTGGTCGAGATACTTAATGAGGAGGAGTTTTTAAAATATATATCAATAGATAGGAGAAACAATTATCGCTCGATAGCATCCCGCGCAGCTGAGAATGATTTCGAGCGGTCAGGAATCGAAATAAGGTCGAGATAGTTATTGGGGAGGGGTTTTTAAAATATATATCAATAGATAGGAGAAACAATTATCGCTCGATAGCATCCCTCGCAGTTGAGAATGGTTTCGAGCGGTCAATAATCGAAATAATTAAGTTCATTCCCACACCACGCTTCGTTCCTGAGTAAGTAGTAATACACATAAACCCCACCAACTATGCATCCCTACACATGTTTATGTTTTAAAGTTATACTGACTTCCCCGTAGTTATAGACCTGTCCACATCCCCCGGTAGAATTATTGCGGAAAACAGGGACAACGATCACGCCGAGAACAGGGCGATTCTCCAACGCCACATTTCCGCAATAATTCTACCGGAAGCTATATCCCCTTCCCCTTATGGGCTGTCTACAGAGTTGTGAGCCGTTTTTATGCAAGATTATTGTAGTTAAGCTTAAAACATGGTGGAACAGTTCTAAATATTGAACGAATTTTCCCATCCCTAGTAAAGAGCCTTCAGGTTTCACAAAAGATCACGCAAATCACACAAGTGCACAAATTTCAAGATCTCAATCCAAACATTTCATTCCTCTAACCCCACCGCCTACGGAATGTTGGGATATTGTTCTTCAGATCTCACTCCACCCTCTCCCCCATCCCCTTCTATCTGCTCTGCTACGCCATCAAAACGTACCCCGCCCGTCCACCTCGTACCAATGCATAAATAATACTAATCCGCTCAACGAAAGGAAAAAAAAACGATGATACCCCCGTTCCCAGCGAAGAAAAAAGGAAAAAAAAGACCAAAGAAGGAAGGAAAAAAAAGAAAACTAATCCCTTTTTTAAATTGGACCCCCGAGTAAGAAAAAAAATAAATGTTAGATGAACGTAGAAGGAAACCCAAACCCAGAGAAGAAAGAGAGAAATGAAAAAATATCATCCCAAACGTTGCCTATCGACCCTGGTCTCGAGACATGGAAGAATTCAAATGAAGAGAGGGAAAAAAAATACAAAAACTCATCAGCACTCGTACATCTCTATTGCATCTAAAACTTGGAATGGGGCTTGGTGTCGAAGCCATGGATCTCCCTGGTCGGGCTGCCGGCCGGGGAGTGCTCGTGTGCGGGGTTGTACATCTTGGTGCGGATGTAGGTATCAAGGTCGGCATCGCTCAGCCATTGCAGAGTCTTGTTCTTGTCCAGGTTCTCGGCCTGGGAAGCACGGATGACATGACGGGCAACGGAGACGGAGATGTCGCGGATCCTGTCGAGGCTGGGGTAGAGCCAGCTCTTGGCTCTCTCCTCCTCGGTCAGGGAATCCGCAAGACCAACGGCAGAGGCGTAGATCATCTCCTGGGTAACGTGGACCGACTCGCAGAGAACGGTTCCGAGACCGATTCCGGGGAAGACGTACATGTTGTTACCCTGGCCAGGGTAGTAGGTGACACCGTCAGCCTCGACCTCGGGGAAGGGAGATCCGGAGGCAAAGATGGCCTTGTTGTTGGTGAATTCCATGGCCTGGGCGAAGGTGCACTCGGACTTGCTTGAGGGATTTGACAAGGGGAAAATGATAGGGCGGTCGTTAAATGATGCCATCTTCCTCAAGATGGACTCAGTAAAGACACCACCGATAGTGCAGAGACCCATGAGACCAGTGGGGCGGACAAGGTCAACAACCTCCTCCAGGGTCTTGTACTGTTTACCCTCGTTGTCATCGCGGGAGAAGTACACCTTGTGCTCCTGCAGCTTGTCGCCACGGTCGTCGGTAACCATTCCCTGTAGAATAATTAGCTTCTGGCTCGATCATATCAAGAAATTGTAATTAGAAAACATACCTTCGAGTCAACAAGCCAAAACATCCTGCGTGCCTCGTCTTCGGGGATGCCATTCTTGACGAACAACTGCACAATCTGCTTGGCTACACCAACTGCCGCAGAACCAGCTCCCATAAACACCAAACGCTGATCCTTGAATGGGATACCGGTGAGTTTGAGGGCGTTGATCATACCACTCAAAATCACAGCACCGGTACCTTGGATGTCGTCATTGAAGCAAGTGTAGGTATTCCTATACCTCTCAAGAGATGGGAACGGGTTCTTGAAGTCCTCGAATTGGACAACGAGGCCGGGCCACTTGTCGTTTAGGGCAATCATCATTTCATCCAAGAACTCCAGAGACTCAGCCTCTGTGACACGGTGCATCTTGGCACCAAGATACAGAGGGTCCTTCAAGTTCTCCTCGTTCTCGGTTCCAAGATCAAGGGTGATAGGAAGGGTGCGTTCAGGGTGGATACCGGCGCATCCGGTGTAGAGAGCGAGCTTCCCGACAGGGATTCCCATCCCGTTGACACCGAGATCACCGAGTCCGAGAATACGGGATCCATCGGTGACAACGGTGATGTCCACCTTCTCGGCCGGCCAGTTGTCCAGAACGGCACGGAGATTTCCGCGGTCCGCATAGGAAAGGTAGAGCCCTGCAAAAAATAATTGTCAGCATGTGCTTAAGGTACCTTAAATTCCAACCCCAGTAAAACGGCGCAGCAGGGGCAAGATGCTTAGCATTGGGAATTTCAGGGAGTGGGGTAAATGTATTCGCACAGTGGCGGATATCATACCTTCAGGCTGGGTGTAGATGTGTGACCACTTGAGGCATGCCTCCCCAACGACGGGGGTGTAGACAAGTGGAGTAATTTCCTAAAATCCCCGACAGTTAGGTCTCGTGCTCTCCAGATTTTCATTTTCTTTCCTTTCATCCATGCAGACTCCGCAAGAAGCGCGCCGTACCGGGGGTCTGGCTTTCCCGAAAGCATATGCAACTAGAGCAGACCCCGGGCGCCCACTTAGGGAGCAAAGTCGAGACCGCAATGAAGCGGGGCATAAACTAGGGAAAGAGGAACAGGTCGCGGATAAGATTTTATGCGGACAGTACGAACCTTCATGTTGTCCATCAACAAACGGTAGAACAAGTTTGTGTTGGTATTGCGGAGGTTAGACAAGTAGGTGTACTTGTCAATGGTGTTGGACTTTTGCGCAATTTGCTCGAGGCCTGCATTATCACGGGAACATTGTTAGCATCACATATTCCAATTCCCGTGATGAAATTCGTTGACAGAGCGCATAAAAAAATAAAAAATGTTCAAAAAAATGATCGCTTAAAGAAAAATATTGATTCCCCCACTCCGGTTGCGGCTGAAAGTCACACCCCCGGTAAAAAAAAAGATCAACAGGGATGTGAGTGCCAGGATTGTGACACAAGCAGCATAGTCGCAGAGCCAAAAAAATAAACCATACGCGAAGAAGAAACAAGATGACAAAAGGTCGAAACAAAGCAGCGCCATAACCAAGGCAGCAAGTGAAGCGAGGTAAAGGGAATCTTCGCGCCGAATGCACAGCGGATGAGGGGGAAATGCGGGTAGAATCGGTTTGGAACTTACATCTAGCCTTTTGGAGCTCGAAGCTCTCAACGTGGGGAGGAAGGAGCCCGCGGACCTTGAGCTGAGCGCGGAGGCTATCATCGTAGGATGTATCAAAGTCGGAGGGGGAGTGGGCGCGGGAGTGAACAGCGGAGTGAACCGCAGAGTGGATGTTTGAGTTAGAGCCGCTACAAGATGAGCTCGGGAGTCAGTAAAAGAGCTTGAGAGCAAGCAGCGACGATAGCAGCAAGACCATGGGATCAATCATGATGGAGCTGATGAAGCTGGTAAAGATGATGATGGAGAGATGATGATGAAGATGATGGAGATAAACTCACTTCTGGCTGGGGGTTGCAGATCTGAACATAGGCATAGTTGATGATGTTGTTGCTAAAGATTTGTCCTGACCAAGGAATTTCGTGTTCGCCCTTGCGAAATTGTTTTGAGAGTTGTTGGAGTGAAGGAGTAGCGAAGACGCAGGAGTGTATGAAAGCTGTGATCTCGGTAGAGAGGATCTGGTTGGGAAGCAAGTTGATGATAACTGGCGAAGCTGGATGGTAGATAGAATGGATTGTGAACGTTGTCGAGGAAGGGACCGCAGAATTTGGGGAGAGGCCATGACTATATATAATTCTACGCTAATAATGCCTCACACCTTGGATTGGGGGGTATGAGGGGCTGAAGGGGGGGGAGGGTGCACAGGTACTACTCCGACAGAGGGTGCGTGTGTGATTATGGAACGAAGAGGAGGGGGGGGGGTTTGTCTTCGCTGCTGAATACCTACTACAATCCAACCAGCCCAACAATAACAACGGTGCAGCTCTATATTCCCTGCGAGAGAGTTTGTCGTGTGCCTCCCTAAATAATGAAATGTATATGCAGACCGTGGTGTGTGTGTGTGAACTTGAGTCCGTGAGCTCAGTTGATGAGTTATGGGAGTGAAGAGGCGCTAGTAGAGTTACGCTTTCCGAGTCTCCGAGTCTCGGACAACCAAAGAGTCGGGGATGGCTTTTTGTTGCAGTTACACCCCTCTCTCAAACCTACAAAAAAAAAGAAAATAGCAGGAAAAAGAAAAGAAAAATGCAAAACTCTCAAAGCCAATAATCCTATCTTCCTTCCTTAACGGTCTCAAACTCAAAGGTTTGGTGGGTTTTGTTGAGATGGAAGCTGTTTGTGTTCGCTCGCTTGTAGGATTTTGAGATGACGGTGATGTCTATCGAGGTTTCTCGAAATAAAAAGATATCGGGTCGTTTCGGGACCATGGGATTCCCCCCCCCAGCTGCTACTCTGCTCTGCTTTATGTATGCATGCATGCACCACCCTCCTTCCCCATTCCTCATGGGTTCGAGAATAACGGGTCCCCTGTCGCGGATTATCTTCCAGACGCTCCCCCAGTAAGCTCTGTCAGCAACCACTCTAGCTGCCGCGCGGTGGCAGCAAGACTCTCTTCACACTCCTGGCGTCCATTGGGTCATGCTGGGATTCTCCCCTAACGTGGAAGCTCACGCTCATGAGACAGCAACACGGATCTCCTGCTAGTGGTATTCTGCAGTATCATGTGTAGAGTATGTACAGTCACGCAACCTCACACCCTCCCCTCGACCCTCTCTACTGTCAAAGCTCTCCTGTCCAGTGCACCGGCGATAATCTTCTAGATTTTTCGGATCTGGGTCTCGTTCATGCTGATCACTCAATTTGCGTCTTTTTTTCCCTCTCTTTCTTTCCGAAACCCTGAACAAAAAAATGAGGGACCTAGATTTGATTTGATATTGTCACATTTGAACACTTGAGGTACTTTTTTCCCTACACTTCCGACCCTAACCCCCTATTCCCTGGTGGGCCGGTTTCACAAAGCACTCTGGGGCTAGGAGAAAGAGGACCTTAGGCAGCATCATCAATCAATAATCAACATCATCGCCGTCAGGGATGGGCAAGGGTCTGCATACCATACATACATATCAAAGGGCCGGAACATAGGAAGCAAATATTTTTAATAACTTTGCAATATAGTAGACTTTCAATATGCATGTAGGTACGCAGAGCGCCCCGTACCCGGCGTCGACGCAGCTTGCAAATGTCAACAAAATTTAATTTCAGCGCATGTGCGGCTGTGCATTCTCTACTCTACTCTAGGTACATACTCGTAGGGTGCCTGCCACCAGCGACAACAACAGCATCATGAGCATACTCATCATGATCACCGTGCGGGCTTGCTCAACTAGGGAGCTCTCTCCACTCAGAAACCTCATGTTCCTGTTCAGTAAGCTGCATATAATAAGAAAAAGAGGCCGTCGTTTCGGTTATCCCTACTAACACCTGAGCTCAGCTATGGACTAACTAAAACATTGCATTGCAATACTGTGGTCTTAATTCCTTCCTCCTTCCTGGTCGATTCGTAAGTCCGGGATCATTGCGGGTCTTTTCCAAATTATATTATTCGGCCATTGTTTCCCTCGCTCCGGCAAGGGGGCCGGCGAATAAGTGGATGGGCCCTTCACCGTCACCGGGATGGGGGATATGGGGATGGGATGTGTATACTATTTTATTTCCTGAGTATAACTACATACACATGAGGTACATATACTTACTCTGTGTGCAGCACATTCTCGTAACCTAACAGCTGCCAGCTAGCGCCTGGGGGCTTCTTTTTTATTGTTGCTGGTATTATTATTATTATTACACGGGTTCCACCAACAGCGGGTTCATCGCGCAAGTCGCTCATGATGGAACATGACAGATGGTCCTTTCTCGCGTATGTGTGTTTCCGTTTGGTTTTGGTTTGTGGTTTGTGTGGGCTTTTTTTTGTTTCGCGCAGGCGAACCGCCGAGGCGAGGAGAGCGAGAGAGAGTGTTGAGGCCAGGCAGGCCCATCTTTTCTTTCCTTCTTTTTTTTTTTTTTTTTTTTTTTTTTTTTACAAAGTTCCCTCCGAGCTCCTCCTGCTTCTTCCTCGCTATCATCCGATTTTTTGTTTCCTTTTTCCCCAGGAACCAGCGATCGAGGTGAGAGAGAAAGGTAATGGAAACGAAAAGAAAAGAAAGTAAAGCAAAGCAAAAAAAACGCAATGCAAAACAATCATGACCACAATTTAGTAATGATCTCAAACCTAATCATCATCATCATCACGGTCGCTCCCCTCTCCACCCCACGATAGATAGTGGTGATGATGATTGACCCCCCCTACAATTCTACATACGCTCCCACTTCCCCAAGACGTCGCGGGAACGATCTTGTTCCCGAGTACGCATTCGGACCAGCATGGAGTAATTGCACTGTGTATTAAGATGTGAACGTAAAGATCTCAACGGAACAAGATCTGCCTCCCACGACAGATTTGTAAGATGGATTATCTACCATCAGATGGATGTGCTACATCGACAACGGCAACAACGACGACGACGACGACGACGAGGAGGAGGAGAGCAAAGCAGCGTTGGAAAGAAAAATTTTCCTGTCCTACAAAGCAACGTCACGGAGCAGAGCGGCGCATTCACCGTCTGCTTGTCCTCTTTCTTTCAATTGTTGACGAGAAATGCCATTGAAATTACATTACTCTACTCAGCATAGTCTATGTTAATTGCAGGTATCACGAGATCTCGACACCAGTGCCTCAGGAAAAGTGAGATCCCCCCCTCCTCCCGAGTTCCCCAGCTTTCGCTAATTTTGCAGCTTGAGGAAAGGAGCCAGAAGCATGGCATGCAAAGACAACACACGACAACGACGCTACCGTGCAGAGGGGAACCAACAGCATCAGCAAGCAGAAGCAGAGGGACCGACCAGCCGAGAGACAGCGGATAAGGAATGAACTACCGATGGTGGAGGATGGTGGCGGTGGATGTGGCTGGCGGTGGTCAAGCTTTTTTTTGCGCCCCTTCACCCCCCCGCCCCCACCTTACCTCTCCTTGGCCCCATCTCGGCTCACCGCAAGCAACGACCGTCGTTACCGTCACCTTCATCACCGTCGCCGCACCGGGGGTCCATGCGGGGGAAGGGATGTGTCCGGGTTAACAGGCCGAGATGAGATATACACACATCTGCGGAATAACCTTAGATTGATGACATGTGTACAACATACACGATGAATGTTGACGATGCCCTCATGCGATGATGGGCTGTTCCTGTTGCAACTGGTGTCGCGTTGCTCCGATGTTTCCCGCTAACTCGCTGCCAACGTCGTACATCATGTATGTTTCCCACCCCCCATCCACCACCCTTACCCGGCCTTAGCAACAAGACATCAGATAACCGAGGGCAAAGCAGAAACCTCCCGGTATGGGTTCAGACACACGTTTTCTTTTTACCCCTCTGGACGAGATCGAAAAGCTTAACCAGACCTCCAGACCTTCATCTCTCCATGTGACGCTCCGATGTTTCCCGGCATATGCCATGCTCATGCTCATGCTATGCTATGCGGATGATCTTGTCCATCAACAGCATCCTGATCATCATCATCATGCTCGTTGTTTATCCAGAAGCTCTCTGATACGCTCGCTACAGTACGGGGAAAAGGCGGGGAGAAGCACAAACAAGGTTGGATATAGTGTATGTACCAACCGGGTATGCGCTCTGGAGGCAGAAGAAGATGCTGTTGGAATTGCATGCATGGGCATACATACCTTATTCCCACTCTACTAGGGGGAGCTATCAATCTCACCCCGCCGAACACCCGAGGAATCAAAGTTTTTGCGGGGGAAATCTAGCATGAGATCAATCTAATAAAAATAAAAATAAAAAAAGCCTCCATCCATATCCACTCCACACCGCGGGCCGAGGAGTAAGTGACGAAGGAATCAGACCCTATTCTGCCCTACCTACTACCTACTACTCCGCACATACCTAAACTCCACATGGGCCTTGACTCATACGCCGACTTGTCCAGTTACCGAGAAACTCCCGAGACGAGATGGCTCCCGAGATCTGCCAAGAGATCTATTTTTTTCACGTGTGTTTCAGCTACCGGAGATATGGAGGCACGTTTTTTTTTTCTTTTTCTTTTCTTTTGCGGGTAATGAAACGGTAGTCCCACTAGCTTGGCTTGGTTTCTCCTTGCTTTACTCCAGAGGTTTGGGAACGGATATGAGTCATGGCCGTTGTTCTATTACTGCTGGTTATGCATGATGGCCCTCATTGGCTGCTGCTGGGCAATATCAAAAACGATAACCTCGGGTTATGATAGACTTAGCTTAGAGTCGCGGTTAATCGAATCGAATCGATAGATGCTCTACAAGCTCTGAAACTACCGTGCCGGTAATGCATTATGAAGCCTGAACGGCAGTCATGAAGTCAGTGGGCGAAATTGAAGTTGTGGGTGAGGAGCGGGTCGTTTCGGAATGGATGGCAGGGCTTTAGGACCAGCGTCTTGATGCTGGTGTGAGTCACCGGTGGTGTTTGGATTGTTTGGATCTGTTCAGTATAGAGTGCGAGACCCTGAGAGGAATGGATTTTTACTCGTGTTGTCTGGTTCTGTGATAATGGCCTCATGTCTTCTCTGTTGCTCGTCGAATGGAATACTGGCTTTCTCTACTTTTGCGTCTTACCTGAGTAAAGCGCTTGATGGCATACTACTACTCACTACTATTGACTGGCCTTCCGAATGTTGAATCTCTACCTATCAAGACTATTTCCTTACTATTCTCATCTCAACCCACTTGATTCACACTATTCCCATCTCAACCTACTCTACACTATTCCCATCCCAACCTCCTACACTGTTCCAATCTCAACTCACCTACGTACGCTACACTACTAAGCTTCCACAGACATTCTAGCCTCGCCCAAGACACACATTGCGTCTGCGAGTCTCATCCCTTCCACCGTCTCCAGCTCCAATACCGGTCCTAGCCCCACGATGTAGATGCTGTCTTAGATGCCGGATCGTGCCGGATCGATAGGCTAGCCAGCTAGCTACATACTTATCCTAGGTAACTCCTGCAAGCTGATGTTTTACCCAACAAAGCTTACTCTGTCCTCTTGCGAACTGCGCTTTTGTTCATTCTACTCTATCCTCCGCGGCGGCGGCGGTGGTCTTACTTACGGGTTGGTATATACACTCGAGACCAGTACATATGGATATCAGGGTTTTTGGAGGGAGAATGTTACTTTGGCCTGACTCCGGGCTAGGCTCTGGGTTAATTGTAGGTTATCTACGAGTGTGGAGCTGGGTATATAGGTACAGAGTAAGCTGGCCGTCCAATCTGTAATAGGCCTGGAGGTACGGTTACTCCAGTACTTAGATCTACGTGGGCGCGTCAATTGGTAGTAGCTAGCTAGATAGCTAGCCAGCCAGCCAGATGGCTAGATAGGTAGGTATTTACTTATATCTACTACATACATACATATAGCGCACCGACCAATAGCGGCGCACGCAGTATTCCGGAGCTCGACGCCCGAGACATAAGCTCACAGAGCTACTCTACCTATCTACCTATCTACCCTGGCTACTAACTACCCTCCCCAATCCACCACCTCCCAATATCACCATACTCCGAAAGAAAAAAAAAAAAGGGAACCTCTCGGCACCCACTCGGCTGTTCCACCACCACCATGATCCGACACCTGCATATCTCCGAACCCTGGCGCCTCTGCGAACCCTCCCTCCCTCCAGCCCAACCCAGCTACTCGGGTCCGCTTCCAACCAGGGCCCAGCGAGGGAAGGTACGGTAACTGCTCTCCTGTCATCTGCTACCCGGGGAACAAGCTCTGTTTTAGGGTAAAATAAAGTTGGCGCCGGGGGCCGGGGGAGTTGTTCCGGAAGATCATCTTCAGGGTATATAGTTTCACAAGGGTTAGGGGTGGTGGTGTCGGTGTTGGTGGTGAATGTTGGACTGGGTGCAGATGTAGCTTGGCGGAGTGTGTGTGGTGGTTAATGTAGATGCCCAGTTAGATTTAATGCAGGTCATACAGTAAGTAGATTAGGAGGATTCTTGTGCTGTGCGAGATAGAGGCGTTGTTTTTTTTATGGAGGGAGGGGGGGGGCGACCGTTTTCGTGTGTGTGGCCCAGTGAAGATGTTGCGATCTGGACTGTCGTATCTAAGCTTTGTCACATGGTGGGCTTTCCGAGGGGTACATAGGTCATGTCGAATACTTTAGAGATGCATGATATGGGCGTTTTCGTCTGGAGTTTGAAGGGTTGTTTATTTCTGACATGTGCCGAGCCGGTTAATGTTCGTGAAGGATACATACGATATGTAGAGTGTAGAGATAGCATGCAGTGAGTTGGTAGAGGGGCTTATCGCGCGGCCAATGGGCGCGGGTGAGGGGTCCACGTGAAGAAAAAAACATGGGGTCTTTTTTTTTTGTGGGTTGGGGAAAGTCTGATGGATGTCGTTGTCGCTCGTGTGAAGAGCGGAGAAAGTGGAGTCATGGAGTATCACTCGTTTTCAACGTTTTTTGGGCGTTTGGTGGGGTGTTGCTGCGGGTTGGGGGCTTTGAGCTTTGTTTCCGGATATATCGTAAGACAGGGGTAGCAATGGAACTTTGGTGTTGCATGGGGCGCTAAGGTTGTAAGTTGTGGCTGGTGTTTTGTTAAGGTGCGCTATCTATATTACTACTAGTACCCACATTGTGTAACTTCACCACGAGTATGTTTTACTGGATTCGGTTTAAAAATTAAGAGTTTTGAGATTAATCTTGTATGCTATATATATATATTGCCGAGCACTAGCATGCTGGTGAATTCTTCCGCAATCAATTTAATTCGCCAGAGTTTCCGGCCGGCCGGCATTATAGCTGATACTGGATCGGAGGTATTAGGGTATGTTTCGGGAATGAATAAAACAGTGCATACTCTCAGCTTTTACACTCTAACTCGTAACGCCAACTGCCATAGGATTATAATTATAATTCTATAATCCATGCTCGGCTAGAACTATATGGACATGGAATAGAGCCGCGGTTGTGGCTGTGCAAGTACGGGAGCTCAATTTGTTGAGACCCGAGACACTGGGTCTAACTCGGTGTCTACTTATATATAGTCATGGGAAAGTCAACAAGATATTCCTGTTGAACGGAGAAACAAATCCATCGGCGTTATCTAATGGTCCGTTATGGAATCCTACTACTGATAAGGACTTATTAGTACCAGCCGCTTTTTTCGAACCCCACGAGTTGATGGTCAGTATGCTTTGATAGGCCTGGGAGGGGACCATAAGGGATGGGTAAAGGTTTAGTTTACGACCACGGTAGCCCCAAATATTGGACTGTCCCCATATTTTAACACCGACTAGAGAGTATGATATACCTAGTGTATATCTGGAAGGCAAGATCTATGGGTTTCTATACACTGGAGTAGTCTTTACTAGTGAGCTATGCCGTCTGGATCATGTAATATCACTCGACTCTTACATGCGCTCCGGGGAATTTATCACATGGCCGATTTATTTAGGACGGTGATCGAATTAGAATCTAGAGTCTACAGAGGTTTCTACTAACAAGTAGTACACTGGCCATTGAGAGGGTGGGTTAATGGTGTTCTCTAACGCGGTATTGTCGGATTTCGACGTAGTGGTTTTCGGGGGTGATGGATGCATGCAATCGACCCTCGAGGATGCGAAGTAATTTTAAAACGGGGCAGTCCGTCGATCCTGGAGGTTAAGACCGGACCGACTACGGGCTATAGTCGGTCTTGAGCAGGTATCAGGGACTGACTACCGACCATATGGGGGCTGGGCCATGACCGACTATAACTATAGTCTGGATTATGGGGTTGCAGCTTGGCATAGCTAGACAATGGTGCTGCCATATAGATATCTATAGTCCTGCATAGATATCCACGGTTTAGTGTAGATACCTGCGGTTCTAGCACTGATCTACGGTCTGCAAGGCTCAACCGTTTTCCAACCCACGAGTTGCGTATATGAGCCCAATATATTAATTCCCCAACACTTATACTTCTATTGTCGGCAAAACCGAGTGATCGCTCATGACCCATAGATATCTACAGTTCGGCGCCGATCTATAGTCCCGGCAAAATGAGGGACTAAACGGACCATAAGCACATAGCCCGTCCGGTCTGGAGGCGCAGATAAGGCATATATAGATATCTATAATCCGGACCTGACCGTTGCGAAAAGTTAAAGTTCAACTTCAAATAAATACTTAAAGCCCACAGCTTCTCGGAATATGATTGAGTATAGTGAGAGAGAAATGATAAGACCCGGGACTACAGATTGCGTCTTCTTTTCGTTCTCCGTATTATACCCACTCTCATATATTCTTAACCTTATCCGCGGGGACAGCGGAGGGACTATCCCTTAGTCTGGCAATGCTGACCTCCCTATAATAGAGGAATTAGATTTGTATGGGAGATCTATTATTTGATAAGAGAGATAACAGGATCTTTTAGTAAAGCCACACAAAAGTTTGCTTTTTTTGGGGGGTCAGCATTTTTTGCCAGACGAAGAGATAGACCAGACACAATACCCAATATTCAAATAATCCCAGTTTTCCACGCTACCGGACGCGTTTCCCCGTAATGTAGTCGCCTCGCGGAAAATACAGGGGGGGGGGAGCGGTTAAGCATGGGAGTCATAAGGTATCACTCGATCACCTCCACGGTTTGTCGAGTGCCAAGGTAACGTTAATATAACTCCCCATGCATCTCCAGCGGCATAGGGGGTTGGGGGCTTTGTATTAGCGATAGATGACCATCTGTGGATGGGTGGCGTGTTTTATGTGTCATTTCCTCCGGATCTGAGCAGGTCCGAAACAGTATTTTATCTACAGATCCGGTCAAAGATTAATGAAATGCATACAGGAACAGTAATGTTAAATCTCAATAACACTTGAGATATAATTCACTGCGCGCATGTTTCTGAATCTACTATCCCTGGGCCACATTGATATCGGTGCCGCGGGGACATGGGCTGTAGCACGGGCATGAGAGGAACTCGCAGTGCAGAGCGGAAACGAAAGCTTAAGCAGTTGAAATACCGGTATTAACACCGCTCTGCCTGAGTTGTATGAGCAGGAAATGGCGCAGTAGATCTTGTATTTTTCATTCAAGATGGTGTAACCTATTTTATATCTTAATCATAGAATATCACTCGCCCACCTCAGACCCCCCCAAAAATGTATCAAGCAAGCTTCCGCCACAACAAGACTCAATCCACAACGCATCAGATCCTACCAGCGCCCCAAAGATATAAACAAGGATGCTACATTTTTCCATCTTCGAATCTTTTTGGTCCTAGTGTGTGGTGTGGTGGGGCCGAGAGGCCAAGGCCCAAGGATGACTGACCAGGGTTGTTTTAGCATGACATCGTGGCCGAGTGGTTAAGGCGACAGATTAGAAATCTGTTTCGTTCGCGAGCGTAGGTTCAAATCCTGCCGATGTCGTTCCTTTTGCTCCATTGCCTGTGTATTGTGGCCATGGAGGTCCTTGGGGTATTGTTTTGAGTGGGGGTGTGTTCTGATATGTCGTGCGCAAAAATGTGATTTTAGTGGGTGCTGCTACGGGCCTGGGTTATTGTCGCATCGTGTTGTGCGCGAGGACTGTGTTGGGCTTCGGGTTCTTTGGTGGTCGTGGAATAAGGATGACGCCTTGGGCGGTTCAGGACGTCGACATTGTTTTGCTAACACGCAAGAGACGGCCACCTGGCTTGTCATAGATTGTCGGCGACCGCCCTCTCGGCCCGCAATTTGAGCCAGCTCATCGATATCTACTTATAGGGTACCCTCCTCAAGTCTGCGATACTAGGTTTTAAGACCCGGGACAGTTCGGAGACGGGTTTATCTATGTACAGCGCCATGCCATAAGTCATGGGAAGGCGCGAGGTCGCAATGCCTGAACACAAAATCTTTCACCACCACCGATGGCGCCCAGAGACCATGTACCCCGCCAGACAGCTAGGAGGGAATGACCAGCCTCCCTGCTGTGGCAAAAACCGGAGTCTGACAACTCTGGTTGGAGGGGAATAGGGTAGATGTTCTGGAGGACTGGCTTGCCTATTCTATCCCATTGAACATGTTTTTGTACACCTCAAGAAGCTTTACCATCAACAGTACCCCCATTTGGCATATGGTACTGGATCACCTTAAGTATTAAAGCCCCTCGTGGAGGAAGGTCTAATTCATTGCTGGGAACTGTTACCTGATGATTTCTTTGGTAGCTAGTTGAGAGCATGCCTAGGAGAATAGAGCTGTTATAAAAGCAAGGGGTTAGTACACAAGATATTAAATGTCAAATTATTTTTATTTAGCTACTATTTAACAACTGTACAAAAAACCAGCTCTCCAAAGGATCAATTGTGGTTGCTGGGTGGGTAGTCGTGGTGGCCCGGGAGGTTGCTACGCCGCGCCTTCCCATGATTTATGGCCTAGAACTATACATGCGGTCTCGTCAAGACATCAATTGAACCACCGGGTATTTGGGTCTTCGTTATTCGTGTCTCTTATTTGTCGGCTTGCAATGGCGGCTTTTGGTCTCGAGATCTTATGGGACTAGTTGTACTCTTTGTCCGAAAATATGGGGAGGGGGAAGGGGGGGGGGGTGTCGAACTCACCTGAGATGGATCCCGGCTCGACTGCTAGTAGTGGTAGAGGGGAGAGGGGTGATGTGGCGAAGTCTTTTTTGATATAAGGTGATGTGGCGGGAGAGGGAGCCGGGCGGGGGTTGTTGTGGCCCACGAGGATAAACATTCTCGTGTCCTTGTCAGCTCGAGGACGGATTATACCTCGGGAACTGTACATCCAAGGATACATAGCTCTTGACTACTTACACCCCACTTTGCATTCCCGATTGCATGAGAGAATAGGTGCACCTCCTCACTCAGAAAAATAGCGCCCTCCCCGGAATCACCTCGAGAACAGCAGTATCGGACTTCAAGGGCTGGCCGGGGCGGGTTTGAGGGGGATGAGGGAGGTCGAGAGTATTCCCAAGCCTCTAGCTCTTCGGCCGGGGCATCCTCATGGGCTATACTTGTATGCTGACTTTCGGACTGGATGGTTGGAGCTGATACGGCGGCGTGGCATCCACCGGCAAAGCGGGTGTTAGGTTATACCTGGTTGGCCGTGAACCTTTGGGTTTGGGGGTTGAGTTTCAATTATTCTCTGCGAGGACAGTCGTATGAGGGAGGGGGGGTTGAGGGTAGTTGAGTTGTGTCTTACAGCTAAGGTCCCACATGCTGAAAACATGAGCAGATTGCCTGGATAGATCGCTATCTCTGCACAGAAGGTTTCTATAAACAGACAACTCCGGCGCGGATATACAAGTTTACATGGCACGGAGGATAGATGGAGTGGGGTGCACATGGTTTTTGTATCATTATTATTAATGCGTCCCCCTAGGTATTACTGCCATCTGGGGCTCATTATCACACACTCGTCGCGAGCTGGAAGCCACAAACCGGCCTCAGCTGGAACAAACGTTTCTTCGAAAAAAAAGAAAAAAAAAAGAAATATCATGTACTCTTTTCCTAGGTCTCGCGGCACAAGCCACATACCCAATTTTTCCCACCCCCCCACCACCTAGACCTCATCCAGCAACTCCTTCAACATCAACTTCGACAGCTCCTCCTTCAGGACCTTAATCTTCGCCTTCAGCTCCTCCATCTCCTTCCAGACGATGATGAGCTGGCTCATGAACTGGTAGTACTCGTCGCTGCTCACGTCGAGCTCGTCCAGCTGGATCATCAGCGAGTTGATGTACTTTTCGTCCTCGTCGAGCATCACGAGACGGTCCTCGTAGCGCTGGATGGTCAGGTGGCAGATTTCAGTCTGGAGCTTGACGGAGTGCACGATAGGCTCGGCGCGCCCGCTGCGGCGAATCTGTGTCATGATTTTTTTTGGGGGGGGAACCTGATGGATGTTAGTTGGGGTGGGCTAGTGAGGAGTGTGTGAGAGCGGGTGTGATACCGTGATGGGGGTTTGAGGTTGTGGGCTGATGGGGTGGGGGTCGAGTGATGGATTTGTGGTTTTAGAGGGGGATGTGGAGTTGTTTTGGTGATGGAGAGGGAGACGCGTGATTGGAGTGGGAGATGGAGTGGGAGAGGAAGGAAGGTAGGAAGCCCCCCTCATTTACTAAGGTTGATGCTAGCTGTGTCTTTTTTGTATGCCTGTGGATCAAGTGGGTTTTCGGGGGTCTTAGCTTGGTCACACAGCCAGTTGGACGGACTATGATCGATGACGTCCCGTTACATGTACAATTATCGAGTGCTTGTGCGAGGCAGCTTAATTGCACAGGTTGTTAGTGCGACGTCGTGTCAGAGAGCGTGTGATAGGTCATATATTGGTTGATCCATTGATAAGATTAAAGAAAGCTTGCAAAATATATACAGCCGAAACAGCCCCCCTCCCCCCCGCGGTCCTGCCGCACGCAGCCCCTCCACTCCACTTTCATAACATCATAAAAAAAACGGCTCTAGAACACCACCACCGCATCAGCATCCATCTCACCAGCAGCATAGCAATCAAAAACAACACCAAAATCACAAGCACAGGGACAACATACCTAACGTAACCCTCTCAACGCACTAACACTCCACCTCCCCATCACTCTCCCCACTCCCCGACTCGCCGCCCGACTCATCACCCATACGCATATGCATATCGATGCCCTCGTCCTCGTCGTCGTCCTCCTCCTCGACGCCCAGCAACATGATCCGCGCCTCCTCCTCCTCGATCTGCCACCGCTCGACCTGCGAGAAGCCGAGCCAGCTCTTGAGCAGCAGCAGCACGTGCGCGGGCGTGTCGAGCAGCTTGGAGATCTTCTTTTTCGACGGCTCCTCGGTGGATCCGGAGGTGGAGGTGTCGGGGGTGCCGTGGCCCATCAGCGGGGCGAGCTCGGGCGTGAGGGGGATGGGGGTGTAGGTTGTGGGGGAGTCGGAGTCGGTGCATGTAGTGGTGGACATTGTGGGGGATAGAGGTGTGGTATTAGGTATGTATGTGACTTGTAGTTGTAGTTGTGGTTGTGGTTGGGGATGTGGTGGTTAGCGAGCAGATGCTGAGGACTAAACTAAACAACCTCTCGTCCCTGGCGTGTTAGAGCCTTTATATCTAGCATCTGAACATTCACTCACCCTCACCACCAGTCTACCGGTGCGGCTGGTGATCGCCATGCCAAGACCGAGTGATAGTCTGTGACGATCGGGAGTAGGCAGGGGTGGTGCCGTCGGTGAGTGTGACGCCATCACCGGGGGACAATGCAATGTTCGATCGACTGAGGTGGCAGACAATGCTATTGACCAGCGCTGAGTGTGACAATGGATGGCCTGGTGGTCGTTCGGTGAGGAGATGAAGGGGGGGTGCATAATGGCCTTGTTGCGTTGTATTTAGGGCGGCGGAGGCCGGGGGTGTAGAGCTGCAGGTGGTGGTGGGTTGCGTAGAGTATGTAGATAGAGGGGTGTAGTGTGTGGATTGGATTGGATTGGATTGGATTGGATTGGATTGGATTGGATTGGATTGGATTGGATTGGATTGGATTGGGTTGGATTGTAGAGGCTCTGTTCTAGCTACCGGACCGGAGGGTGAAGTGAAGATAGCGTGGTGGCTGGAGTGGTAGTGGCTAGAGGCTCAAGGCTGGAGATGGTGAGGAATTGGCTTTGCGGCGGAAAATAGAGTGCAGCGTCCTGAGAACCATACCAGCGCCGGTCGGTGGAGTGCTCTTTCTCTTGGTACACAACCTCCTGTGTTGGTGCTCTAGTAGGTGAGAGTGATGATCGTTTTTTATGTGTGTGGTGAGGCTTCACGATCTGCGCCCGTTGCAACAAGCGCGCGAACCCTAACCCAACACTTCACGGTTCGAGAAAACACATCCCCCAAACACCACCGCAAACAAAAAAAGTTGTGGATAAATAGCTGAGAAATAGCATGTTAAATGTGTTCGGTCATAGAACGATGAAAATGGGGCATCCCGTCCGCTCTGCCATACCCAAGCATCGTATCGCCTAGTTAGTACTGCAGTGGGTGACCATGTGGGAATCCTGGGTACCGAACTCTGTTTTTGCTCTTATTTTTTGCTCCCTCTTTTTTGGGGGTGAAGGTATGAGGTATCGGCATTGCTTTTTGTTTAGATTTGAGAGACTGGGTGGTTGTGGGGCGCGCTGTGTGGGGTTGTCGGTATCGGAGGTCTTCTGGATCACTGATCCTGACGGCGCGGGGATCACCAAAAGGATCAAACGATTTATTTGTTTCACCGTAGCTTGGGAGATCGGGTATGCAAGTCCCTCTCGTAAAGGACATGTAATCTCTATCCCACGAATAAATTGAAAAATCCTCTCCGAGTGGGATATGCAGCGAGTGATAATCCGTGACTCAATTAAACCCACTACTGAGGATACCGTTAATTGAAGCCATCACTTTGAAAGGCAGAACACTCCTGCCCGATTTCGGGTGGAGGGGCGTGTTAGTATGTTCTATATCAGTTTTTTGGGTACCCGGGGGTGTAATTATGGGGTAGCGTTTTCTCCGGCCTGTTTTGCTGGTGTTGGGGGGTGGTTTTTGGATCTTGTTACGCCTTTGGGGATATGGGGAGCTGCCGGTGTTTACCCATTAGCCCCCGCGGGGGGGGAGGTTGTGGTTTGAGGGTGTTTTTTTCGTGGTGGCCGCGGGGAGAGGCGGGGGGTAACGCGATTTTGAGGGATAAGTGTATAGGTAAGTAGTGACAAACTGAGTTTTGCCGTATATCTCGAGACCAACCTCGGCCGCGTCTCGGGGCGGTCCGTCTTTCCGGGATTGATAGTCTATCCATTTTTCCGAAGGAAATAGGAGTTGGGTAACAAGATGGCCGTATCAATCAGCGACGAAAAGGGTTTATCTACAAATTAATTTGTACATTCAAAATTTGCATGTCCTACTATACTACCCAGGATTTCGTTTGCAGGGCGGTTGTTCCGAGATTTAACCACCTTCTATATTATAATGTTGTTTTTATTCATGTTAACAAAACATCTTGTCGAAGGGAAACGCGAGTGATAATGTGTGATTGTAATAGAAGCTCAACCGGTTCTCGTTAATTTTAATGTATAGAACCCGAATACCTGGCACGAACCGTGACTACTTTCTGTTTTAATCGGACTAAGAAATGCCCCCACGTCAAGGCTAAAGTTCGACATGATACGAGTATTATAATATTTACATGTAATCACCCGGCAATCTATGTACTATATACCTTCTTACTTCAACATCCCCCGGCCTCATTGCACAAAACAAAGAAAATGAATTGCCCACGGGACACCAAATACATTCAATAAAATTATATCAAAGCCAGATCACATAAGAAAATATAAAGCGGAACACGGTAAAGAACGAATAGGAGAAAACAAATGAACCGCACACCTTCCCCTTCCATCGTCCTCAGTCGCCCCAACAAACAACCGTAGGTCCCTGGATAATTTCAAAGGTGGGGAAAGTAGATAGACATGTCGAGTGACCGGTATACCCCCTGTGGTTGGTTCCTTAGACTGAGGAAACTTTCGATTAGTAGTGTCCAGGCTCCCCCGAGATATAAGATAAGCAAGAAGCCATCCATCAAAAGGCGGCCTAAGGGCGTGTCCTTCGCTGAAGGGTTCAACTTTTCAAGAATCTTGGTAAGAATCTTGTTGCCCAAAGCGATCAGAAAGGGTGTTATTGCGATCGTCAAACATGATATCCTCCATACCCATTGCTCTGTCTTGGTGGGGAAGGTAGATCTCCATACGGTTGCGTGTAAACCTGCGTAGGTGATATAGAATGCACAATTCTTTACCCAATACTTTGCCCAACCCTTGAGTCTCAAACGCATTGTTTTTTTAGTACTAGAATCCGGCCCCCCGCCTGTCGCAGGGGACTTTTCGCTGGTCGCAGGAGGCTTTTCGCCGGTCACAGGGGGCTTTTCGTCGGTCGTAGGAGGCTTTTTCTTAAAAAACTCAGTCCAGTCTGATAATATTCGCTGAAATATTCCACTTTCGTTCATCCCCCACTTGGGTTCTTCGTATAATGAGGGATTGTCCCTCAACCACTTGGAATCTGCCTTCAAATCATCGAGCTGTTTGATGGCTTCGTCCCAGTGATGTTGGTTGTTTTTTGCTGGTGGCACAGCCCATACTGTATTGAAGGGCAGCATCCATGAGTCGTCACTTGGTTGTACGGCCTCTATTGGTGTCTTTGCCCAAGTCGCATTATAATTCAACCGGGGGATGTCTAGTACAATCGGCTCGCTGACGTCCAGTTGCTTATTCCACCAAAACATATATATCACTAAAGTCGTTACAATGTGAATCATCACATGTAGCTCGAGAAATGTTATAGGGAGGCCCGAAATGAGTCTAAGTACGAGGTTCATGACATACCACCCGCATTGGAAACATACAATGACTTTGGTAAGAACATTTGCATTGCCCTTGTCGCGGATATCTTCGGCCTTGATTTGATCGCAGACATTCTTGGGATCGGTCATGAAGGCGTAGTAAAGGTCCAAAGGGGATATCAAGCTGCCGTCTTTCCTCACAAACCCCCCCTGAACCACAAAGAAGGCAACCTCTTTTCCGAATAAATCCCACTTTGGGGGGAGAAGGAATAATTCTAGATATTCGTGATAGCTAAATGTGAGACTGTCAAGGTCTTCGGGCGGTGATTTATTCTCGGAATCTTGCTTAGAGTCTTTGAATGATTTATATCGAATATAAAGCGACCTCATAACCTTCACTTTCAAGGACTGTTCCCTCAAAGGACTCTGTTTGCCCCCACAACAGCACTCAACCAACCTTTGGTCTGAATGGTGTAACATGTAGTGTCCAGCGATCAGGGCGCGATACAGTTGGAAAGTTTGAATCCACTGCTTCCGAGCATCCGTAAGCACCTCTTCTGGCATGAACAGGGCCTTGAAAGAAATGTACACTTTTTGCCGGAAGCGCTTCGAATTTTTGGTGGGCTGAAGTTTAGTTTTTTGACCTTCTGGGGTAGTTGTATCAACGCTTTGTTCAGTAACATTGTTGCCTCACTTGTCCATGCCCGTAGTTGTAGCATTGGCCGGGCTACTTGTTTGGCTTTGTGGGGTAGTGTCGGCGTCGTTTTCGGGGTGTGGAACTGGAGAAGTGTCGCGCCCAGACCTTTGAGTCCCTATCCATGAAATCCCGTCGCCGTCCACAGGTGGAGGGGCTCCAGCGGCCGCTGGTGAACTTGTAACTGGTTTGCTCCCGCTGGAATCTGTGTTGTCGTTCCCGGTGGTCTTCTTCGGCTTCGTCTTCCTGACGAGATCGGGGTGGATTGCAGTCCATATGCAGAGTGCTAGAGTGAAGGTGCAGCTGGTAATAATTTTCGAGGTTCCGCGGCCAGTAGGGTTCGATGTCCAACCTACTCTTTGGTCTTCGTCCGTAGCAGACGCAACATCTAGTACGGACGTAGATGGTGCAACAGACGCTGCAGGCGCAATAGGCGCGGACGAGACGTAGGCTGCTAGGGATAATAGGAACATGATTAAAGCCATCGCAATTTAAGGATTTGAGTTTCTCTTGATGGAGGAGTATGGTCGTAGGGATTCTAACACGGTCCGGCGCGATAAGAAGCAATGGGAATTATAACACTAGAGGCGGTTATGGTGTCGACAGATTCAAAGAAGATGTAACGAAAAATTATTGTAATGGCCAGCTCTGTCTAGTGCTTCGGGATTCGAGGTAGAAAACTTCTTGGAAAATAAGAAGGAAGAATTGGAAAATTAAATATTAGACTTCGTCGCACTACAGCGAGGGACAGACCATATATACCGAGTCCTAGTGTAGCCAAAGCGATACTCTGGCCTTATTTTGAGGAGAAGTGGATATAGTTTCTGTCACTTGAGGTTTGGCGTGGCTGTGAGACAAATGCGTGTGTGCCTCTCCAATTAGGGGGGCTATTGATATGCAATGCACGAGCGAATGAGACTGGTTTAAGGCCTGCCACAAAACGAAGGTGTGTGATAAGTGCGAAGCGCGCAGGCTGATAGCCACGAGTACAGACTCTAACATTACTCCGTCGTGAGGTGGACCGCAGTTGGTTGATCACAAATCATATAACCAACAAAAACAAATATCATCAAAAGACAATTCATTCATTCAGAATTAACAATGTCCTCCTGTCATTGGTCTTTGCAACGCCTTAACCAATAAACGAATCTAGGGTACCAAGATGAAGCTAGACGCTAGTCTTTGTCAAGATTATCCTTGTGATGGTATTCCAATATTTCCCTGCTCAGTGAGATCTCTAATGAGCGAAAATTCACATACAGATATTCCATGGCTGCAGATTCGGCGGCTAGTATTGACGTGGTGGAGAACCTGAATTCTCGGTCAGTATGGGTCTCCCCGGGCAAGGGACGGAGTGCTTATCAAGCTATCTATAGCTTAATTCAATATGAACAGTTAGGAAAACCCTCAAGTAAAGATTCCTTTAAGCTTAAAGTTGATGTCTGTAAATAAGAATTCAAATTAACACACCTAGTCAGCAAATTTCCCTGAACTGGAGACAGAACATCAAATAAAAGCCATATATAGAGAGGGAAAAACCTAAAATTGTTGCGCCGGAGCCGGAGGTGGGGGATTCCAATCGTGTGTGTATTACGTTATTACGCCATTGAGAAGACAGCGATTGAGCTAGGATGGGAAACCGACATAACAAATCGATAGCATCAATATGCATCACTGCTCTACTGGTCAAGCTTTGAAGGAACGAATAAGCACATACATGTGTGTGCATGCCTATCATACTTCTGGGCAGATACCTGTATCAAGTGAGAAGAAGTTCGATCTCCTCGGCGGAATCATATGTGGAAGTGTTGTTACAGCGAGAGGGAAAATTATTTTAGAAACAGGGGTCTAAAAACAGGGTTTCTATGGCTGGGCAAGCCAATAGGACTCTTTCCATACTTCTACAATAATTTTACCTCACGCTGTAGTTATGGCAATCAGTTGAACAGTTCATTTTATCATGCGTTGTGCGCAGGCCAGTAGATTCCCCCTTCACTGGCATGTATGGAGCGGAATTCACGCTTAGTGTTTCACCAGAGGTAGTCCTGGAAAGCTTGACTGGTTATAAAGCATTGTAGGGCGCATGCAGGTCATCATATGTCACATGTGTAGGCCCAATTGCTAATCGTGAACGACAGGTTGATGTGTAAACCCGAGTGGCTTAACTTCAAGTCCGCTTGGTAACTCGTGATTATGTTGATTTCGAACGACGGATCAATCATGATATAAAAACTGTACATTAAGGAAAAGCAGAACTTGTAGATCTCTTTGATGTTATTACAGTGGCATCTGATCGACACACCACAATCCCGGTAAGTATGTACTCCCACCCTCCCCCCCCCCCCAATTTCGTTTACAGAGTAAATGATGGTAGATTATCAGCAGCTGGAATCATAATCCCTAACATCATTGCTCGAAAGGGCTCATGCTAGCGCTCTCTGCAACATTTACCAGAGAAATGAGTTTCATTTTAATATGGGTGGGGGTGTATCCCCGAAACCCGTAGAGAATGAATTCGTTCCACCATCAATACCATCGCTAGATTTCTAAGACCTTTATAGCAATCTTTAGGAAAAAAGGCCTCTATCAGTAATGTTTAGAAAGACTGGAGGTTAAATTAAATGATAGTAAGACCCGGGTGAAATCACAGTTGGACCTATTCTTTCTTGGCAACTTGATGCCAAGCCCGTCATAAAAGACTCCGGACCTCCCAGCGCAAACTAAATTGTGTCTAATAACCTTAAATCCCATATGGAGTGTGCATGGTGCCTAGCCCAAATCAAATCGCGCCAAAGGTCGTACCTCTCGCTACCGCAACCTGAAGGCTGGGCACGAGACAGGATCGAAGACAGAATAACAAGGCCTCTTAAGATGCAGAGTTTCTGCAGGTTACCTAAATGCATTCAACAACGTGGGGGCAGTGGGTACATACATACCTACATACGGCGAATGGAGGGTACGCATTGAGCGGTTGACGCCGTAGGCTGCTGTCTTTAATTCTGTGTTCCGCTTGGTCCTCCTCAACGGACAAAGCTGGAACGATGGAGTGCTCGGCGGTGGTGATGGATGGATGACTATGCCAGGAGTACGAGGGAAATATTATGACGAGATTGCCCTGTTCTCGTGCTAATTAGCTATACTTGTCTTCCGGGCTGCCTTCCGTCGCCTGTTGTTTCGTAGCCTCTTTGCTATCATAGCTTCCTCCACAACGCCGAGCCTTCTATATATTAGGATTTCATTTTGTGAGGGGAGTCTCGCTATCACCTCCCTCTCACTCTATCTTGAGTTGCATCTGATCTTCCAATGCGTTGAGCGGGGCCCCCAAGATCAGCTGGACACGGTTTATTTTAGCCGCGGGGCCCCGCCTGGCGACCAGGTGTAAATAAGCGGTTGGAGCAGTAATTGAAGCGTCGAGTAGCAATAAGTTGTGAATTGCGAGAACAGACGAATGGATGCCTGTCTGTATTTACCTAAAATTCGGTTTCTTGACTTTTGGTTCTTTTGCCGAAGGATGCGTAGCCAACCAATATGTGCATTTCAGTAAATACATGTATGCACTGTTGCCGCATGTGCAGGCTCTTTCTTTTAGTCATATCTCTTGAGTTCTTTCTTAACCTGATGATACATATATTTTTTTCCACACTAACTATGCCATCGGAGACAGAAGAAGAAGAGGAAGAATTCAGGAGAGTCTTGAGGGCGTATTGTAGGGTCTTCAATGTCACCAAACACACTGTGAAATTACTGTATTGGGTACCCATTAGGGTTCAAATCATCTTTACTGGTTGCCAGCAGGATCGCTAGGCCCCGAATGTTTCTACTCTTCTTTGAAGTCTACCTTGCGACTACTTGGATTATAATTATGGATTACAGACATATATTAACCTTTTCCTCAATAATTACGGGGTACTCGATATTGGAATGCCTTCGGCACCCCCATCCTCCCTCCGGGATCCCCTTCGCTCTCCTAGTAAAAGGGACTGACTTCGAGATTTATATGTACCAAGGAATGACCGCCAGAGATTACGCCGGAAAATGCTTCCAGGTTTGTGATGGATTTGGCTGAATAATCATTGACCCCATAGTGAACTTAACTGACATTCGGGGCAATCAATAGTTGTAGACAGAGCCGCCCGGAGTTACGTAAGTGAGTATGACCTTCCTCACGAACCACCGATACAGAGAGAGGTGGAATTATTGGAACAGGATTCAAGTGGCCGACTTGGCCAATAGGACCCTTCCCGCACTCGTATAACAATTTCACCTCACGCTGTGGTACTCTAGAGGGTATGCGGGTTTCTCGTTCCTTACATACTGCTTGTGCAAACCAATCAGAATCTCTGTTATAGTAGATCTAGCGAGCGATTCATACCTTATACACGGTAGCCATTGAGTCGCGCTACGGTGCCCGTTCCAATAAACTTACCAACAGCATAGCCCCCAGCATCTAAGAAAAATAAAAAATAAAAAATAAAAAATAAAAAATAAAAAATAAAAAATAAACAAAGTGACCGATCGGTAGAGATTCACTAGGGCGACGGGGTTGCCATTCTAAGCCACCCTCTTTTGAGATCTCGGGGCATGGATGGGGTTGTATTTTTCTGGTGCGAAATGAACATGAAGGTTACGCTCTAGAGGGACAGGCGTACATACATGATGTATATAGCTCGACTTCACTCGGATCATATACCATCACTCGTATCACGAATCATGATATGTCACTCGCTACTGCACTCCCGAGACAAACAGCCGTGGTGGTCAACAAATGGCTCGTATATATCCCCGTAACACTTGGCACCGATCGCGGGACTGGATAATATGGGAAATAACGGTTGGTAACGTAGCCTTCACTGACTCCAGGTTGCGCCCCAAATGCGGGGCTGCGACATCGACATTGATCACACAGCTGGCAACGGTATTGCACTTCTATTTACAGATGAATATCAATCAGGTTACCCGCAAATTTAGACAAATTACAATGATGCGAAAGTCAGATATGAAGCAACTACCTCGGGGGTGGGGGTATTTGCTGATTCAGCAAAAAAGTATCGACAAAAGAGTTCGGTACCCAGGATTCCCACATGGTCACCCACTGCAGTACTAACTAGGCGATACGATGCTTGGGTATGGCAGAGCGGACGGGATGCCCCATTTTCATCGTTCTATGACCGAACACATTAATATATGTATCTGAAAGATATTTATATGAATGATCGTAGTTGTTGTAGGGTTGGTTGGTATTGCGGGTTTCCACAAGGCGGAAATGGAGGTGGTAACCACACAAACCACCTAACAACACTAAAATTTCAAAGTCGCACTCTTGGAGTGATACTTTAGCCGCAGGTACAAGTACTATCACTACCGAGGAGTTCATATACAATACTCTTTTCCTCTATATTCTTGTAGCTGCGGAGAAATAAGCGGTTAAAGTTGCACTCCCATACAAATTTTGTCTTGTTTTATCTCATCGCCCTCCAGCTCTTGTACTCTTGAGGCGGCTTATCTCGTGCCCATCCTTAGTTCGCCGGTGGAGGTTACAAATCCATTGAAGTGCCCAACAATCCGTCAAGGCGTAGTCCATAAATAAATATCGACCTCTATAACTTTCGAAACCATACCCGGCACCCTGAACTCTAAATCACCCTTCATCACTCGCATCATATTACATCACTCGGGTCAGTAGTCATATTCTATCACTCGACCCTTCGCACTGAGATAATATAATATTATCCCCTGCTCTACACAATGTCACGGCGGTTAAGACATCGTTTCTTTCCTCGCCTTGTGTCTTGTTAAAGAATCTAGTACGTCGGAAGGATATAGATAATTTGGTGATGGCCACGACGAGAGAAAGAAGAGTCAGAATGACTTGACCATCGTCGTCGCATGGAATGAACAAACGACCTCCAAATGAAGCAGCTAACACTTTTAGTCCTTAGAAGTAAGTATCTCCGGGGGTGGTTAGTTGTTGAGGGCATCCTTTCCTAAATAAATAAACGTGCTGACAGCTTTTAATTGACCAAGCGAAGCTTCCTAACCGCATTCATTTTGCCCCACACGGCGTTTGCGGGGAGACATCTTGGGGGGCGTATAGCGCAGTGCTCGCGGGAAGACTGCAAACATCCGACTTCCCGGTTTCAACCCATGTCTGCATGCCTTGCGAGCATATCCGTTTTGTGTCAGGGTGGGAGTTACCCTGGTTGCTGCATATTGTGCGAACTCCCCATAACGACAACTTCCTGATGCATTTGTGTACATGTAGTTATACATATACCGAGCTAATATTTATAGACACTCTTATAAACGATGACATACAACACCCCCCCTCCTCCCCTAGAGACGCAATCTCAAATCTTAAGGAAGTTTAACCCCCACTCTACCATCCCCAGCTTCTGCGACCTTCCGCACCCAGGCATTAAATATCATCTCCGCCAGCTGTATCCGGCCTTTCTTCTCCGCCGCCTCGATGGCATTGTCAAACGACTCCGATGAGTCCTCGACCCGGACCTCCATCCCCGGATCTGCCCCTGCAGCCAAAAGGACCTCGACAGTCTTCTGCTCTCCTTTCCAAGCGGCTGCCTGTAGCGCATTCCCATACTTACCACCCTGTGCATTGACGTCCGCCCCTCTGCTCAACAGCAGTTCTACGGCTTTCCACCCCCGGGGTTTCACTGATGCGGCCTGGAGGGCGGTGCCGTAGTACCCCCCCTGGGCATTAACCTCAGCACCTTGATCCAGAAGCAATTTCAATACCTTATCCCCGTTGTTTGTGGAAGCTGCAGCCTGGAGTGCAGTGTGGAGAGAACCGGACTTGAGGTTGATGTCTGCGCCGTTATCTAAGAGAAGTTGGATGACACGCCCCCGGCCTTCTTGTGCGGCAGAGTGGATAGCAGCTCCCGGAGGTCCCGGGCAGGCGTTAACATCTGCGCCTTTACTCAGTAGTGCCTCGACCGCCTCCTCAAGGCCACTATAAGCTGCTGCACTAAGAACGCTTCCGCGGATCTCACTTTTGATGTTGATGTCTGCGCCATGCTCCAATAATAACATTACGATACCCTCGAAACCCTCGTAGGCGGCAGCAAGAAGAGCGCTTTCGTATTCGATACCCGGGGCGTTAACGTCTGCTCCTACATTCAATAGAAGCTCAACTATTGCCTCGTAGCCTCCGTATGCTGCTGCGTTAAGGGCGTTGCCAAATTGGCCGCCCTGAGCATTGACATTGGCACCTTTCTCCAGGATTAGCTCAACCGCCTTTTCCATCCCTGTGGTTGAAGCTATGTGAAGGGCATTCCCGCAAATATCGCCGGGGATATTGACATCTGAACCTCCCTCTAGCAGCTTGATTACCAGTTCCTCATCTTCCTGGTATGCTGCTGCCATCAACGCTGTCTCGAATTTGCCGCCGCGAACATTGACATCAGCCCCGCGATCTAAGAGAATTTGAATCGCTTTCTCGTTCTTGCCTCTCGCAGCTGCTTGTAGCGCGCTTCCATATTTACCGCCTGGCGCGTTTACGTCTGCACCGTTATCGAGAAGCATTTCTATAATCTGATCACTCCCGCCCCTCGCTGCTGCTTGCACCGCACTCCCATATTTGCCGCCGCTTGAGTTTATGTCCGCGCCGTTATCCAGGAGCAGTTTTACAACCTTTTCGTTACCCCTATTAAGCGCCGCTGCCTGGAGAGCGTTACCAAATATGCCACCCGCAGTGTTGATAACTGCTCCTCGCTCTAACAAAAACCTGACAACCTCCACGTTGCCTTCTGGGCCCGGGTATGCTGCCGCCGCCTGCAGCGCGGTCCCATAATGGCCTCCTAAGGCATTTATATCAGCGCCTCTATCTAATAATAGTGCTAGTAGCTCCTTTCGTCCCTTTTCACTGGCAGCTGCGTGTAATGCAGTCCCATAACATCCGCTCTGGGCATTTATCCTCGCCCCTCTATCTAGGAGTAATTTCACGACCTTTATATTTCCCTTCTCGGCCGCGCAGAGGAGTGCTGACTCGTATCTGTCGCCGTCCTGGGCATCAATATGAGCTCCGTTATCCAACAGCATCCTCACAACCTTCTCATTTCCGTTCCAGCATATCACCTCACGAAGAGCATCCCCATGGCTGCCGCCCTGCTTATTCACATCGGCGCCTCGATCTAGCAATATCTGTACCAGTTTCTCCGCATTAAATAGGCTTGTCACTGCATGTCTTAAAGGGCTCCCGGTCTCGTCATTAACATTCCCCCCTCTGTCCAGGATCAGCTTGACAAAGGATTCATCCCTCGTGACGATAGCTTCATTCACCGCAGTGCCGCCCATGGTAGCTCGGAGGTTTGGGTCCGCGCCATTCTCCAGCAGGAGCATTGCCATATTTCTCTGCCCAGCCCTTATTGCACCCATCAGGGCGTTCCCGAACTTGGGGTGATTCAAATTTACGTCTGCACCTCTACTGATTAGGGCTTTCGCTATCTCAATATGTCCCTTTTGCGCTGCGTGTTGGAGGGGGCTTCCGATGTGGCTACCATGATAATCCCCGAGATTAACGTCCATTCCCTGGTCAAGAAGGTAAGTTAGGAAGCGGAGCATGTTGTTCTGCGCCGCGAAAGAGAGCGGCCAGGCGGGCGAGACGGAGGACCTGGATGATGCGAACACCCATACAATATCCTTCAGCAGTGGATTACCACTTGCATCAGCGAGCTGTGCATGTACGAACCAGCGCACGGCATAAAGAAGAAATGGTTCTGTGGCACCCCTTCGATATGTCGGCCCGAGATGATTCTCGAGTTGGAGGTCCGGGATACTTATCGAGCTGAATTCAGCCCAGCTCAGATACTCGGTGCAGACAACTGCAATGCGAATATGGGCATCCAATACGGAAAATCCGAAGGGCGAGGTAAATTCGGCGGGATTCTGGCAGAACTCCTTCGCAGACTGGTGAATGAACTGTACAGTATCTGCCCTCACTTCTAGGAGGCCCGCTGACCGGCTTTTGAGACGTTCGGGAGTTTGATCAAGTCTTTGGACCTTTCCAGATTTCTCGAAGCTGTCAGTAGAGGCAAACTTATGCTGACTGAGAGCGATGGCATAGCGAAATTCCGCTACCGTCAAGGGCCGCTCGGCCAGGGAGACCCATTCAAACATCAGTTTTGTCTCTGCAAGTTGTGGTGCCTTTAGAGTAGCAACAAGTTTATTCAGCATGCGAGCGTAGAGGGAATCAAGTTTATTCGGAATGGATATCAATATTTGCTTCAGCTCCTCATCCGAGATCTCCGCACACTCATCTATCAACTCATCAAGCACAAGCTTCACCCAGAGGAAGACCCCTGATGCCCGTCTCATCAGGTCTGCCTGTACGAACTCCCTATGCTCTGCGGGAATAGCCACTATTCTTCGTTCCAAAAAGTTCCGGATATCACTCCTTGTCATGGTCTCAAGAGTGAGCTGTTCATAGCCCACGTCAAGTATCCCGGGAAAGCGTCGATGGCGGCTAGTGACGAGTATCTTGAAGCGTGAGTTGGAGAGAGCTACAGAAAATATTGTCGAAAGATACTCTCTTGTTAATGCATCTTCCTCACTCGTCTGTGCGGTGGAATCAAAGGCGGAACACTCGTCCAAAGCGTCGATAAGTAAGTGCATAGATTTGATCGCCGGATCCGCGATGATATCGAGGAGAATATCGAGTAGGAGTTTCAATGGCCATTCCCCTCCGCCATCAAGTCTATCCTTGATCGCTCTGTACTCAGGCAGTATATATTTTGACGTTACAGGAACCTTGCGGACAGTCTGGTACAACAGCGCTTGAAGCAATCCTCGGAATGACTGTGCAAAACTTGCCCCCCGCGCGTTGAAGAAGAATTCGGCTACTATTGTGCCACTCAAGTCTTCGGCTTCCTCAGAGAGACCCCCGAAGAGGTACTTGCACAAAGTTGATTTTCCAGAGCCGGGTTTGCCGACGATCCAGAGTATCCCAGGGCTCGCTACACGCCAGTCTAAGATTCTGGTGTCGGCCCAGATCCAGTCAAAAGTTGACTCATCGGCCTCAGGAACATTGTTAAAGTGGGCATCGAGTTCCTTAAAGTATATGGTACTTAGACATTCTAGGCAGGCAACAGTTAGAATATGTTGGGAGGAATAATGAAGGGGTTGGTGAGGTACTTTCGAGTTCTTCTGTTACAACACCAGCTCGGTCTATTGAGAGACAAGTCAGCTATATGATCTTTATGTGTGGTAGAAACGTACGGCCGGAGGAACGTGATATATATCAGGGTAAGATATCAATCTTATTTTGTTGAAACCAGCGCTGACGAACCTTTCTGTACCCTTTCCACCATCTCGATCAGCTCCCTCAGTACTAGCTGGTAGTTCCCATCCACCTCTGACTTGAACTTGTTCATCCGCATATGATCACACTCCAGCATTACATTGGCCTTCCCTGCCATACTACTCGCCTTATGGTCTACCGCCTACACAACGAATCAGTCAGCATTCCTGACGCCAACATTGCGCGGGAGATGCGCATATATATACCAGCAAAAACGGTATCCCCCATTTCTGTGTCTTCCTTGTTTCGCAAAAATTGACAATATGATGTTCACTTGTCCCATATCCCTTCAGGAAGGCATCGTTCAGCACCCACAGCGCCTCTGTCCCCGGCTTTAGTGCCTCTAGAAGCTCGGTGCGTGAGCCTAGCCAGTACGTAATATAGGATACGACTACGCCGGCCTTGGTCAGCGGGGATCCATCGTGGGGGACACCGAGGAAGAGGGCGCCAAGAAACGACTCCGAAAGAGATTGGTAGCGGGCCTCAGCGCTCTTTTGACCGGCCGTTACAAGTGCCTGTATTTGACTCTGTCAATTTGGATCGATGGGGTGAAGGCGGCGACTGATCTCCGAGGTTTCGAACCTTCTTGATTACGATACCACCAAAGCTATGGCCAATGAATATTATTCGCCTTTTATTCTCCTGCATATTAATCCGTCAGCGTTCAAAGTATATATATTCCCGCGGACCCGTCACTAGATATGCCCAAACCAACCTCATCACTCTTCCGGCACGTTCTCACTGCATCCAACAGTTGATTCCCGCAATCTTGCACGGACTTTACCGGCGCATCAAACCGCCACGCCGAATCATGGTTAAAGACCATGATCCTTGCGCTCGGTAGCGCATGCGGCAGTAGATCCCGCAGCCACATAACGTTGTTCGACACCTCGACCCCACCAGCGACTTCCCAGTATGTCCATGCCCAATCGGGATCTGAACCAAGCCCATGGACCGCAATGATGCTAGATGAGTTGGAAGCAGTTAAATATTTTGGTCCAACAGCTATCCAAGAATAATAATAATAAGACAAATGACGGCACAAAACTCACTCCACGCTGATATCTTCCGCGTCCTCCGGCTCATAGAGCACGTCTATGCCTGTACGCACCTCATTCCTCGGCTTTTGCCAGAAAACTAACAGGATCTGGACAGGCGATAGTGCTACCCCAGCCAGGAAACAGATAGTATATAATATAGCTGTTACCACCCATTGGAAAGTAGAGAGCTGGTAGTATTCGAGGGCAGAGCCCAACGCAGCGGTTGTGATTAGAATGCCACCCCAGACACGGGGCTGTGACTCGTGAGAGCGGAGGGTGCGTTCAAGACCAAGGAGGAGTAGGAGAGTGTGAATGATGGTAAACATTAAATTCCGAAGGAGAGCTAGAGCTACACTTGCGGGCGAACAAACACTGGTGGTGGTTGTGGTCTAGGAGGAGAATCAATGAATGAGGAGGGCATGGGGGTAATTACATAGATGTCGCTACGTGTATTGTTACATACGCGCCTTGGGCGTATTTTACCTCTATGCGGGTGGGGCATGCGCACAGCCTGCAGCTGATAAGTAATCCTCTACACTGTGCTTCTAGAGCTTGCTAAAGGTGTAATGTTTTGCGGAATGCCCCCAACCTTATTCTAACGACAGATATCATTATTGAATATAGAACCGTACAGGAGTTTATTGATTTTGCGTTTTAAGGAGTTTTGCAAGTAGTTGACTTGCGGTAATGTTGCACTTTGGATGACCTCCGGATCTGTTACCGCGGTATTATAGAAGTCACGGCCTCGAAGGTAGCTCTGGAAGAGAAATTCGAAAGGGGCGTCACTGCGTTGAAGCTCTCTCTGGGCATTGTTAGAAAAGGTATATTGTTTATAACTTTATATATTGGGTGCCAGGGCCACCTCTCCTACAAGGTTCAAGGGAGGTCTCGACATGCGCGATGCTTCGTCCGAACCACCACCACATCCCTTCGTGTGTTTTCACGATCAGGCGCTAATGGGCAGCTTTTACTCGGTAATAAACCTAATCCTTATTCCGTGAGCCTTTTGCTGTAAAGTCACCTTCTGTGACCCCTCCTATACCTTTTTCAGGTGTTTCCACAGTCTGTAGGTAGCTAGGTTTTTTGAATATCACCACGCCGTCGCAGGCCTAATATCTCTCCGATTTTGCTCTGACGAACGAAGGGATAGATCGCCGTACTCGCAACACTTGTTCGGTCAAAGGATGTCAATATCTGCCCTAGGTCTAGCTTTGGGCCAAAACCAACGCAGCCAAGGATGAAATCTGTCACATTTGATTACCCCGCTTGGACAAGGATAAAAGCGTTGCGACCGGCGGAGAATGTCTTAAACCATTAAGAGCCCGTTTGGCTGCAAGTCAAAACGGAGTTACAAGAGGAGGATTTGTATGCAACCACATAACTCCAGTTTGGCAAAAAAGTTTGTGTTCGGGCAGCTAATTTCGTAACTCTGTTAAGGTGTAGGGGTTACTTACTTTTCAGCTCCGTTTCGCTCTTGCACTCGAGTACTCATTGCAACCAAAAAAACACCAACCATTAGCAATCAGGTGTTTGGCAACCCAAATAAATCCAAACTCCATTTTGGAGTTTCGACACCTCGATAACAGCCAAACGGGCCCTAAATTAAATTCATTTGAAAACACCAGATTATCATCATGGCCGCACCGCAACCTGATTATGTTGTTATCGGAAACTGTTTCGATCGACTCCGCGATGAAGTCATCAAAATTCAGAACCAACCAGGCACAGCTCAACAGATTGCAAATTTTGCCCATGATACTAACAATTGTTTCGATCGCATCGCTGCACAGCTCGAGAATGTTACTATACAGCTCGGGAATGTTACTACACAGCTCGGGAATCTTACCGCTCGAGTCGGAGCCGTTGAGGATCAGCTCCTAGTACATAACCAGAGTAACAATCTGTGAGAGAGTCCATACCAAGGAATTCCTGGTACTAACACAATGTACAGGCAACCGATGCGTTTGTACAGTACGATGCCAGTCGTGAGGGTCAGGCGCGGCGTCGCAACGCCGCGCGCGCAACCAGATTTCCACAACCTTTTCACGGCAGGTTGGTACACAAGATATTAAATGTCAAATTATTGTTATTTATCTACTATTTAACAACTATACAAAAATTCAGCTCTCCAAAGGATCAATTGTGGTTGCTGTGCTGGTACCCGTGATTGTTCGGGGGCGTTGCGACGCTGCACCTGACCCTCACGGCTGGCATCGTACTGTACAACTCGTCTCTTGGCGAGTTTTCTCACATCAGATACCCAGCAAACCTTAATCCTCAAGTGCCACGCCCTGCGAATAGATCTGAGCTTCAGCTATATTCCGGTAACGTCCCTGTTAAATGCTTTGTGACAGAGCTTCGTCTTCGAATATATGCTAACATAAGGTATATCTAGCGGAGAAATGTCAAGCTCTAATTCAGGCTCTTGGTCTCCAACCACACGCACCTAGAAGTCTGGTGATGGCATATAGGCAATATATTGCTGATTACCTTGGGGTTCCGATCGGAGTTGAATGAGAAATGGGAAATTGATGGAGCTGAAAGCAGTGACGACGGTCAGGAGTTAATGATGACATTCGTTAAAGTGGAAATGTTTGCAGTCTTTTTTCTTTGCATGCATCATGGAGTTTGGTTAGAAATGTTCTCAGGGATAATCGATCGAAGGAATCGGGACAACGCTTGGGACGTAGCGTGCTCTCGGACTTGAAAAAATAAATTTTAATTAATGGGAATTGTCTGTCTTTGATTTACGATGGTTTTTACGTTTGGTTTCATTCAGAGTATGACTTTATTGTGAGCGGTGGGGCGGCAGCCATGAGCGAAACGAATCATCGTGAGATTTACTTTGGAGTTCTGTGAATTAACTATGTTTTAACCGAGTGGGCGAGGTGGTGTTTGGGAGCGCTGTTTAGAGCGGACCGACAACGGTCGGGCCGAATAACTATGGTCAGTCCATCTGTCCATATCACCTTTTGGGTGTCGCGCTCAGAATACCAATCCTTGGAGAATTATCCTTTACGAGTAGGTATTCCTCATACCATGCAGGCCAGGGTCCCCTAATATAATTCTACATACTTGGGTATGGCAGAGCGGACGGAATGCCTCATTTTCATCGTTCTATGACCGAACACGTTGATGTGTGTATTTTAATAGTATTTATACTGATGGTGGTGATTTTTGTGGTGGTTGCTGGTGGTGGTGGGGTTTGCTAGATGGGGGGGTTGGTGACAACCGCGACGGCGACAGTCAACCTTGAGTTACAATCTACAGTTAAGCGCACTATGGGAGGTGATTCGAATATATTTCCTACTCCTACTCATCACCGAAAAAGTTTAATCGGCCAATTACCTGAAATCGTTTTTCCCGATAATCAGATCGGTCGCCAACCTTTTTGTGCGCTGAGATTCCCGTTGCGGTTGTTGCTGTTGGGTGCACAATTCCACATGCGGCCCGGCGGGTAGACCAGCTCACGGGAGGTGGGGGGGTAAAGCTCCTCGGGACCTTCCACCTAGCTAAATCCTCTCATCACGCAGACTCTACTTATCATACGCGCGATCTCGGCACACGGGCGAACGAAAGAACCGACGTTTATCTATTGGATATATATAGTACATTGTTTTGATCGTTGTCCAAAAGCTATGCAGGTTCGCAATTGCTATCACGACACGAGAGTCATCTGGATCATAGAGCGATATTCTTGCGAGGATACACTAGTCGCCGGTGTATAAACGACTGGCAAAGGAGCGGGATTAAGCACAAAGTACAACCACTACCGATTATCATCTTGAATTCCTATTGGGGAGCGCCCACGCCTCAGCTCCGTGGTCTGGGAGTGGGGGAAGGACTTCATTATGTTGAGAGACGTCAACTTGTATACGGAACTGGCCAACCGGGCTATCTCTTGGAGGTAAAAGAACAAGATTTACTCTGCTAGAATACTCTAGTATCGGGCTTGTTGTCCCTTTGGTGCGAATCGTCTTTGTGCGATAAGCGCGATTAATTGGAATCATGGATTATCACTCGGGTTCCTGAGCAGGCGCCGGACAGGATTCGGGGGCGGGGGCGGGGTGGCGGGATAGTTGTTAGCTACGTGGTTGTTATTGGTAAGTAAGGATATGTGTTAGGTATGAGAGATAGGCTATAAAGCTAACCTGCGGCGACTTGATCTAAATACTATTACTCTCGTCCTCCTGCATCCGAGCATTAACAGCGGTAGGGCTTCAAGAGAGATCGCGATCACAAACATCCAGAAAACATCCAAACGAAACGGAAGCTATCGCATCGAATAGTGCGGCGGATCCTGGTGGTTATTTCAGGAGGACTTGCTACAGTGGAGCGATTTTATATATATACACCCCCCGTATCTAGACACCCGGGTATGACATGTAACCCACGCGCTTAAAACCTCAACTTCAAACAATGGCAATGCTATTTCTCCAGCACCATCCATTCATACTCCAGAGCGCGAGGCCAACGGCTGTTGAAACAAAACAACCAAGCACCGCCCCATCTCAACCACCAACCCCCACACTCCCCCAAACAGGACAAGACAAAAGTCCGGGCACATCCTCCGCCGACGCTGAAGAAATAAGCCGCACAGGGATCAGGGTTAATCGTATGAAAAACAAAGCCCCGAAATAGATCGGCACATTTTTATTCTCCAGATTAGCCGTTGGATGCATGCAGGGGCAGAGATCAAACATCCCTGCCACGCGGGCATGCGGGGATGTGATCAGAAAGGTTAAAGCAGAGCCTCGAGCCGTTGTTGTGCGTTGAGAGGCTTTTGGAGGAGAGGTGGGATCGGGATTGAGATACTGCCTTCTGGCGGGTTGATTGGGGTTGGGGGTTGCGGATGCTGAACGGTTGTTATGGGGAAGGGCGGTTTGGGGGAGTTTGGATTTCGTCTCGATCTTGGGGTGTGGCGGGGGTTGAAATCTGCGTATACCGATAGTTCACCGCTAGTACATGCTAGTATCAAAAAATTTCGCGTCTGTGAGATATACGGTGCTCAATGCCTTCTACACTTGAGAAATCGAAATGGCTGCCGTCCCCCACCCACACGCACCACACATACATCATCGCGAAACAGTACTAGTAGTACGGAGATCTAGACCGCATTTGTTATGTCGTGAGAATATGATCCTCATCGGTTGGCGGCGTGGTTTTCGTATGACGGATGATTGGATATAAGAAATAGCGGACATCACATGGCAAATCTGGCAGAAAAACGACATCTTACTACTGTGCAGGTATAAACACCCTGGGAACTAGCTACAGGTTTTGCCAGCGCGCGCGCGATATATCAAACCGTCGTACACGTTAACCGAGAGCCGGTACTAAGAATACGAGCACGCGCAGAAATACACAGCAGCTGGCACATCGCCGCGTTTAACGTCCTTATTTGTCGTCGAGTGGTACCTGTATGCAGGGCTGGTGGTACCGCCCCCACGGGGCACAAATGGGGTGAGGACCAGACTGGCTAAATACTAGCTAATGAGCTTCCTCACCACATCGCCTATTAAACGCCTTATTCAAGACCTTACGGCCTTGCATGGTATCCTTCTGGCAGCTCGACAGTTTCTTGGTGTGCTGCTTTGTGGCTGGGACATGTTCTGGATACTTTGGCAACAGAAATGGGCGTCGGAATTAAGAGTGAGGTACGTTTTGATCGCCTACGTATACGGGAGCAAAGAATAAGTACATGTACTTTGAGATCTATCCCGAAGGATTGCGCGCGGGGGTGCAAGTTTCATTAAAGCTACCCCCGTGATCTTGCCGCGCGCAGTGGCACGATTGGAATTTAGGGATTACTTATTGTTGCCTACTCGATCCCGGCCGGGGGAAATGATTAAACGACTAGAAAACCATAATGCCAAACGTAAGATTCCAAGCTCGCAAGTGGAAAGGACCCCACGGCTATGTAGCGTCAAGAACCGCCTCACCCCGTATTCCAGAGTCTATTACATGCAGCCCATGCGCAGAAGCGTGCCTAATTCTATGTCACCCGACGGGATTAATGCCTTACGGACTCAGCTGCTTGATTCTCCGAGTGTTGTCTTGTTTGAGAAGTTCAGAGCGAGCGCTCGAGCTCTGTGTCGTCGCAGGGGTGCGGGGTGAATGGACGATATTGTACTTGGGGAATTGACAAATTAGAACCCATACTGCTCTCCCCACAGCGATACGATATCCTCTACATGTATACAGCTGCATCCAGCACCTAAAACTAATTCCCTTCTGGAGGAAACTAACCATAACCCACCGCCAAGCCTCGTCAGATATCACCCCCCGCCCGTGCTGTGCCGCACAACCTCGAGCTTAAATGAAAGATCTGACACGCATATGCAGGACCGCTCGCTACGCCGCAGAGCCTCGATTCATGCAGAGCCGCGGCGTTATTCCACAACAACCCAGCTTGGCCTGGGGCGGTGCCTCGGGAATGTAACCTTTTCCACAAAGGGTCATTCGTGAGACGTTAACCGCTCGGAGGCGGGTATCGATATCTCCCGAGCGAGATCGAATTGGTTCATGGCGAGCTAGGAGATGGGTGTCCAGCCGGCTGGATGAAGAGAGCTTCTAGCTGGTGGAGGGTTGGGGTATATATACCGCCCTCCTCGTCCACTCAATTGCAATCACCAGCCCTCATCAGCTTCTTACCAGGCTTCGATATATCCATCTCTCTAGTTATCTCGACATCCAAAACCTTCTCCTCTCCTCTTATACCTCTCCTTAAACACAATAATCCACAAAATACAAAAATGCGTTTCTCCCTCCTCCCCCTCCTCCTCGCCCCGCTGGCGACCTTCGCCAGCCCAGTCCCCATAACCACACCTGAGGGCTACACCGTCACCTGCTACTATGACGCCAGAGCCGCCATGTCTGTCGGCATCGAAGCCATCCTCTCCGCGAACGAGAACGACGACAGCGTGCTCGACTACCCGTGGGAGAAGATGAACTTTGGCGCGGTGCTGCGCGCGAACGGCGACGTCAAGGTGAAGGTCTCGACGGCCGTAAGGGAGGCGAGGGACTATATTGTTGCGAACTGTAAGCTGCCGGATGATGCGGATTATGGCGGTTTGGTGGATTTGGGGAGTCATAGGGTTAGGTTGGCGGCGCCGGGGAGGTAGAGAGGTGGAATGGGAGAGGGGTATATATGGGGGAAATGAAATCTTTGTAGTAAAGGTTTTTCGTATAGGGCTGGGGCCGGCTTGGGAGAGCTGTGGTTTCGGCTTTGTATAAGCTGTGTAGTCTTGTATAATTCAGCGTAGAAAATATAATCTACTGGGCTTCTTCTTATGCTCGATTGAAATATTATTGTGGTATTGTATGTGGTGTGATATCTGTACCGCGAAGCTCATTCCCATGGTTCATTTGTCTCCAATGTGACTTTTATAACACATTATAACCATTAGGAGCAATTACGGAAATAGATAGTGAATAGATTACCGCTTGACATCGCATCGGCGTAGAAACAACCACCACGCAGGCAACCCAGATATTGAAGAGAACATGCACGTATAAGGAATAAATCACCACCACCTATCTAATTGATAGCCACGATCGCTGTTAGACCTTGGCTTCCGGCAAGCGACTCGTATAATACACCAAACACCGGAATGATACTTGATACAGCTTGCATTTCCGCCGTTAATTGCGGTAACAGTAACTGACGGGTATGATGTATATAGTTAGTTACATGGGGGTTCTTGTAATACCATCTGGGGGGATTATATATAACGTTCGTTGCATTGTGATCAACTCTGGAGATATTTTGCTGTAGTCGGGACTGCTGGGTGGGGGTCAGAACTGTCTCCTAAGTAAAGCACAAGACCTACAAAATAACAGAGACCATCGAAACCTCCGTGGGGGGGGGGGGGGGGGGTTTATTAGCAAGTAGATTGAACGGCAACCACAATTGGGTTGTATAGCGTACTTTATGTAGTCGGTGCTCCCGGGATTGGAGGAGGCGGCTGTGGTTTTGAAAAAGCGTTGAGGTTAATTGCAATTAGGCTTTGGTGCTTTTACTTGGTTTGGATCGTTGTGGGATTATAGTGCTGGGGTATTATACACACTTGTATTTTTGCTCGATTGGCCATATTGGACACGAGACTCGCGCCATCCTGCTTGCTACGTAGTGCTAAAATTAAAAGTCTCGAGGTATGTAGCTAACCATCGTCAGCAATACCCCAAAGAACTAACGCAGACCCATAAAGTTCTCGGTTCATTGAAGTAATCCCAAAGCGACCCGGTGTTCCGTGGAGAGAGTGGTGGTTTTGCATCATGGGGCGTCACTCGGGGGTTGTGGGAGTTGGCTGGTGGAGTTTTTGCTTTTTTGTTTAATTCATTAATTGTATTTTGCTGGTGGAGTTGTTGGCTGCGAGAATGAGGGGCGGGAGGGTCGGGATTTTCTGGGGGTGTTTTGTTTTGGTTCTGGTGTTTTGGTGTTGTGGAAAGGGGGTCTTGGGGGAGAGGTTGTCTGGGGTCGGCGCAGTGGCCGGGGAGTGTCGTATTGTGCTGGGCGCGCGCGTGGTGGAGGTGAAAAGTGGGGATTGATAGCGAAGGGTGGGTTTTCGGTGGTCGTCTAGTGTGGGAGTCGATATCTATGTGTGATCTAAACTAACCACATATACCTGTACTGCTTCGTCTAGCGAAGAGGTGCTGTCTAACTGAGGGGAGAAGCAAATTCGTGTGACTTTACTAATAGTTTCTGTTATAGGTCTCTTATCAGGTAATAGATTTTTCATATTACAAATATAATCTAATGCCCCCGTACATTTATAGGATGGGCAGCATTTCCAGAATAATTAAGGGGTACTTGTACACTTACATTTAGAGATCTAGCTTGGTGCATGTGGGGAACACAGACTAAAAGGCACCTTCATGTGCACGTGGTGATGCACACAACCCAAAAACAGAAGGTCTCTCTACTACGGTGAGAAATGTGTCTTGATAATGCATCCGTAAATGCATCCCATCCTTTCAAGCCGTGACTTGCATGTGGCGGAATAATGCATCGTAATAATGCATCAACTAATGCATCTCCAGTCCCACTTTACGATTTTACTGATTACATACTTTAGCTCGTGAACCTTTAAGTATGAGCCAATTACTCAGTCAACTCGTCAGTCAATTCGTCAGTCAATTCGTCAGGCAATTCGTCAGTATATGGATCAGTAAATGTGTTCTGAATTTCGATGGTATAAAAATAAAATACAGTGTCGGAATCGAACTTGTACTATTGTACCTAATTGGCCCATGACTTACTTACCACCTAGGCCATCAGTTGTTATATTGAGGTAATCAATCGGTGCTATATCGACCACAGATGGAGGCGAATTCACCTACGCAATAGATAAAAAATTTACTAAGTCCAAAATTTGGAGGGATGTTAAATACCTCAGGCTGGTGGGGCAGTAGATTTTAGCACCCAGGCCCGGCGCCTCTATAACCACAATGATATCCCTAACGAGTTTTCAAACGACATCTCTACGACTCAGGCTTTACTGATGATAATCTACCAACAACACATTTACTGACGAATTTTGTTCGAAGAGCCTTCCGGAAAGTCGTTGTTGAACTTGAACGTGTTCATCGGGTGAACAGATGCGTACTAATACATCAGTAATTGTATTAGCCTGAGTAAATATATTGAATAGAGGAAAGGCATCCGTTAATGTGTTTCCAGGCGGCTTTGCGGCAAGTATCTACCTCCAACGCTTTTCTGGATCGCTTTCCAGAGGGCCCTCCCGACAACGATCTGGATGGAACTCGTCAGTAAATGTGTTCTGGATGGAAAATCATCAGAAAAGTAATCTATAATGCATCGGTAATGCACTGATAATGCATCGCGCCTACGAGTTTACGGACTCACGACATGTTATGCATCAATTGATGCATTTGCTCGACTACTTAATATCCATTGATGCATAACCGCCATGATAGAGTCTCCAGATCTTTTCTTTCTTTTTTTTTTTTCCTTTTTTTTTTTTTAGATAATATGAGAGAAGACGTCGAGGTCTATCTGTAGGTGGGCAATAATGTAATTAGCAGCACTTTGCAGCCGGGGGCGTATCATGATACATAGGTAGATTAATACATGTATAATAAATTCAAGAACCCCGCAAATCCTAACCCTAATTCTCATTTCAATCCTGCATGCTATAGCGGTCTCGAACCTGAGACCCGCTCTCCCCAGATGCAGGACGAGACGAGACGATCAAGACCTCCACAATATGAGGGGGTTGATCCGGAACCATGCATAGTAGCCGGACGTATATATACGGAGGTATTAATATTGATAACAAGATATAGAACGCGGGGGATGTAGTCGGTATGTACATGTAGGTACTCTACCCAGTGTGGTGTGCGAGCTAGGGGCGTATATATGTATGATCTAGACCTGGAAATAAGGTGCTGCTACTGTGCGATACTAGTACCGGAAGGGATAAAATGGGGTATTCTCAAACAGCACTATCGACCAACCGCCCCCCACGCAGACCCGGAGTGCATCGATTATTTCTTTCCCGAACATTCGGGTTGAATGTATTATTACCATGGGGGGTACGTACTAGAGGTTGCGTAAACCTGTGGGCTCCTCTATTGAAGGCTGGCAGCTGCAGGGGAATCGCTACTTCTATATAGACGAGGGTTAAACTACATAATACAGCGGGGACCCGCTATAGCGAACTCCAATAAACCGAATATTTGTTGTAACTAAGGGTCTCGGACTCGATTTTTTTTTTTCCCAGCGAAATTCGTAAAAACCATGCTGATATACCGAATTTCACTCCGGATCGAATCTTTGGAACCTGACCACCCTGTAACCCCCGGCCTCCATAGAAAAAAAAATCTGCTGTAGTGAATTCCCTTCTGTTTGTACCCATTATCTTTCCAGTACAACACAACAAAATCCCGGTTCGCAAAGGTTTGACTTCTCTAGAGAAGTATGAATTGTGCTGCTTGAGGTCCCGCCACCAAAAATTGAAACTTTCCGAGTTCGCTCTTTTGGAGGAATGTCCTATACGACCTGATGGGCGTCCTTTGGCGGCTTCTAGCCTCTCAGAACACTTGAAAAATTGGAGGGAAAAAGCGGAGAAGGGTCCACCGGAAGGTTACAAACCATGGGAAACCGACTTTTTGCCTTAATACTAATGAAAAATTAGGACCATCGATGAATAAAAAGAAGACTCGGTCCTCGCAATGTCCAGTTATGGAGCATTTCCTATCACTATGGGTGGATGCCATAGATATTGCTCGAGTTCCAATTACCGACCAAATAATTCGTAGTCAAGCAAAAATTGTGCAGTCACAATTGACAGCTGCCGGAGTTGAGGAAGATTATTCGTCATTTGAACTTTCACCAGGCTGGCTTCGAAATTTCAAGGCAAGATACGGAACCGGTCGTCTATATCGTCATGGAGAAGCAGGAGCAGTTGACGAGACTGCTCTACCTGAAATGCGTCTTCAACTGGCTGAGGAATTATGCGAGTTTGCTCCATCTGACCGTTATAATTACGACGAAAGCTGTCTTCAATTCAATCTACAGCCTCAATATACGAACGCGCGTAAACAGAAAGGAAAACGATTAAAAGGTGTCAAGAAAGATAAAGCACGCGTCAGTACATTCCACATATGCAATTCCGATGGGTCAGACAAGCGTAAATTGATTGTTGTCCATCGATAAAAAACACCAAATGTATTCCGACAACATAGAGTCAATACCGCAAATCTCCCTGTTACCTACCGACACAACAAAAAGTCATGGATGCTTACTGGTTTTTGTTACGAATTTCTCAACAACATAAACAATGAAATGCGATTGGCCAATCGCTATATTGCTTTAGTGACAGACAACTGCCCTACGCATCCAAAACCCGAAAACCTTCCACAAAAGTATAACGGTCCACCACCTCCAGTTTTTACCCACGTTAAATTGATATATCTACTGCCTAATACCACATCTCACCTTCAACCATTAGATCAAGGCATAATTGCTTCTTTCCAAGCTGCTTACCGTCGCTTATATGCAGAGAAAATGGTCGAGCATTTCAACACACGGGAATGCACCGGAGAAGTTTGATATCTTATATCAAGTGCATGGGATGCAGTCACTCCGGAGATCATTGTCAATTGCTGGCACAAAGCAAACATTTGTGGAGATACCTTATCTGAGCAGTCAGACACAATTCTTAGCCGAGTCACAAATTCATTTATTTCCGATCAGTACCGACCTTGTAAGGATGCGATGACCCAAATACTACCACCCTCCCTAACCGATAGAGAAACCAATGGAGATAATGAGTACTATGTTGAGTACTGGCAATCATTCGATGACTTCTTCTTTCATGACGGCGAAGACATCGAGTTGGATGAAGAAGAAAACCACGGAGCCGCTCCGTCAGTAGAAACTATTGTGGCGGAAGGAATTGCAGCAGGTATTCTGACATGAGACAACTTTAGCGATGCGGATGCAGAAGGGGAGAGTGAAGAGGAACCAAAAGAGGGCTTCAACGCACCTGTCAGCCATGATGTCGCAATTCATTATACGGCAGAGGTATGCCGATATCCGCAATCACTTTCCGTATCGGAACTCTCAACCAACTCTGCCAAAAGTCTATCGGTACCCAGTGTATTAAAGGACAGTATTTCCCTGCAGTCTGCCCTTATACAGTAGCTAGTCATGAGTCCGCGTCCTTGAGTCTCTCTAATTGCTCTTGTAGATACAGAAACCATCGGATACGGGTCCATCAGACTAAAATAAATCAGTTTTTTGGTCCAGTACCTGAGCAGCGTTGGCAGCCACCCAATTCTGATTTGAATGGGGAAGCGATTCTAGAATGAGAAGTTAGCCCTGGTAGTTCTTCACTGGAGGGATTTGAACGGAGCGGAAGAGATTTTATTCCAACTAGGTGGAGGAGTAGAGAAATCAATACTGCGTATGAAGAACTATCAGAATAAGGAATCATTATATTTGTATATAGAAAGAATAAAACTCACCGCTCATCAAACAAATCTATGCCAAAAGCTGGTCGCTCTGTAGTAGTCTAGTGGTGGTTCATAGGGTGAACCGCAACATGATCCACACATAAAGCGTGGTGAACGCCAACATGATTTGCAAAACAGTTCACGGTTGCAACCCATGCGGCCACCAAAGCGGGCCCTTGGTTGAATAAAGGATTATGCCGGCCTAGAAAGCAGTTTATTAGTATACCTGCAATTTTTTCGAATTCTGCTGCACTGGATGATCTGCTATATCGAACCGATTTTTGCGGATCCTACACGTTTGGTATAGCGCGTCCCCGCTGTAAATAAATATAATCTACGGACGTACAGCAGGGATATTTGGAATCTCTGAAGCATTTCAAACGGAAACTCGTGTCGTACGTATTACCCTTCTTCTTATCAATGGCACAATACGAGACAGGTGCCCAGAATTTAGCTTTTGTTAGCGGTACGGTGCTCTCCTCCGCGTTTTTTCTGTGAGGTTGAGACGTTCGCGGTATGGGGATAAGTAGTTACATGCATATAGTCAACACAGATACACTTGGCTCTTGTGAGGATTTGTGGCGTTTCGTATTCGGGTGTCAATCAATATAAGGTTCTAACTATCTAATACGCTGGCCGGTTGCATAATCGAACCCTAACCCTGGACTTTCTCAACCAAAATGACACGTGATATATGGGTCTCTCGAGACTAAAGAGAACACCTCCTAGTATTTCCCCTTGACGTGCTGCTTTGTAGGGTGGTTTTAGTAATGGTGTCCACAATTTAGCTTAACTAGACGTCTCGCCTTAATTTCTATCAATAGGTACAGTCGCTCACCTAGAGTACTGACGACGGATCCTGTCTGATGGTTCTGTACCTATCAAGTCTTCCAGGTACATGCTCGCTCCTCGATCGTACTTAAACTCAGACATGACAGGTCGTCCGCACCTGAAATCAGCACCGCTTCATCCCACAACTCAAACACCACCACGGCAACCCCCGGGCTCCGGAGGGCCGAAGAGTGGGGGAAACGCACGCCCATCTAGTAGATTTCGTCGCAGCGAAAGATCTCGTCTTAGGCCATGGGTGATATGATATGCACAGGGGCACCTCTACTGACTGATAGTCATGGAGTCTGCTAGTGTTTGACCAGATTAAGAAGAGTTAGCTAGTCTCGGGGGATACGTACTGCGTGCTTCCCGTGGACACTCGCTTTTCTCGGGCAGACTGGGGGCCCCCGAGACAGCGTCGGCCCACACACACCTCGGAATAGGTCTCGGTACTGAGGGAGTGGGTGCTGGGGGGTCACGGGCCGTTATGCTTAAAGTACTCAGGCTTGCTCTGGATGGTTGCACTTACGTAAGACTTTCGACCTTACCGGAATTGTCCGCAGCGGCGAGCTCTTTGGGTTAGGTAGAGCATGTGCGACGACTTGGCCCTGCTCTGCCGAGTGGACAGGGTCTCTCCCCTGGCATGTGGTTTTTGACTTGTGGGGTTGATTGATCCAGCGAGCTGGGTGATTACCTATGTTGATTTGGATTCTGGATAAGCATTTGCTTTTTCGATGTCTTTGCGGGTTTGGAAAAAGGGCGGCATTTCCCGCTAAAGAATTAGCCCTCACGGCCAGTGCGCAGACAGAACTGCATGTTAAATGTTAAATTCGCTTGCGGGGTGTGACTTTCCCGTCATGAGACATCACTAGAGAGCTGATGTCCTTGATATCCTGACTTTTGAGACTCCACTGGGCACAGGTAGATATATATATATATATGTAAAGATCGCCTCCGGCCCCCACCCTTGGATGCCCCGGCCCATGTAGCGTGTCTATGGCGTGGGTCTGAACGCCTGCAGGAACGATGGATGGGAAAATGGGAAAACCACACCTGGCATATTTGTCATTTGTGTGACGGAAGGCAGGAATGTGGCTTTAGTATGGTGGATCGTGGATATTCCACAACTGCCACATCCCCCCCCCGAGTCGATGTCGCCTTTCATCTGAGCTAATACGTGGTAAAGGAGCAAGGAATATCGATTGGTATGATATGTCCCTCTTTGTACATACTCGAAGATCCCTGTGCACTGACTAGTCATCCCCTGGAGAATTTTAGATTTTCTGGTTCTGTGTTCTACACCCCCGGTAGCTACATGACAGTTGGGACCGTGCAGCCCCGCCAAACGCCATGCAATCAGCTCTCCCAGACTACCTACATACATGGTATCTATTGAGTCTTCTAGGGCGGCTAGGAGCCACCTGATTGGGAACGTCAAGGGTAGTCGCTATGAATCCATGAACATGCTCAGCCATAGCCCCATTGGCCCGGAAGTGCCTTCCATCGAATCCATACCGGCGCCATATCTCTCGATCACCTTCTCTCTCCCTTGTCTCTGTGCACATGGACGCAGCGTAGATGTGGACATTGCCCATTATTGGGCTTTTATACCCTCTGGGACGCCCCTCTCCCGCCCCCGTCACACTGTCCAAATACCGCTATGTAACGCCTCGTCCCCTCTCCTTGAGGTGAGGTGACAGGCTCCTCTGAAATACGATTACTCTCCTCACCTTCTAGCTTCCTGTGCTGGCCCGTTCATCAATTTACACCCATGGATTCGGAGCCGCTCCACATCCTGCTCGAGAGGGCTTCGTCGCCCAGTGAAAGGGATGCCGAGAACCGGGGGCCTAGCTTGGTGGTTACAGGGGTTCTTTTGTTGACGATTGCGGTATTGGTGCTAAGTGGGAGGGTTTATTGTCGAGCGGTGTTGGTACGGAGGATGGGGCCTGATGACTGGTGCATGATATTTGCTACGGTATGTCCTCTCCAAAGAACGGGCGGGAAGGAGAATTGGCGGTTGTGGGTGTTGATGTGAAGGGGAGGTTTAGATAATGGCGACGCCTATCGTGGTGCTGAATTGTATTAGTAAGTGGCTATCGATTGGTACAAACGGTGGAATTGAGAGCTGACGATAGGCGCTTTTAGGTGTCGCAGGAGGCGTTGGCCGCCACACATGGACCATCGAGCGCTCTGGGGAGCAGCAAGCCATCAGGGTATGCCATCATCCCCCCACATCCACATTCCTTGGCTCGCTGGTCTGGGTAGACTGACACCCCCGGTAGCTTGGTTGGATCTCAATGCTCCACTACTTCCTCGCCCTAGGCCTCACAAAATGCTCGCTGCTTCTGTTCCTCATCCGACTCGGCCCAGGAACGCCCCTCTGCTATACCTCATGGGGTATCCTCGTCTTTGTCACATTGTACACGCTTATCGCCTTTGTGCTCTCCGCCATTCAGTGCATACCAGCATCGTACATGTGGGGTGCAGCTGCGGCGGGAAAATGTCTTGACAGGAAGACCATGGGTCTGGTGCTGTACTCGATCAGTATCGCAACGGATTTTGCTATTTGGGTGGTGCCGCTCAGGACAGTGTGGAGGATCAGGATGCCGACGCAGCAGAAGATGGCGCTTATTGGTGTCTTTTCGTTGGGCAGCTTGTGGGTGTTCTTTATCTGTGTTTGATCCGCTGGAGTTGGCTCCCGTACTGATTGATGGTGGTGAGTAGGAGTGTGTTGGCGGGCTGTTTGAGGTTGAGGAGTGTGAAAAGGTCGTTTACGACGAAGGATCCGATGTATGATAATACAGATCTGGGGATATGGTCGTTGTATGTGAACCCTCTTTCCCACGATCATATATACCATATCGTCGGTGGCTAATACACGGCAGAGTCGAAGTACTGATAGGAATCATATGTGGCTCCGCGCCGGCGGTCAAGCCCCTGTTCTCAAAGTTCCTCCCGGGCTTCTTGGGAAACTCCGAGATGACTCCGCCAGCGATAGACAACGTCGTCAACGGACATAGAATGCATGGGCGGCGGTCATGGGGGGGTACGGCGTATGCGTTGGGGTCGGTGGGGGGTGGGACAGAGGGCGCGTCGACGGAGGGGTTTAGAGGGGCGGGGGAGACGGAGCGTGTGGAGGTTGAGGTTGAGCTGGAGGTGGATCTGGGTGTTGCGGGGAAGAACTTGCAGGTGGAGCTGATGGAGAGGGTGTAGTGTTGGCTGGGAGTGGGGGGGGGGGGGGTTATTATTTGGTTTTGTGTGCCTTCATTATTTACGTTTCTTCTTTGGGGTTTGTTTTTAAGTTCTTTAACTTTCTTTTTTTTTTCCTTCCTTCTTTTCGTATGATAGATGGGGCTATGGGGTTACTTATTATGGGTGGTACCGTTTTTGTTTATGATGTTTATTCGCTTCGGGCGGGGCGGGGGGGTGGGGGGTGCTTGTTGGTTAGTTGGCGGGCGTTTTTCTGTGTAGACATTTTATAAATTTAGTGATGCATAATAAATATTTTTTATCATTGGTCCAGGGATGGTTCATCTGCTCTTACGATCGTGAGATTAGCGAACTCTCCAACCATCCTCTCGCGGAATGGATAGACTACTATTAATCATGCCATGAAGCAAGGTCCGGGAATAGCAACGCGGTACCCCATACCTGACATAGCCTTTTAATCCGGTCAGATGGGTAGACGTTCCCTGCTCCAGGCACACAGGCGAACAGGGGGTTGGTGAAGAACGGTGGGTTAGGGTTAAGACACAAACTATCACTCGACCAAACTCAACATCGCTATCACGGTGGATAATTTGCAGGCGGGGGTACAGGCGGTGGGGATTAGGCACCGAGTAGGCCGTGGGGGTAAGTTAATGGGGCTAGGGAGAAATGTCTTGGAAATCGAGAGTGCGGAAATGGGGGAGGGAATTGCGGTGGGCGAGTGATGGGTCATGACGGGGTAGGGGCCTTGTGGTGGGGTGGGATGGGGTCTCTGGGCGTGCATGTGGATGTGGATGGTAGGAGGTGGTGACGGGTGAAGGGTACCGGGATAGCGAGGTGGGGACAGTTCACGGCAGGTGGTATGTTTAAGGGAGGGGGTGATCCAGGTAGTGGGTGGTCGCAATTAGTCGTAAGTATAAGCTACTGGGTTAGGGTTAAGATCTATGATCTTTTTTTCACGTATCACTGCGCACTTTGTTGTGGTCTGGTCTGTTTTTGGTTTGTTTTTATATGCCCCGTTTGGAGTTGTAGGTACGCCAGGCGGTGGTTTTGATGGGATCGCGATCGGTGGTGGCGTATGTTCGGGTTCCGTTGTGTGCACCGTGGCTCGGGGCGATTGCGATTGGCAAAAGGCCGGTATTGCGATCAGGATAGAGAGCCCGCGTAAGAGCATTCGGAAGAAGGGGGGAGGGGGTGAAATGCGGTGGAAGCGGATGAATGTGCGTTGCTTGGCCATAGTGTAGATATCAGTGCGAACGGGAGTGCGTCGAAAGGATGGCAGCAAACGACGCGACGGGTGGTGAGTTACCTGGCCCATGAGCGAGTGTAAAGCATACATGTATATACTGGACTTAGGATGGGCTTGTGTGGGGCGGTCAATTGGGGACAAGTAGATGGTTACCTGGCTAGGTAACCCGACCGAGTGATAGGATATGATTAAATTTAAAAGTGTATTGGTGGTTTTGGCACAAAGCTTAAGGGATGTCAGAACTCTAACCAGCTACTGGTCATGGGGGCCTAATTAGAGGAAAGCCCGGGTAAAGGCAGGTTAGGCTGGGTCAGGTACGGGTGAGCCTATTTATAAGGTAGGCTTGAGCGATAAGGCTTGAGCAATCCAATCCAGTCCCCCCTATTAATTCATTGCTGGGTACGAATGAGGAAAGTAACATCACTAAATCGACCTATATATCACTGGGCTCACTTTGTCCTACATGTTGTAAAGTTGCACTGCGCTTGTATGTTATACCAAAGACATCTTTATCTTGGCTTAGATTGTATGTGGGACATATATAGTGAGACATGGGGTGCATATCACCATATTTCTGACGACTGAACATCAGCGCGTCGAGGGATAGGTACTTAACCGCGATGGGGAGGTGGCAGGCGGGTTGTCTCGTGCCCGGTATACGCGTTGATGGGCGGGATTTAATTTGAAGTACATGTTAAAGATAAAGACGAGCTTCAGGCGGTTGCCTTGCGACGGGGCACATGGTGGAACAGGAAGAGCATGCCTCGGGCTTGGAAGTACATAATTGTGGTGGTTTAAATTGGGGAGTATGTGGTGAGTAGCGCCAGGTATCGATTCTCGCTGCGGGAATCTGCAATATATTGAGAAGTTTAGGCTCCTCCGAAAATCAGCCTTGACAAAATAAGAAGTGAAAGAGAAACAGGGAGGGTAAGGAGGCCCGGAATTTATTTCAAATGATGTCTTCTAGTACATCTACTTGGATAGTACTACGGGCTTGAGTGCCCAGTTTTATTTATCCGGATCCTGTCCAGGGTACATGCATGTGGTAGTGATAACTGGAATAGGAACTTCTATGATTACTGATCTAATATTAGCCCACGGATACCTACTTGTGGAAAAGAATAGGAATGGCTCGATCAAATGGTCCCATTCGGCTCGGGAAATGAAAAATCATTGTCAGCCTTGTGGAGAATCAAAACCTTATCTGGAGCCTTGCAGTTGAGAGATTTCCTACTTGATAATGTAACCATCTATTACCGGTCTTGATCCATATCATGTATTACCCCCGTCGACAGGTCTGTGTGATGGTATCCACCTTTCGGTCTGTACTATCCCAAACCTAGCTACTTTAGAGAGCAGCCGGGTGTTTGTAAACCCGCAATAGGCTGCCCGGGATAGGCTAGGTGGAAATATACACATATATCGACCCAGCGTGGTATGTAATGCTAGCGGTTCAATTAAAAGGACACGCTCACAGTTTGTCTACTCGCAAAAGCACTAGTCTTGCCTCACGTTAAAATCATTTAGTTCCCTATGTCCTTTATGTTACTCGAAAGCTATATATCAATTCAAAAGTAGAAATACACCTTAACCGGCGTTAACTTTGGTTGAAGAATTGACTGAGTGATAAGGTAGTGATTATGAGAAGTTGTGGGAGAGGCATGCGCATGCACGCATACAACGGGGGTGATGATTTTCTGAGAGAAGTACTGCAGCTGCAGAATAGTGTTTTTACTCTGGGAACATCCTTTTATGTTCTTCAGAATAATAATTGACGATATAAATCAGCGTCATGTGGCCCAGCGACAACCCTTCAAGATATATAAATCACATATAAGGCCCTTTCGCATTATTGATTGCGCACAGGCCGTGCCTGATCAACGGAGATATTTAGGTAAGAATACTGCATTCTCATATCCTATGATTGGTAGATACTGACATTTCCCTTCCGGGATGAAGTCGTGGCAACATTTAGTATTCATAGTGGGTATCGATCTATCCCTTCGAGCGCACGATCAATACCCGCTGTTCAGTCTAGTTCCTACGAGCATAGAAACCATGGAAGACATTACTACCCCCTGGGACACCACCAAGTACGGCAATATCACAATATGTGCCTATCCAGTCTCCGGGGCGTACGGAAATTCTCCGCGCTATCTTTACTTTTTCTGCCTCTTCGTAGGAACCATCTGCCGCGGTGAGGAATGGATAGTCAAGGCCATGTTCGGCGGCGCAATGCTCTATAGTTCCATCACCGCCCTACACGCCCTCGCCATCATCTCGTTCCCCGGCTCCCCGATAGCAGACCTAGATGCAATCCCCATGTATGCTATCACCATGGTCGGTCTCTGCAACGCCCCCTACCTCATCTTCCACGCGAAGCTCTTCCGCGGTGCCCTTACGGGGACCCGCATCGTCGTATATTCATGGCTTATCCTTATGATGGTGGGAAGCCTAGCGTCAGTCTGGAATGTGCATATGGTCATTAATGCCATGAGACCATGCTCGGAGGTCATGTCCTGGGAGCCCAAAACATGGGGGAACACAAGGTTGAATCAAGAGAGTGGTATGGTCACTCTTTCAGCATTTACTGTGCGGTGTCTTATGGAACAGGCAATAACAGGGTGGGTGCCACCCCCGTTGATGTTGTGTATATGGGTGATCGGTGAGAGGAGAAGAATTAAGAAAATACAACAGGAGGAGGCGAAGGAGAGGCGTATCGAATCAGAACGTTCGCACGGTCAACAGGACGTCAACCTGGGACTAAACGATGGCGAGTATCGTATCCAGGTGCAGCCGCATTATGCTCCCATCGAGCAGATATCGACCGATGAGAAAGTCAATCATACCGGTTGTGAGAGTGGGGGTGATGAATGCCGTTGCTGTTGCGGCCATTGGGGCTGTAATTGTGACTATATGAGTGGTTGGAAGAGTATCTCGTATTTCTTTCTCAGATGTATGATGTATGTGGTGCCGCTTATATGCTTGCTGTGGCAACTCTTCGTGATGTATATAATTCAGCGAACCATAGGAGAGCTTCCGATGCAGGAGGAGCTCGATGCCGTGGGCCAGTGGGGGCCATTAGCGGGGACATTGATCATTGTGGCGGTGGCAGTCACCATGAGGTATGCACCAGGGGACTCCCGGCCCCAGAGAAGGGATGTGAAAGAAGGAGCGTATCCAAGCAAACTGCAGAGAAAGATTTGAGGATTTGGATGAGGAGGTAATATTAGTCATATGTCAGGCATATAGCTTTGAGATTTTTGATTATCTCGATAATTGTTATGGTGTATCTTGTCTTATTTAAGCTCTGCTTTCGGTGATATACCATCACCTCTCGGTTCCTTAATCTCTTCCTTAATGTCTTCAATTGTTTTTTGGTTTATCAGTATACAAAGTACTCAAATGAATAGTTTGATCGAGGTAAAGAAGTCTAAAATGGGAAGAAACAAGAAGAAATAGTCTCTTGCCTCTGGCCGCTTTCAGGCTGTTCGTGATCTTGAGCTTGACTCGATAGGTTATGGATGGATGAGATGATGATTGATTTGCTATGAAACAAAGTCTGGTTTTAAGCCAGTTACACTACACGACAGGTGTGCTTGACCCGGTCCAGCCTCGCCACCGCTCAACCGTGTCCTAACACAGTTTCGCCAAGACTTTGCACGACACCGTTTTAGTTAATGAGTACTAAATGATCGATAACACGCTCTGGCCTTGAAAGAACGACTACGTGGTAGTATTGTATAATTGTATTATT